TAATACGATTAGAATTATATATTTTAAATAATATAAAGGTATTTAGAAATTCGATAAGGAGATAACTAACGGTATATTTAAGTATATAAACGTTTATAAGGATTTTAAGACATATAGTATTAATATTATTAAATGCGGGGTTATTATTGGAAAGGGAGGATATTGTAGTACTTTTAGTATTAGTGAAATTAGTATTAAATATAATAATTAGAGATATAGTAGCGAAGGTTAAAATAAGATTATTAATAATAAGGACGCTTATTAAGAACGTAAGAATAATAAGAAATTTAAAGGCTTTAGAATAAAAAGGAGATTCTAATCGGATAAAATTAAAATTTAATTGCGTAAGAAGTTTGATATTTTTATATATAAAGTATACGAAAGAGGATTGTATTCTTTAAAAGATTATTAGTACGTTAATTTAAATACGATGTCAAAGTATATTGTAAGATTATTCTTTTTTATTTAATATATTATTAAAGCTAATTTTGCGAAGGACTCCGAGCTTGCTAAAGAGGTTGCGAGAATTATAATTAAAAATAGTAATAAGGAGAGAGCTTTTAAGAAGGAGGAGAATGGGTAATTATTTATTATAATTCGAGATTTTATTTATAGAATAAGTTTTTAAATTAATAAAATATATTAAATTAGGGACGAGATTTACTTTTTTAACAATTTAGCGATATTTAATTTTAGTAACTCTCTTTATATATTTAATAAAATTATTCGTTTTTTTTACTTTCGTTATATTAATCCAGATAATGTTTTGTGGGTTGGCGATATTTAAATAGCGATTAAAGGGTTTGGGGAGGTTAACGTCGTTATTAAGGGTAAAAATAGTCCTTTAAAATTATGGTTGAAGGAAGTCGTTTTTTACCTTAATTTTACTACTAATTTCGTTTCTTATTTCTAATTACAAAGGTAGGGTTTCTATTAGGATTACCAACTATTAAATAATTATTTAAAGAAATTTAATAGTTTATTCTTTTGTTATTTGGATATTGTTTATAGTTAAATGGTTATCGAAATTATTTTATTTTTATTTATTAGAGTTTCATTTATAATGTGCCGTTATAAGATTAATCTTTATACGAGGCGCGTTTTTAAGTAGTTAGTAGAAATGTAGTATTTACGATTCGGCTACCCGGGACTTTAAATAATCGATTACTTTTAGAACGTTAATAGAGTTAGATTTATTAGTTAGAAATTATATGGTATATTTTTAGTTAAATGCGCTGCGTACGCGATAATAAAAATTAAATAATAGATTAATTATATAATTAGAGATTGAGGTTTTAGATTTGGAGAGAGATTCGTTATTAATTTCTTCGAATTTCATAAAGGAATTAACGGGGTTAAATATTTTCTCTTTATTATTTATCGATAGTCCCGATATATTTAGCATTATTATTTATTAAATTATTAAGTGGTTACTATAGTTACTACGCTAGTATTTTTAATTAATATATTACGGTATTAATATAATATTAAAATTAAGAATTTTGAATATAATAACGAATTTATAAGTAATGAGGTTAAATATAAATTATTATAACGAGGAGCGAGTTTTAAACCTTCTATTCCTAATATATAAGTATAGAATGGTAGGATAGAACGTTTAGAGGCTATTATTAAAGAAAGATATAATACTATATTAACAAATTCGAAATTGTTAATAGATTTGTAGCCGGAAATTATTAGCGTAGTAATTTATTTCGTTAGTTGTTCCTTTCATTACTTATATAATTAGAAATCTCCCTTTGAATAGTTTGATACTTATATTATATAGTAAAATAGTTAATAGGAAATTTATAAATTAGATTTGAGTTACTTTAAAGTCTATAGTTGTAAGGCTTTTGCTATAATAAGTATTATATAGAAGAAAGAGTAGCAGTATTAAAAATATTTACTTAAGGTATAGATAGGGCTTTTTATTAGTTATTTAGCAATTTCTATTTATTGTATATAGAATTTATATATAAATTAGATTATTTAAATTAGGGATATAATTTTTGATAGGGAGATTATTTATAATTTAAATTTTAAGAAATTGAAAGAGGACTTTTAAATAAGTAGTAAGAAATTGGCGGATTTATTTAATAAAATTAATAAGTTATATAGTTAACTTTTGAGGGTGTCCGAACTATTAGAGAGAGAAGGTTATAGGCTATAGAATGATATTAATAACGTAGATATTGAGCCGCTCCCTTCGAGCCTCCTCGATTAAAATTACAAATAGTATTAAGAAGATTCCTAAAAGGAGAGTAATTAGTCATAAGAAATTACTATTTAGTAACTTACTATAAAACAGATATTTATCGAATATATTATAGATTTATATTTATTATTTCTATTTACTCCGCCGGCCGCATTTTATATTAGGTATTTAATTAAATGAGTTATCGATAAGTATTTTTATTAATAAGAATTATAGGAAGTTACCTTTAACGTTAGTAAATTATTATCATTAATAGTTAAGATAAACAGGAAGATAATTATTAAAGTAGAGGTATAATAATTAATTACGAAATATAGCCGTTTTAATAGGGTTTACTGACAGGATTTCTTAATTATACCTAAATATTATAATAATTTTAATAATTATTTATTCGGTTAATTATTTAAATAAGTAGAAGAAATTTATCTATAGAATTATAAGGATATAAAAATATGAATTGAAATCGACAAGGGCGTAATGCGGGTAAGAAGTAAATAGATCTTCGATTGTATATAAGTATATATTTATAAATTTAATAATAACGGTATATTTAATAATTATAAAGTAAAATTAGTTATAGAAAGGGATCAATAAAGTAACAGGGGAATAAATACGTATGCTTTTACTTTAGTAGGGAGGTTATTTAAATTTATTATCACTTTACTTATTCGTTTTAACCTTGAATTTATTTAATACAACGTAATTAATACTTTCATTAATACTTTTTTCGATAAGGAGATTTATATATATATACTACCCGGGTATTGAATCTTTGATAATGTATTTAAATTAATTAATGTATTATATAGTCTCCAACGAGGATTTTTATTATAGTAATAGGAGTTTAGTAAAGTATTTAAATCGATAGGATTCGAAGCAATCTTTAAAGACCCTTATATTATAAAGAAGAATGGTATTCTTATATTCTATTATATTAATAATATCGTTTTTGCGTTTAATAAAAGTAAAATAGAAGAAATTAAAAAGTACATGATAGAATTATAGTTAAAATATTATTTAATTAGAGGAGATAAGCTCTAATAGTTTTTAGGTATTGGAGTTATATATACCCGAGATTAGGGATAGATTTAATTATTTTGAAAGGTATATATTAATAAGATTTCGAAGTTATTTAAATTTAATTATCGATTTACTTTGGTACTTATAGGCTATAAGGAGTTGGTCCTTTACGAAGGTATTACTAATTATATAGAGATATATACTTATTAAACTAATATAGGATTATTATTATACACGGTAATTAATATTCGATTAGATATCGCCTTCCTATTAAGTAGATTAGTTCGATATAATTATAATCCTAATTTTACTTATATAGCCGCTAGCGAGAAGGTTATATAATGTCTTCGAATAATGAAAATATAGGGACTTTATTTTAGCGGTAGTAATAAATTTGAAATTATTTTTGATGCTTCGTTTGTTAATAATAAGAATAACTATAAGAATTTATAAAGGTTTACTATTAAACTCTATAGCGGTTTAATTTATTAGGGAGAAATTAAATAAATTGTAGTTGCTACGTTAACAATAGAAGTAGAATTATATACAGTTAAGAAGGTAATAAAGAAAACCCTCTTTATAAACTAGTTAATTTTAGCTTTAGGGATAAAGTTATTAGAAGACCCTATCCCTATTGTATAATATAATAATTAGTAGACTATTAGGGTATTAATAAAGGAAACGCTTGCTTTTAATATAAAGATGAAGTATATAAATATTTATAGATATTAGTTAAGGGAGGAGATTATTGAGAAGAAGATATTTAATATCGAATATTTAGAAACTAAATTAGTATTAATAAATAGATTGACGAAAGCATTAGGTATTTTAGAGTATAAGAGATTTAGGGAGTTACTAAGTATAGCGGAGGTGCCGCTGCGGAAGGATAGCGGAGGAGAGGATAATCCGGTACCAAAGAAGGTTAATTTCGATGATTTGGATGAAATATTAGGATTGAAGATATGAAAAGACGAGAGCAATATGTAAATAGTTTTACTTTTGACCTTAAAGAAGTAATTAGAAGTTTGTAAGTGAGGGGGTGTATTAGATTCTAGGGTAGTATTCTACCTAGATATAGGTTAGATGTTAGAGTTCTAGCTACTTGATTTATAGGTCTTGGTAAATATGGGTTACCCCTAGAACCCCCAGACCTTCTGGAGCAGAGCGCTCGAGTCAGATATACAGAATCAATTAACCAGATCACACCAGTAAATCTGACAGTATCACGATGCTCGCAAGCGGTTCGACCTTCGGATGTAATGCAAGGTAGCGATGGAGCGATGACATGAGATGAGAGATCACTTTGCTTTGTATCCTGTGCATATACAGCATACAGGGTCGCAGGGCGTGTCTGGAGTGCAGCCATCATCACGACAAGCCATGGCAGGGCGGCTTCTGAGAGGTTACAAGACAAAGTGATTGCAGCACGATTAGACGATGTGGCTCCCCTACATGTCGCTCCCATGCTGGCCGCGCTGTCGTGGGCCAACCCAGAGTCGGGGATAGAGACTACAAGAGTACACTATCGACTATACGGACCTGTTCGGCATTAAAATGCGTACTTCGCAGTCGGTGGGCGCGTTAGTGGGCAGGATTGACGCCTAACCCGCACAAACGGCCAAATGGCGATCCCAGATGATAAGGAACTTAACCATGATAAAAGCTGCTTCTCCATCCTCTTCTCGGTCAAACTCCTTTTTTATTTTGATATCAGCAAGATTCACACCACGACCACGAGATACAACCCCCACCCACTTGTACACACTAGATCACCACCCCCCCCCCCCCCCCAATCCGGTCCCCATCCATCAAACCACCCCAAGGAGGGGCCCATCGACTAGCTAGGTAGTGACCTAGAGATACCAAGGGAACAACCGGTCTACGTCACCGCCGAAGCCGCAGGATCCGCATTATTATCTTTTTTTTTCTCATTTAATTTGATTTTATTGCATTTTCCCGAGCAAAAGGATCCTCGCCATCCAGTTCGGTCCATTCCGAGAGTGTCACTCGCCCCCCCGCTAGTTCCAAAACATCATACGCAGGCCCCCTCACAATCAGCATGGCTCGCAAAAAGAAGTCTGGCTCCACCAAGACCCCCGGTCTCCCTGGCCAACCCCAGACGCAGGGTCACCTCTCGACGGTCCCCAAAAAGGTCCCCATCGACCACCGTCCCGAGACCTCGTGAGTAGAGCCTCATCCTTCATCTCTCTTCACTTTTTTTTCATCCACCTCCCACACTGGACATTGCACACTATCATCTTAGTGTAGCACCCACATCACACACATCCTTCACAATGCTAACAACACACAGTCCATATGCCAGCCCGGCATGCAACCTCCCCTTTGCCAGCCCTATGGTGGTTGCCCTTGATGTCCTCAAGAACAAGGCCCCCAAGCTCTATGCCGCCTACGACAGCCAGAGCGAAGAACTCCCAACAGTTTCCGAGGAGATTGGCCATGTCATCGTCCACTACCTCTACACCAACAAGTACGAGTCTCTCAAGCCCCAGGGTGCCGATAAGCTCGCCAAGCAAATAGTCGAGCTCAAGACCGCCATCAAGGTCTACGTGTTCGCCCGTGCCTACGAGCTCCCCGACCTTGTCCGTCTCGCTGAGCGTAACATCGAGAAGTTCGGCGATGGCATGGCCCTTCCCACCCTCCTCGAGGTTACCAGTGACGCGTACCCGAGCCTTGTCGACTCCGATCAGTGGTTCATCGGCTACCTCAAGAAGCGCATCAGGCTCCACCTCAACGATGCCAGCTCCCTCCTCGGCAGCGATCTCTTGAACCGCCTCAGCCACATCCTTTCCCCCAACAAGATCCTGCTCAGGATCGTTCTCGAGGTCTGCTACGAACAGATGACCAACCCCAAGGCGCTTTCCAGCCCCATCACCAGCCCAGAGTCCTCCCGAGCCACCTCAAGGACAAGGGACGTCTCTCGTGATGAACACAAGCAGTCTCCTCTCGCCGAGGAGGCCACACCAGAGGAGCCTGAGGTTAAGGCTCTCGAGGTCGAGGCCGAGACTGCCCCTGAGGTTGAGGTCAACAGGGCTCCATCTGAGCTCGAGGCCGAAACTGTACCCGAGTCCGAGGTTCGTGAACTGTTCGATGATGACATTTCTGAGCCCGAGCTTGAGGCTAAGACTGAGACACAGGTCGCCGAGACAGAGACCAAGACTGAGCTTCCTGGTCGTGACCGCAAGGACTCCGGCAAGGAGCTCAATGACGAGCTTCCCATCACCCTCAGCACCGAGCCCGTCATCATGGAGCTCGACGCTGCTTCTCATGACCTCCCTCTCCGCCCTCTCGTTAACAGGCAAGCCGACTCTGGCTTCTGGGAGCCTACCACTCCCGCCGAGGCTGAGGCCGTCAAGGAGACCGAGGAGGATGCCAAGCAGGACAAGGGCAAGGCCGTCGACGCCGAGATCGAGGCCACCGAGACCCCCAACCGGCAGTCCCTCCACCTCGACGCCATTCCCGAGAACGTCGAGACCGTTGTCGAGTCCACCACTGAGGATGCCCTCAAGATCACTCAGGAGGTTGCTGTTGAGGAGGAGATGGAACCCATGACTACAGAGAAGGTAGAACCAATTCCTGATTATCCAGAACGAGAAGCACGACTAACACTCTACCAACAGGCTGAGACCACACCTGCCGACAATGAAGTCGACTCCTCCGAGCAACAACAGCTCGCAGACTCCCCCGCCGATTCCGGCGAGAGGCAGAGCGAAGCGCAGCATGAGCATGAGTTATCACCAGCCGCTCTACGCGATGCCGCAAAGTCCGTTGTCTCCTTCGCGGTCAGCGACGACCAAAAGGCGGAACTCGGTGTCCACGAAGAGCCCTGGACCAGCCTTGGTGCCGACGCGGAGACCAAGTCCACCACCGCCGACCTCACCGGCACCGAGCCCGCCGAGCCCGCTCTTGTATCAGCTCCAAAGGTTTCGTCGAAGATAGACGTCTCCGACAAGACCGAGGAGCCTAACAGTCCCGTCCACCCTGGCATGAACCCCAGGTCCAAGAGCTGGAAGAGGAGACTGAGCATGCGCGTGCCCGCCCTCTTTGGTCGCGGCATGTGACTCGCTTCATGCTTTGATCATGACGATGCGGATGCGAATGATAACGTTAACGAATTGAGGGTGTTGCAGCCTAGGAGGAGATGAACGAACGCTGATGGACATGACGATGGACATCACATCTTTCCTGACGACGGACCCTGTACTGTTTTCCTCTTTCTCTGTGTAAGGTTCTTTCCTATGAGCGATGATCGTTGTTGGGCTGTTTGGTTTTTTTTTTTGATCTCATCTCATTGTTGGCGGGCATAGCATATGCATATCTGCATGTTTTTTGCGCTTGCGGTTGCTTTTTCAGTTTTTGGATTTCATAATATCCATGGGTTGTCGGGCGTTTGAGCATCATCTGTTCCTATCTGGTCGGTCGTTTGGAACTATATATCCACAATCTTTTGCGCGCACTTTGAAGTTGCATGGTCTTTTGATGAAGATGAAGATGGTGATTTGATGATGACGAGGTCTCATTGTGCACACTCATGCACATGCACCTGGCTTTGGCAAGGAGGTTCTCTGCGTTTGCTTCCATCTCCTGTTTTGCATTTCATTTCATTTCATTTCCTTGAAGGCGGCATCGATCTAGATTGGCACTTTGGCTGCTTCAGAGCAGATCACGTACGAGCGCTGGAAGGACACGGACACCTACCTCTACAGATACCACATAGCAAAAATGAATGATATCCCACATCTCGGAAATGAGTACTTCCCATCAATTGTTGGCGATCCTGTTTCGGAACGCTTGGCGATGGTGTTATAATATGCTAGTCTTGGTGACAACAAGATATCTGACACCAGATTGTCTCGTGTGTTGTCTTGCTTCATCGAGATCTCTCAAGGTTGGCCATTGAGGTTCACGAACATCCGTTTTGGCGTGGGTCGGGGTGTCATTTTGATGGATCACGAAACCCCGCTGTAGGGGTGTGGTTATAGGGCTGTGGTGGACAAGTGGGGGGTTCCATCCGGCCCGCTGTGGGAGACGCAGACCCCGCCCAATGCTACCCCGCTATGACAGCCTTCTCCAAAAATCATCCTCCGGCTCCGATCCGATTCCTGGCCTCCGGAAGACATCCAACATCGGCAAACCTTGACGGCATCGTTAGATCAAACTTGCAAGATGGAGTTTGAACCCAAGATCCGTAAGTGCACATACAGTTCTAGGCAGGAGCAAAGCTGACATTGACCATAGCTACGTCCTCTACGGGCGACAAGACGTCCTTTGCCTACGAGACCGCCAGGAAGCGGTGGCCCATCATCATCGTGAGCCTCGTCCGATCTTGCCTCGACACTCGACCGTCCAATAGCCGCTAACCACTTATATACGCCATAGACCCAAGCGATTGACGATGTCTACCGTACCACCGGCCAAACCGACGATGCCGCGAAGCGCGAGGAGGGCAAAAAGCTCATCAACGACCTTGCTACGCTCAAATACGAAGTTCAACACGATCGCGCCTTGACGTTCGTCCGCCCAGTTGCCCAAGGCAAATGCTATATACACAGAAGAGAATAAGTGCTAAGACAGGAACAGGCCTATTCCCGACGATGGTGTTTCCGACGTGGCCACCTACAATCAAATCCTCGAGTCCCTCGGCAAGCCCACCTGGCTGAACGTCTCCTGGCTGTTCAGCGAGTGCTACCTCTACCGGTTCGTCCCTCTCCACCCTTCTTCTCCCTTTCCGCTTTCCCTTCCTAATTCAAATACGGAATCTAACCACATCCCTTCCAAACAGCCGCATAAGCACCTCCTTCGCCCTCTCCACCCACTGGAAGAACTACGACATCTTCGCCCGCCAAAAGATCAAGACCTTCCGCTCCTCCCGCCCCGCCGTCCTCGAGCTCGCCGCCCGCTACAAGGACCTGATCACCCAGCTCCGCTCCCACTCTTCTGCCTCCGAGGGTACATCTGAAGAAGCCGAGAAGCTCCTGTTCACAGAAATGTGCGAAATCTGCCTCTGGGGTAACGCCACCGACCTCTCGCTCCTGACCTCCCTCTCCTACGAAGACATCCAGAAGCTGCAAGGGTCTGAGGCGCGCAAGAAGTCTGAGGCCAACATTCTTGTGAATGATCTTGAGGAGGTGTATAAGCAGTTGATGGAGGCGAAGAAGGCGGGAAAGAAGGAGAGGGTGGTGGATATCGTTCTCGACAACGCCGGTTTCGAGTTGTATGTTGACTTGATTCTTGCTGGATACTTGTTGACGGCGGGACTGGCGACGAGGGTTACCCTCCATGCGAAGTCGATCCCTTGGTTCGTGTCGGACGTCTTGCCGGGGGATTTCGGTGCTTTGCTCAACGCGTTGGCGGCACCGGTGCCGTTCTTCGAGACAGCCACCGAGGAGGAAGAACTGCAGGGCAAGGTCCCCGAGAAACTCAGCGACAAGGAAAAGGAGGAACTGTCGTTCTTGTTCCAAGAATGGTCCATCCTCCACGCCGAAGGCAAGCTCGGCCTCCGCGCCAACCGCTTCTGGACCGGTCCCGGCTCGTTCTGGCGACTCGTCGATCCCAACGCCGACGAGCAGACCAAGGAGCTGGCGGAGGATTTGCGCAAGAGCGAACTGGTCGTGTTCAAGGGCGATCTAAACTATCGCAAGCTGGTTGGTGATGGCGAATGGGATCCTACCACGCCGTTTACACAGGCTATTGGACCGTTGGGGCCTGGGTCGGGGATCAATATTCTGGCGTTGAGGACGTGCAAGGCGGATGTTGTTGTTGGACTGAGAAAGGGGTTGGATGAGGAGTTGAGGGCGAAGGAGGGCGGCGGTGGAGAGAGCGGCGCGAGAAAGTGGGCGTGGAACGGGAAGTATGCCGTGGTGTCGTTTTCGAAGGGGGCTTGAGTGGGCGAAGTGGGATAAGGTTTTTGAGCGTTGGTTGTGTTGTTCGTCTTTTTCTTCGTCTCTTGCTTCCTCGTTTGGTTGATTGCTTATACAATATAGATCTGCTTCAAAGAGTGTTAATAGATGGTTTTTGGATCTTGACGTTCTTTTGCTTTGGCTTTTCCTCTATTCATGTCTAGTTGTCTGCATTCCTCTTTGGCTGGCTACATCCCCCTTACTCGACCCCACTTCTTTTTCTTCTGCGTGGCTGTTGTCCATCGCTCTGTCGCTCTATGTCGTTCGTGGCCTGGTTACGTCTGCGAACAGATGAAGTTGGAGCAAAGGAGCTGAGTGTGATTCACCCTCACCAAAAAAGGTCCTCGAGGCAGAAGAGGTATTGTCCTGGGGAGAGGACCTACTTGGACGCGGCAGACACACATACGGATTTTCGGTCGCGGATTACACGCCTTCTTCGAGCGCGCAGTTGGAGGCTACTACTTACTACATTTTGTACGCGACGTTTCGGCTGATGCAGGCAGGCCCGGGGACAAGTCGCGTCTCTCCCATTTGGCGTCGCCGGTGCTTTAACGAGGAGCACCTCCGCTTCCAGGCCCAGACTGCTGGAGCTGGCGTTGCTGGCGGAGCTGGAGGATCCAGGACGTTTGGGCTGGCGGAGCAGGCGGGCCAGATGGTTGCCCAGGGAGCGGTCCAGACGGCGGGGCAGACAACGGGGCAGACGAAGCAGACACAGGAGCAAAAGGATAATGTCCAGTCGGCTGCCCAAGTGGGAAACGTTGGGGATAGTTCGCAAGAGGCCAGGGCTGGGTGGCTGGCAGGGCAGACGGCGGCCCAGATGGCAGGGCAGACGGGCCAAATGGCGGGGCAGACGGCAACGGCAGAGAGAACGGGCGAGCAGACGGCGCAGCGCCCAGTTGGCGGAGCCAGGCTGGCAGAGCTGGCGGTGCAAAGCCCAGATGGCGGACCAGACCGCGGAGCAGACGGCGGAGCACACGGAGCAGAGCCCAGAGCAGGAGGATATCCTGTACCTCTAGTCTGCTGCCGAAGTGGGAGAGGTTGACGATGGTGCGGGAGATTGTGCCGAGGAGGGAGATGAAGTCGACCAGGCTGTTGCGGGCGCCGTGGTAGCCGTGGTACACGGATATCGAGATTGTCGCCGATCGAGAGATGAAGCGCACCCAGTGGTCGAGGCGCTGGGAGATGGGGTCCATGGTTGATGGAGGATGCTTTGCTGTGCTGTTGTTTTGATTTGAAGAGGGGTTGGAAGGGGTTGGATGGGTGAGGATGGGTTGTTTGTTGTTGTTTTTGTGGAAGGGGTGTAAGATGGATTTACTTGAGAGGGATTTGTTGATGGCTGTTCTTCGTCATTACAAAGTGAACTGTATCGCTGCCGGAGGGGAACACACGCAAAGGCGGGACGGTACCTTATCTTGTTTACTGGCAGTGTACCGGGTATTATTCTGTTCCTGCTTGTTTCGTCCTTGACTCCTCATCCGGCTGCGGTAATGTTACTGGCTTTTCGTTTCTGCTCCTTCCTCTATGAACATTTCTTCGACACTTCACGACTCTGTGACCTGAGGCATCAAGCAAGGGTGTACGTCATTTATAAGCTACGCTGACTGTTAAAAAATACGGTCTCGCCTCTTGGTCTGTCGGTTCCGATATGGGAGAGGGGCAGTATTCTTCGACGCTGTTGGACAGAGAGTTGAGTGACCCGCCAACCTGGAAGATGGGACGGAAGCGGAGACTTGTCTGGTCCCGCGCGGCTCGTGACTCAGACTGGACACTCGTGTCTATATACACCACCACCACAGTTACCAGATGTTGTGGCCTCAAAAACCTCACCAGAGAAGCCGTGCCATCAGCCTGAATCTTCATTTTTTTCAGCCAGCCCGTTAAGTGCGCTGTGCTGGCCTGGTAAATTCACGGTACCTCTATGGAGTTCTTCCTGAGTCCTGAGCTGTGACTTGAAACGTCGACTATGTAAGGTGATAAAACACCGGCGAATATCACAGGACTACGGCAAGCACTCCAACATTCACGCATTAACCTCTGATCTGAGACACAGCAATGAATCTATAGGTACATACCAAAACCGAGCTAAGTCGCAATTATTTTGTTTTTACCAAGTGTAATTTTCTCCTTATTTTCTCGCTTTCCTTCGCAAGTTATGATCGAGTGTCCTCCCACCCTATTCCTCCACAGATTTAGCCTTCTCGTTGTGCGCTGCTCGACTAGGAATAGTAAAGTGGACCGGCCCAACCCGACCCGTCTTCCTACGTAGTAGCCAGGTCGTCGTCGTCGTCAAGAATGTCCCTACAGGTATCCAATCCAGAATGGTGTGTGAGGGGTCAATTTCGAGTATGATGTCTTCGCGTTAAAGCAACTACATCTGAGAATTTACGATAATCCATGTGAGGACGACAAGGTCTGGTATACTTCCAGTCTACCAATAACCCCGAGTTTGTTTGGCCCTGCCTGCCTAGGCCTGGACATCAAGCTAAGTGCGCGAATCCAGATCAGGGCAAGAAGGAGAAAGTATGTCGGCTCAAATTAAGACAGTAAGGAAACCTCATAGCAGGTATTATTCTATGTCTTACCTCTATGTGCGCGCTGGGTACACCACGTCGAGGAGTACGAGCAGAAGCTTCGAAGGCGGCGACGATGGCGGCGATGCTCTGCTTACAGGTAAGTAGCAAGAGTAAGACCTATGTATGTTGTTTGCAGCTCTGCTCTGCAGGACAGACATTGTCGCATACCTCCGTCCTCTCTTCACCATAGCTGTAGATATCCCAGCCCATGCTATGGACCTCAAGTATGAGGGAAAGTGAGGGGTGAGTGAGACGAAGGGGTTATGTATGTAGTGTATGTATGTGATGCAACAGCAAACAAATATACGTAACCAGAATCCGAAAGTCAAAAGCCAAAAAAAAAAAAAAAGGAAAGAAAAAAGAAAAGGAGATTGTACAGTCCGGGAGTCGAACCCGGGTTCCTCGCCGCGACGACTTCTTTGGGCCCAGCAGTCGCGTTTGAGGGGCGAGCGTACTAAACCACTATACTAACTGCACTTCTTTTTTGTTGGTTGTTACTCGGGGAGACTAGTATATGAAGGGCTAGTAAGAGGGAAGGCGGGGCAGGGACTGGACATCGAAGGTGCGCAGAGGCTGGTAGGGCGGGTAGATTACATGTACTTTACGTGTCGGTTGTTTGCTGCGTGCCTGCCTGGTCCGGTGTCTGGCGGTATTGGTTACCAAAGGGCGGGATTCTATTTGATGGCTGGGGAAGGAAGGTACGATCAGGATGGTATTGCAATCACCCTTGGCTGATGCAAAGGATGGTGTCAATGGCGTTGAAGAGGTAACTGAAGTCATCTGGGAAGGCTCTTTGATGCACGTTTCGATGAGGAGGGAGTAGGTCTCGGAGTGAATGTTCTCCATCATGATCTGGAAGGAGCGTGAGAGCCAAGTTATTGAGGCTCTTTGACACTCGTTTCTGAATCTGGAAGGATGAGTACCTACTGACCTAGAGGTCAAGTACCTCTATGTTGAGGAAATGGTCACTTGGGAGCTCTTCGAACGTTCTATGCTCTTATGGGCTCGTCGTCATGAAATCGAGAGATGGTGGTGTAGTTCCCCCATCCCGTTATTTTCCTTTATGCTGTACATGGTGCAAGGGACCAACATTGAAGGACTGGGGCTGTTTCCGCACCCTCTATCATCAGTGACCGTGAAAGTCGATGCCTTCTTTATTTTCCCATATCTTTTTCCATGCACCCAGTTCTGCGACAAGGCTGGCGTTGACAGAAGCAGCGGTGGCAACAAATTAAATACACATGGCAAATATAAATAAATATAAATAAATAAATAAATAAATAAATAAATAAATAAATAAATAAATAAATAAATAAATAAATAAATAAATAAATAAATATGAGATTGTATTTATTTGCTCAAATATTTTTTTGCCCGATATTTATTTGAATATTTGACCGCCTTCTTGGCACACCGGCAGAATATTTTAGGGTGAGAAAAAGTGTTCATTTTGCCCGTGGACCGGACTTTGGGAGACGGATTCGGGTCAGGGTTGGGGTTGGCCGTGAACCCCACCTGTCTTGGCAAATCGTCAAATAAATACAAATAAATCAAATACAAATAAATACGATCGTGTATTTGACCCACTCAAATAAATACAGATTCATATTTATTTGTATTTCCAGCGCTGGACAGAAGACAACCCACAGCACGCCCCATCAACCTCTGCAACACAATACTCCCACCACATCATGACCGGCTAGCTCAGTCTCAAAAGAATCAACAATCTCCGAGACCATTGGACAACGACACGGCAGTCCATACAAGACTGGCTGCCACGCTCCCTGGGCTCCTTGCCGACGGAGCTCTCTCTCCGTCAGACTAGGCTAGTACTTACCACGTCGTCCTACCGTCCGCACAAGCTCACCTCTTTAGCAACGCCGTAGGAATAGTCAATGTCGATTTGGGCGAGGTAAATGCACATGACATGCAGATCTGCATACTCAGAAAAGAGTCCGGCACTCACAACTTGCTCAGGAAGACCGACCCCGGCGTTGACGTACATGCAGCGCACTTCAATGGCCTTGAAATTCGATGTGCGCTTGTGATGGTTTGCCGGCCTCGAGGAGTTATTGGAAAGGGTCCGTCTATGTCGTGACTGGGACAAATGGCCGCCAGGAACATGTTTCTAGATGACTTCGAGTGAAACAAATCCAGCCACATATGGGAAACAATCTCGACATCGGTGTACATTAGTTACCACCGTGTCCCTCGCAGCCTGGTCGGGTTCATATCCCTTCTCCGCACCATCCCCAACGGCTCCAACCTTGCGTGGGCAGCCGACTAGAGGTACATGATATCCTCCTACTCTAGGCTCTACTCCGTCTGCTCCGCCATCTGGGCCGCCATCTGGGCCGCCAGCTCGACTGCCCTAGTCCTAGAAGGGGAGGAAGTGATCGTCGTTGAACGGAGTTGATGAGGGCCTGAATAAGGTAAGGGCAGATCGAGGCTCGAGCAAGGGGGCACTGGACGGGACATGGAGGTTCAGGGATACGCATATGGAGATCCATCCCCGTCTTCGTCCTCGACCTACTCCCGTTGTCCTTGAACTTCCGTATCATTCTCGTCCATCACCCGTCCAATTCTTGACGTTGGAGCATATATATCGAATTAAAGGAACCGGCGTGTTTTGATGACTACCTCCGACCTGAGCGGGTAGACGAGAAACGCTGAGAAAAGGCATATTGCATTGCTCTATATACCTTACCGAACAGCTCGAGCGACGCCTTTTCAAGAGCTGCTTATTCCTTGCAAAGCGTCTTGTAGGCATTGTGACGCCCAGAAAATAAGTACAAGTATTTCGTGCACACATAAGCCCTTGACCGCAAATAACATCAAAGAACACATGCAGTCAAAGCCATGAAAGATCGCATGATCCGAACGAAGAAATTTTCCATCTCCTCCACCCAACTCCGAAACCCCATACAATAGGTATCCCAACCCAACTCAAGAACGGCATCGCAGTAGGATCAGCTTGATCTACATTTTGACACGGAAAAGATACCTCAGACGAACCTGGGCAACATCGTACACGATATATTCGTTGTACCACAGACCAGCGCCCGGGCAGTTGGTGTCGCCGGGTTTAAACGACGACGTGTCGGGCTGGACTTCTCGTTAGCAACCATACCTGTCATATCGGTATCAAGACAAACAAGCAAAGAGCTTACCATCATCACACCCTGCAGTGCCGGGTTCACAACACCAGCATCCTTCCACATCAACGGGCCACTCCTGCCCTTACCCCACGTAGAGAGCATTCCCTTCTGCTTGGCGTGCTCTCCAGCATTGGAATCGGCACCAGTCAACTCCTGGATGGGGTCGCCAAGCTCAGCCTCGCAGAGTAAGAGGAGGGCCGTGCCATTGGACTGATGTGGACAGCAGTAGCCTGCTGACTTGCTGGACATATCGGCCAGGTAGACGCCCTTGCCGAACATGTAGCCATTGACGGGCGCTTCCGGCGGCGCGATGCGAAGACCCTGGCTGAGAATACCGCCGAAATTGGTGGAGCGGGAGCCGTGCCACAAAAGCTTGCGATTCTTCTTAAGCTTCAACTTGCCGTCGGCATAGTCACTCTGATCGAACCGGTCGAACTCGCCCTGGCGCTCGATACGGAATATCTCCTCCACTTCGTAGTTGACTCCGTGAGTATGACCCCGTGTGTCGACCAGGTAGTCTTGCAGATGGGTGAACTCGATCGAAGCCCGGTCCAAGGGTGTCATCTCCTGCATCCTGAGGCCTTGGTACTGCCTGTCCAGAGGATGAACATCGAACTGGGTCTTATCGATCTTCATGATGTTGCTGGCTTCCTTCATGTCGCTCAAGTTTTCGAGCAGCTCGACTTCTTGCTTCAGCTGCTGATCGGTCGCAATGATGGGTGGTCGGTCACGGCCGAACGCGTGCGGAATCACGGAGTAGTAGGTGTTTGACAAGTGCTCAACCGCTTGCTGGTACGGTAGACCATACTGAGAAGCTTTGGAAGGGTCGGTGAAAAGCTCGGAAAGATTCTTGAGCGCCTGGAAACCACGCATGATGGTGGCCTTGCTGAGCTTTCCCAATGGGAGTTTGTTGCGATCGTACTTGAGTGCCGCCATGGTGTTGTCCATCAACTGCTGGTTGAAGATGAGTTCCATGAGCTTAGCCACTGAAGGGTTGAGTGTGCACTTGGGAGGCTCCCAGTCGTCTTTCTCTTCTTTCGTGGCCGCGCCGCCCTCAGCTTCGTCTTCGTCATCGGATTCCTCCTTATAGTTCACCTCGACGAAGGCATACTTCTTGGGCTTGGGGTCATCACCTCGGTTGCTCCAGAGCAATCCCGACTTGTCCTTGAACTTCTTTTCGAAAGTGCGCAGGGCATCTTGGAGAGACGGGGAGTCGATGAGAGAGTGCTGGCCGGATTCTCCGACACGCCCCCAGCGCGTCCAGACCGCGAACCGCATGTTCTGCTGCGTCAGAAGCTATTTGATCCGTTAGTTTGAGGATGCGGCAGGAGAGGTTAAGACGGTGACTTGCCTGAAGACGATAGAACTTGTTGTTGTTGCCAGTGGAATTGGTCAGGTTCAATGATGCGTCATAGATAACACCATCAGAATCAACATGGACGTTGTAGCCATAGGGAGCGCCCTCGTCTATGGGAATCTGCATGGTCTTGTCCTTCAGGACTTGGCCCTCGCCCACGGCTTTTGTGCTTTTGAGTTTGGACTTTTTCAGCGTGTCCTCCTCGCCATCAGCCTTGACGCCATCCTGCGATGGCGACGGCGATCTCTTTCTCTTGGTGCCTCTGGTGTCATCGCCGTTCGTCTGGGAGGCAGTATCTGCGTCAGCCACGGAAGCGTCACTAGCGGCATCCAAGGAGGACAAGTCCAGAGCGTAGTCCTTCTCCGGCTGTCGGACGTTCTTCTCTTTGGTCTTCAGCAGCCATTCGATGCTGACAACGGGGATGTTCATTCCATGTGCCTGCCTGACTTTGGTGCTTATCTTGTTGGCGTTCTTGTCGGAGTAGATTACATGGGTGACGCCTTGCACGATGGCGGTCACTGTGGTGTTTGCTCCGAGGGATTCTGCTGTTCTCTTGTGCTGGTCTTGACCGCCAACAAATGGTCCACTAAAGGCAATGCGGCAGTCTTCCAGCGGTAATTTTGCTGGGACAGCCGCTTCGTTCTTTGCTCGTCTGGGCGGCATCGTGACGAACTGAAGGGTTCCCGCTGGAGGGGGGAAGGGTGTGAGCGCGTCCGAAAGTAAACAAACAATGGGGCGTGAAGGAAATGTGAAAGCTGGCAACGACCGTGTCAAGATTGATCAACAAAAGACAAGTGAGATCAACCTGATGGAAAACGAAGTTGAGAGAAGTTGACAAGAGACCAAGGAAGGAAGCAGCAACTCTACTGCGGGAACAACACCTGCTTGATATTGATCCTTCCTAGCGCCTATGAACATCCATTTGGGCAAGCGCGCTCCGCGTGCCTTCCAGGCAACAACCACCCCTGCTCTCGGCCCCTCCTATTATCCCAATTCAGTGCCATTTCATCGCGAAATCACGGGACAGGCCGCAGAATAAGTTGCCCGTTCTTTGGTGTGTTCTTCAGGCACGGCGGGCAGCTCATCAAGGTGACCCACAAAACGCCAGGCAACAACCACCCCTGCACCCCAAACTGGCCCAAAATGACGTGATGCCAAGAGCCGGGGTAGCTTTGGGGCTTTGGGGTTCATCAACAGTGGAGAGATGCCGCCGGCAACAGAAGACCGTCGCACGACGGTTTCATGTTGACAAAACACCATGTTGGTTGATTTACGAGGGTTACGGCTCATGGGAATAGTGCAATTAAGATGCGACTGCGGTCGACTCGAGGTTATGAGCTGGTAATGACGGAGTTGCCGTTGAGAAGGGTCAAGGTACTGTCTCCAAGGCACTTGAGCTGCCGGCAAGACCTCGAACTGACTGTTAATGAGCTGTTAAGACTGACCGCTTCTAGACAAGAACAACAGGTGAACTCCATCGTATATCCTCTCATTTTCAGCTATTCACCGAACTTGTAGGGCTCAATAGACTCTGTCTTCTCTTTGTATCAAGATCCTGATGTTCTAGCCGCTCAAACCCCAACCCCAACTTTAACGTCGTTAACATAAGCCACAACCCTCCAGCCCTCTCACCCTGCCCTCACATCGCACTTGAAGAGCCCACATCGCCAAGTCAAACTCTCCCACCCACCCTGACGAGCCTGAGTCCAAGCCCTCCAAGAAAAGATGGTCAACCTCCCACCCAAACAATCTGTTATCGGTATCGGCACCTCTTTGATAGAGGATTACACTACCGGCATGCCGATCCGCATCTCTCCAGGGCAATGTCCAAGAAAGGTCTAGACCTTCTCCAACCCGGTCCTTCCGACGGCTGTAACCGGCGACCGCACGGCACCGCCATGCTTCCATGCTTCTATTTCCGTCTTTGCTTGTCTACAAACAAACCATCCAGCCTGCGACCTGCGACCCGAGGTTTCGGTTTTTGCATGATTGATCCTTGCAACTTGCCTGACGATTCCAAATCATGACCCAGGGACTGGAGCCAGAGCCAAGACGGGACCTGCGAGTTGCTTGGAGTGATCTTCGTTTGACTTTGCGAGTTCTGGCTGTCTGGGTACCCGGTTATAGTGGGATCCATGTCGTTGATCATGTAAGGTTGGTGATCATGGACTTTCTTGGGATGTGCCAGAAAAGCAGGAAAGCACCGCGGGTATGGATGTTGTTTACCAGCTGGGCGGTTTGTCGTTCTTCGTAGTGTTCCCATGGTTACCTCTAGACATATGGCAGATTGGACGCGAGTTGAAGACACCACGACGTTGCATTAAGCTTGAACAGAAGACGTGATGGATGGACTTGCAAAATTCTTCCCTTCACCGGGTATGATATGCATACAGAGATCTTTGGTATCCCTCCTCCACCGTCCTTCTCCTCTTTCGTCCATCCAGCAAGCAATCTAGCCGCCTGGTCGGACTTGTTAATACCGAGATCCTTTCTCCCTCCCGTCTATGCTATGTTTCCCCAAGGCATCCGAAACCAGTCCCGATCCCAATGTGCAATTCCCCGTTGACCATGATGATTATGGAAGTAGCAGTGCTGGCAACATTGATTGATTGCCGCCTAGCCACCGCGTGTAAGTATGATGATGCGATGCAGTTGGAAGAATCGAAATGATGCCTTTTTGTACATGGTTTGAAAAGGAAAAAAGGAAAAGATGACATCGCAAATTGCAAATGCCGATAACAAATGTATCCCGAGCGCCCAAGGTATCATCCGTCCGTCCGTTCCCGCCAGTCCGTCCGTCCAGTTTAAGTCCATCCATCTGATCAGTTTGGTCTTGTTTCGAGCCGGTGGGCTTTGTGCCTCTTCCTGACTTCGATGACCGCTGTGCAGCGCATCTTTCGTGCTACTGCTACTGCTTGTAATGCTTCTTGTAAATCCTACACATTTCGCCGGTTTGTGCCACCGTGTTCCTCCTCTTGGGTCAGGTTGGCCTCCAGTTCTGCTCCTCCTCCATGCTGCTAGCTTGCTTGCTCTAGGTCTCTCAGCCCTCTTCTTGCCTCGTCTATGTTCTAGCTTGTTCTGGTACCGGCCAGGAGTTCTGCTTTTGTGGATTTGACGACGAGCCGAGTCCCGAGGACTGGAGACTGCTGGTGGGAGATTCGGACCCGCCGTCAAATCACTCCTATACCGTCACCGTACTCTCGCCCCGGAGCTCCTTACACCGAGGGTGGCTGCAAGTGCCGCAGTAGAGTGTGCTCTTGCCACAGGCGATGACCTTCGCGCAGGAGCATGTGGTCGACTGCGAAATGAGCGTGGTCGAGCACGCGTACGAGATCTTGGTGCCGCACATTTTGGATGGTTTGGTTTGTCGGGTTGACTTTGAACGAAGGTGGAGGGTTGGTAGTTGTGATAGTCTTGATTGGTTGGATTTGGTTGCTTGTTTGGAGTTTAGCGATTGCTGATCAACTGCTATTTGGGTAGCAGTTGGTGGTGATCTGGGGGATCGCTGTTAGCAGCTTGTTTCTGCGGGTGTTTCGGACGAGGATTTCGAGCATCGATTCGACGACGTTGAATATCGAGTTCACAGCCATCGACGCTGCGGTCAAGGTGCCAAAAGGGAGAGGAAATCATCAAACTTACATCGACTTGAATTGACAATGGCAATAGAAATGGAATCTTCTTCCTTGCTTGATTGAGGAAGGTTCGTTTTCAGTCCGTCGCAAGCGAGGAGAAGAAGTGAAGTTCGACTGGTCAGAGAAGGATGTGGGCGAATTCAGCCGTTTGTTAGTTGGCACACAGACGCTGGGAATTGCTCCGTCTCGATCCGAAAGAATCCTTCTGTGCGTTGATGGTCTTGCGTAAGGCGAACAGGCGCAGCCAGGCAGTGTTCAATCGGCCAGCCGGGGTATCGAAATGTTTGAGGTGTAGTGGAGGGTGCGTGTGTGTGGCCGTTTGCAAGTGTGTCGGGTAAGAAACACAACCCAGTGATCACTCTCTGTCGGAGGTCCCCGATGGTGGTGGTGATTTGTGGTTTGTGGGATAGGGCTTGGATGATCAGGGCTCGATGGTTATATAGCAGAGTTGCTCCTTCTCGAGTTCTTCTGTTCCTTCCCTATTTGTCCTTGTGTGTGTTTCGTGTCGAGGTCACGGTCCGGATGTGTAAAAGGTTGCTGCAGGAAAGAACTGCCAAGAGTTGCAAATGCGTGACCGTGTCAAAGTCGGTTCGGCTATATCAGGGGTTTAAGCTGAAGATGCAAAAGGCACCCAACTGCTTGTATTGTCCCCCTTTCTCTCTCTGCTCAGCTCATCAATACGATGGACGGGCCGGGTCATCCACATGTCGGTGTGTATGGGTTGAGTTGTGTTGTGTTATTGTCCCATGCTTCTGTGGTCGTCGGCAACAAACGGGCAAGGTGGTGGTAGATAAGAGAATTTCCAGAGGGCTGACCTGATGACTGGATCGTAGGGATCAAGATATTTGTGAAACGTATAAGGTACTTTGATCAGAAATATATCACACCGGACGCATCGGGCTGCCTACGCTCTTCCAGGCTTTGCCCATGTCACTCTCTCGTCCATGTTCATGCCCATGCCCTGGTCGGCTGGGCCCTGTGTTTCTTTCGTGCTCTGTGTCCCCCCTCCGTGACCCCCTCCGGGTCCTCATTCAAGATGACTGGTCGCCGTGCTTCCTGCTGCAACGCTGATGTCGACATGGCCCAGGATGGCACCGGACTGGATGGGACCCAAAATTGGCACTCATGGCTTCTCATGATGAAGTAATGGCCGCTGCAAGCCCCGTCGACCCCTGTCTTCTTGATTGGGGCCCTTTTTCCTGGCCGGCCATGCCAGGTATGGATGGTCCCGTCATGGTCGGCAGCAGGGTCGATGATCTACGTCATGCGGCATCAAGCTGGTCAACAACAGGGGACCGGAGGGGACTTCACGAGGGGCTTCGAGAGTGTTGCTTGTGCCCTTCTTGGCTGGCTGCCCAAGTACTCTTGCCCGTCGTTAGTGTGGTGCAAAATTGCAGTTACGGGACCAGTACCAGTCCGTTCCAATCCGGTACGCCGTGTTAGTGGCTGGCCCCACGCGTTTTATGGGCCTGTCCTCTGCACCTGCATGGCCGAGCGATGGGCTCTTAATCCACTCATCCACCTCCCCCGCCAACTCCCGGTCCAGGCCCATGTGAGTCCGACCACGTCGTGCTGCAGGCACACGAGAGCATTTCCGAGGAGACAGTGTTGCTAGCAGATTTCCAGGCAATTTGTGGGGTATTCTGTTAGCTCTACTGTACATAGCCGTCATTTTTTGTAGAAAGTCGGCCGGCCAGCATCATCAGCACTTTCAACAATTGCACACAACATCAACATCTCAACATCAATGACATTCTCTCTGTCTCACCAGCCTATGAGACACACGCAATCGATATGCTTGTCTGACGGATGCCCAAAACAATACCGACTCAGCAAGGATACCTTATTTCCTCACCAATAATTCCAAGACCGATGTTGTGATCCGAACACTGCAAGCCAACCCGAACCTGAAAATGCTTCATTCCGGATAGCTTCATCTCCAGACCCTGAACTAATCCTCTCCCGGCTTCCCTTGAGCTCCCCTCATCTCATCCCACATCATGTCCTTTTGCTTTTGGCGCCAAGAGGACGGGTTGATTGCAGTTCATTGCATATTTGGGCTGAAACAAGCTGGAGCCGTGAAACAGGATTTGATGGAGCTTAGCTTGCCATTCTAAGATCTACCTACTGCTACACATCTACCAGCACATGGCTAGAGTCAACGGTACGTAGCGAGTGAGGGACGCCGGCCTTCATACAATGACGAGGCGAGCGAGATGTAAAATGCCTAGCTCCATGAAACCTCCCCAGGATACCGTTGTGGCCGTGGACTGCTCGCATCCACTCTGTTCGTGTTCATCTTGGCCCTTTGCCGAGGGTTGTTACCGTACATAGCTCTGTGGTCAGCAACCGGAAAAGTTGAAATAACAGATTCACCGGAAAATTCCGAGCAAATTCTGTTAACGTAGATCGTGATCTTGGTCCCCTTGTCTTGGCCACAGCCTCGCCCCCCGGTCTGATATCTCGTCCCTGGATGGATGGTGGGCAGGATTGGTCACCGACGATGGATGGATGTCGACTAGTGATCGATAGGAACCGAAAAAATGACATTCTTACCTTTCCTGACGATTTTCTGAAAATTACGCTAATTCAAGGCCCGTGCATGAGTCCGTGCACGCCCGCCAAAGCAGCCTGCCATGCCTGTCAAGCCGGTGCTCAGGGGTGGCATACGGTACCCAAAACACTGGACAGCCATCACGTGTACGGTAAGCTACGAAAGTATCGCCATTTTTGCATGAATCTGACGGTAAATTTCGTAACTGACAACGGACAGGTCAGACCGATGGACCACTAATGTCGACACCGATTTTCCCTAGCGGTAATTCTGCTCGACTAGTACCTTACCGAGACCTCTCCGACCTGTCCGACCTCCGGCAGGAGCGGAAGACGACGACATCATCGGTCGTGGTTCATCCGGCACATGTTGCTATCACGACGCTGCTGACGGCGTGACGACTTCCGGATTTAATGCAAGGTCATCTCCAGCCTCTTCCAGCCCTCATCACCGCTTCATCAACAACGTAATCTATAACCGCTTCTCACGATGCTACCATCCGCATCATTGAGCTGAAACTCGACGATGCACTCATTTACCGGCGCACCCACCTCTCTACCAGCTGTCGGGTGTCTTGTCGATGTTTTTGGCCAGAAACCACAGCAACTCGAGAGCTCTGATTACCTACCCCACCATTCGGCCCCCAAAAGTCCAGACCCCAACTCACCACTACCACCACCCGGGCCATGCCCGGCTTCAACTTGCACTGCATGGCTGCTGCATCGAGCTGCACGATTCACCGTTTTTGATAACTTGACCACCCATAAGAACCATTACCCAAGAGCTGAAATTCTCGCTGAAACATTGCTGTCAGTGTTGAATGGTAGATTTCACAATCTCGATTCGCAAAATCCCATCACCGATTCTGTGACGGTCCTGGGCGGAGGTATGAGTTCCCGGTGGTTTTTGATGCCCAACACTGAAGGGTTCATCCCAAGTAACCGGACAACAGTCAATCCCTCCCCTTTTCGACTGCTTCAGAGAAACGAAAAAGACCACGGCGGGTCGGCGGGAAAGCACCAATCGCTTGCGTGCAAAAATGTCTTTGTTGCCTGAACGATGAACACATTGAAGTCAATTTCAATTTCACCAAATCCGTCTGTCGTCAAATTACACATGTTTGAAGGACCATCAGTGGATATGTCTTTTGTTACCTCTAGTTATCCCCGCGACCCAGTAATCGGACCCCCGGCCAGTAGCCCCGAATACCCCCGACCGCCGCGGTCGATACCGTAATTACGTACGCGTATGTATTACGGTACAAACCCACGACCGACGTTTAGCCACCGCAGACCAGGCGGCCAAAACAGGAACACAGGCCAGCGGGAGGAACCGTCCTTCCGAAAAAAATATGATAGTCGCACGCTCGGACACGACCCGCGAATTTGGAAGTTTAAGTCAACTCAATTTGGGGTTTCGGGAAATAAAACAAATCTGCGAGGGCGATCAGCGATCATCTATCGTTTCAGGTTGTCACTGGCGCTTATGGAGGATTCACTCTAATATCTCGAGTTCATGATACTTTGCAGAGGCAATAAATGGGCAACAACTTGATTTCATTCTCGGTGAGACTCTGGTTGTTGACAGCTTCAACTTGGTGACCTGGAAGGTCATCTGTATCCGGTGACCGAGCAAATCATGAACCAGACGCTCGCTGAGAGACAGAAATGACAAACAGTTCGTTAAAAGAACCATGCGGACCCACCTTTTCAAAGCCCCAAAAGTCCAGAACACTGCCCACACCCACACCGAGCCGCCCGCCTCGAAAAGATCAACAAAGATCACCATCAACCCGCTGTTTCAAATCGAGAACGGGTATATAACCGAATGAAACGATTATTTGCATGATAACCGCGGCTACACACGTGTTGTGCACATGCTGTTTTTTAGCGACCAAAGAGGAAACACGCAGGCAAAGGGAATTTGGAGGCCTCAAACAAGATCCAAATGAACGGGTTCCCCTGAAGATCTTGATCGCTGCTGATCCAGTGATCCGGAGAACTAGCCCTACCCATCCGTTCGTTCTCTGCCGTCCACTGCCGTCCGAGCCCCTCGAGCTGAAAAGAGGCATTCCCTTGTCTTCGCGGAGCCGGACACGAGATGCAATATGAACTCTACCTGTACCTAGTCGGCCGGTGATCACGAAGCAGGAGAACGGCGACCACATCGCATAGAGACGGCGCCAGCAAGAATCATCCCGAGCATATCCGATGTCCAGCGACGCCGGTCCTCCTTCAATCTCTCAGCTCATTGTCCACGATTGTCCACCATTGTTTATAAACATCTTACGTGATGCCCTTGCGGACATTGATCATCTCTCATTTCCCTCATCAGCCGCCGTCGCCGCCAGAAAAAGGACTTCTGCTCGATAGTGCCTGGCAATCTCCAGAGTCCAGAGGCGAGGCCGGGAAACTTCGGGATCCGGGGTCCGAGCGGGCGTTGCTCAAGCGTTGTTCTTCAGATTCAAATTGCTCCCAAGGTCGAGACCTGTTGTCTGAGCTCTTGGCTGTCATGGAAGGAGTCATGAGACGAAGATTTCATGATGACTATGAGATTAGGTAAGATATATGACTGGCCCCTTGCTGAGGTGAAGAGCCGCATTATCCGGTCAAGTCATGATGTTGCCGAGAGGCTCGAGTCTGGAACATCGAAACTCATTACGGATATGGATGAAGTTCGAAACGCACTCCTTGGCTTCAGCTTCCTTCATCATCTCACCTAAGCCATTACATACCTCTTGAGAACACAACGTTGCATATCACAACTTTGCGCCCGGCTTGCGCCTCCCAGCCATATCCGCTCACGTCTAGAAGCCTTGGAAGCCTTGGAAGCACTCCTCTAAAGGAGGACCTGGAAATGCTTGGCGGCTTGGCTTCAGCTTCTTGAAGAAATTGCCAAAACTCGATATAGAAGCCCTTTCCCATCACGTTTTCCTGAATCTTTGTTTGGCTGGCTGGCAACTTTCTTGTCTTGGCTGAAGGTTTGTTTCGAGAGTATTCCTACCCGATATCTTTCCCACCACATACCCAACCTGGAAGCGTTGTACTGTTCAACAAATTCGACATTCTGGATTTCCTTGGCCATACATAGAGGTATCTTACCTAAAATTCGATATATGTTAGCTAATGCGCCATCTTTGTTTTTCTCCTTCGCGGGTTGGGCTTGACCGCCGTTGAACACACGTTTCGTTCACAGCCTTGGTTGGACCCAGGAATTTTTTCCCCTCCTCTTTTTTTTCTCTTCACATCATTTTGACATCAGACTTTTCTTTCCTCCACGGAGGTTGAGCCTCACTGCCTTACCACCTGCATCCTTCTCAATCCCTCAACCCAGATGGTACATATCGCAAGCGAGCTACTGCAGCAGACTCCGAGTCAGTTTTTTTTCTCCCTCCCCGTGACCCTCGGGGCCTCGCTTGCCTGAATCGCTTCCTTCGGAGCACCCTCCAGTCCCTTCTCATCCATTCGTTCGTTACCTCTAGCTTTGTTCGAAACCTTCGTTCGTAACATGAAGTTCTGTTCGTACTGGTAACTTTCATGACAAGATAGCAAATATCACCGAGATTCCCGCCGAGTCATGCGCCGACACCATCGTGCAATGCATGTACACTCTACTTCTCCCGCCAGTTCCGCTCCCCAGTCCCGCTCGCCTCAAGCAAATTCCGCACTTCAAAGCGGAAAGCGGAAACGATTATGCAGATAAGGCCAGGCCCGCCAATTTTAGATTTGGCCGGCCCGGGCCAGGCTTCGTATTGGGCTTCACACATTTCCACCCCGCCTAGCCCCCCGCAAATACGGGCTCGGCAACTTCCGTTGGGCCGTTGCAGCGAACTTCGTCGGGATGTTCAACCGACGTCGGTCGGTCGGTCGGTCGGTCGGTTGAAAGGTCGAGACCGCAAAGCCGACTGCCCTGGTCAATGATGACGAGGACATTCAAAGATCATGGAGTTTGACATCATATTCGCATTCAAGTGAAAGGGAGCAAGGTAGGTGGAAAAGGCAGTTCTAGACCGTCCTTCATGCTTCGCAAGCTCCCCCACATCCGCCCGACGGTTTGTCGGTTGTTCCACACCGTGAGATCCGAAATGCCAGCCAGATCGGGTATAAACAAGCGAATGCACGATCTCGCGATACTGATCGAACGGAGGGACCTCCGGTAGCCAGTCGCTTGGTAGGGTCGACGCTGTCGACTTTACCTAACCCAATGTCTATGTTGTACATATCAAAGAAGTTCTAATAGATCGGACGATTGGAGACTCTGATACATCTTGTATTGAAGATTGAAGCTTGATGATGGAAAGTTGAAGATTCGTGTGAAATCGCGCCTGTTGCAAAGAGCCAGCGCTCTATGATTTGTTTATCGGATCAAACTGAACTACCATGGAAATTGCAAAGAACGCGCGCTGGTCTATCATGACGTATGCAACTGCAACCATGAAATCCAAAAGGAGTCCATCATCTTTTCAACTTACCTGTGAATGCCATCCACGGAGGCATCTCCAAGGTTGAGCCTCAAAACCTCTCAAAAGCTGGTTTGTTGCACCTCTGACTCGGCTCTCCATCAAGGTATCATCAACCTTCACCCGAAGAACAACAACCCTATCATTCTTCAATATTGGCCCTTTCCCTTCACTTCCGCGTAATCACCCAACATACTCCCCACCATCCTCCCCCTCCTCCGGCACCCTCCCCTTCTTAACCTCCCTCTTCTTCGGCTTCAGCCACTCCTCGCACCCCAACGGCCAATAAACTCTATTCAACGGTCCACCCATCGCCCTCTCCTCCTCTGAAAACTCCTTCGGTCCCTCCGGCGCAACATACACATCATCCGCTCCCGCGCCCACCCCCTCGAGTTCAGTCGCCTCTTCATCCGGTGCTCTCTTCCTCTTCTGGCTTGTGCCCACTTTTTTCTTCTTGGGTCCCTTGGGCGGTGGCGCAGGACGGTTCTCGTCCTCGCGGCCGCAGGGGATCATGTCGTTGATCTTGTCGAAGCCGGGCAGTTTGAAGGTGCGCATAAGCTCGAAGACGGCTTGCTCCTTGTCTTTGGCTTCGATCATTAGGTCCATGTCTGGCGGGCAGGGAGGTAAAGTCGCGACGCGTGGGCGGTGTTTGCGTCGGTCGCGAGGGGTGACGGTGCCGTCGCAGGGTTCGGAGTAGTGCATCTTTTGCTTGATGCCCTTGCGCTTCCACGTGTTGGCTATGCGCTCTTGAAGTTTGGGGTCCGAGATGTCGAGGGTTCCTTCGCGGCAGTGGGCCGGGTCGAAGCAAATGTTGTGGTGGTGGTAGTCGAGTACTAGGGGGATGTTGAGCTCTTCGCAGACGGGCAGGAGGTCGTGGACGGTCCAGCCTACGTCGTCGTTTTCGAGGACGAGACGGTTTTTGCAGGACTGGGAGAGGCGAGCGTAGTTCTTCTTGAAGCGCTCGAGGGTGGCGGCTTTGTCGCCGAATTGGCCGCCCATGTGGATGATCATCACTGCGTCGCGGTTCTGTTGCTCAGGCAGCTTGAGGAGCGAGAGCAGCTCGTCGTGGTATTCGAGGTCGCGGATGGCGGAGTCGACAACTTCTTTTCGGGGAGAGCCGAGTTGGGTGAACTAAAGGATTGGTTAGGAAGAGACAAAAAGGGAGCAACGGGGGTGCTTACCTGTCCTGGGTGAGTGGTCAAGCGGTGGCCAAGCTCAGCTGCTACCCTTCCTGCTTCAGCGAGCACCTCTGATGCGAAAGGCGCAAGTTTATATCCATGCACTGGATGGCTGGCGAAGGGGAACATCTCAGAGCTGAGTCGAAACATTTTGATACCGTACTTGTCGTTCCAGCGCAACATCTTGACGATGTCACGGGCGTTGGCCAAGCCGAGGTCCTGGACAAACTTGTGTCCCAGTTCGTCCCGTGGCTTCTTTGACTTGTCGGGCTTATTCTTCAAGTGATGTTCCGGCTCGTCCTCGTATTGAAGCGGATATCTGTGGTCGATGATGGATGCCATGCGGCAAGTCCTGGAGCTAAAGATGGGCGGCTTTGCGTTGCGCAAGTAGGTGTTGAGACATGCCTACAAGCTGTTAGATACGATCCTTTGAGTCTTCAACGATGTACGAACATAACCTAGTCGGCCCTTCCATGGTAATGGTAGGTAGCTGCTATTGACAGGTGGTGGCCGAGCAGCACCTCGTTCGGGCGCATCCTGCGAATCCAGATCTGGTTCGATAATGTTGGTTGCGGCCGTCTCCATTTTCACGATACCGTCAGCGCCGATTTCCGCCTCGCCCTCGGCGTTGTTCAGATGGGCCTTGAGCATCGGTTTCTTGGCCTCGGGCTTCGCATCATTGATGGGCGTAGGGTGATAAGGCACAGTCGGGGGGCGGCTGACCGCTGATGGCACGGGGATTCCATCCTCTTCGAGTTGCTTCTTCTGCCTCTTTGTCGCTCTTTGCAGTCGTCTTTCCATCCTGGCCAAGCCTTCTATGGCCATCTTGACCCCTTCCTCTTGTTCCTTCTCATTCCGCAAACCCTGGCCGGTGTCGTCTCTGCCCATCATGCGGCCAAATACTTCGCTTCGTTTTTCGTGGTCGCGGTCCTTTTCGCTGGCGGGCTGCAGAAGATTACGACCTGATCGCCGAAGATTGCGTGCGGGCGACGGGGCCGAGGAGTCCAGGGTTGAGCTGAAGGTGGAACTCTCGCTTCGTGGCGTGTCCAGTGTCGCTGCTTTGGATTTACGGGGAGCCATGGCGAGGATGGGTGTGGTTGACGTGCGTCGTGTTGTGCAGGTACTGTTTGCAGGCACAGCAGGATGCAGTGACCGCGTGATGTGTACAAGGCCGCCTGTACGGAAGCTTTGTAGGTATGATGTCGCTGTGACAATCGCGGGTTTTGGTTGGATGTAGCGGGCATATGCTGCCTCGGGGGAAGCAGCTGCCAGTGACTGCCCGCTTTGGATCGAAGTAGTTTATGTTAGGAATGTGTTGCGTGGGAGGTATGAATCAGGGTATCTCGAGATGATATGTTTTCTGGGAGGGGCTTAATGGGATATATCAGTCCAATGCGGCCGTGATGATTACAGGGAGGCGTCATAGAATGTCGATCCGATTGCTCGGATTCAGCCGTATCCCGTATGTATTAGAAATAGCGAGCCGAAGCAGCACTTCGCCGCTAAACAGGTCGAAGTCACGGAAGGATGACGGGAATGGTCAGCGGCGCGGTCATGTGCGGGGATTCACTCTTCGTGTCTCAGGCGCCGGAAGGTACGCAGTTGCTCCTGTTTGGTATTGGCAAAGGGGCAAAAAGGGGCAAAAGAAGAAGGTTTGATAGTGTAAGCTGTAATCGGGTTGTTTTATATATCAATTCTTCCTTATAAGTGGTTGTATAAGCACGGATGGGCCCTTGAGACCCTGAGAGAAGCAAGGGAACAAAAGCCAAAAAGCAAAAATGTTATTCCACTTGGCCACTTCAGAGGTTTAGAAAAAGAGTTTGCCGTACGTTTGTGCGATGCGTTTGGATACAGAGCGGGTTTGCGATCGAGCAACAAGAGAGGCGATCGAGCAACAAGAGAGGCGATCAAACAATGGAAGACTTGCGCCGTGCAAATCAGAACTGTGTTGACGGAAAAAGAAGCGGACCCCCAGTCTCGGCCAGCACGGATCGATGACAATCCGAAGAAGTCGTGTAAAGGGAGAGTGGTGGAAAGGAGTTCCATGTGCGAGCGTCGTTTTCCCTTTTCTGTAGGTATCAACACTTGACCAGCAACGGCAGGAGCCTCGTGTGATCTCCAAAATGCCAGAATACATCCTCCCCAATGCTGCTTCATGCCTTCCCCAACCATGTGTTGACAACGGAAGGAAGTGTTGACGCGTTGAAGATCTCCCTGACGTTGTGCCGTCAACTTGGATCGAGATTGGCCAATCGCAATGCTTCATTCGATCAATCGATGAAGTCATAGCGGAGCATTTGGCCCTGCAATCAGCCCCCACTGTCGCGGCCAAACCCGTTTCGGCCGTCAATCGTTTTAGGGCTCTTGGGGTTCAGTCCAGATATGGCCCGTGCACGGAGCAGCTGTTCCGTCCGGACCTGAGCTTCCGCGAACTTCATCACGTCAACATCGGCTCAGGGGCAGTTGTTTGCCGAGAGAAGCATCGATGACGACCAAGAAGCATCCGAACGGCCCAGCACTCACTCCTCCTTTCTTCCATTGGACCACAACGAAACGTTCCACGGAATCTTGTCAGCCGCCGACAATTACCCCAAACGGATAACAGTCCTGATACAAGCCACTTTGTCCTGTGGGACTGTGTACCGCTGGTCTACGCGGCTGAAGACGGATCGCCAGGCACATCCCGCGCTACCGCTGTTCCAGGATTCCGATCATTGTCACTGCCCCAAAGTCAGCCATACAATGTGTCGTTTATTACTTTGATGCTGACATTTGTTGGTTGTATGCTGGCCATATGGAAGTAAGGGCTTGGGAATGACTGGGACCTCAATCTTCGACTTTGCTGTCGTCGTTTGGCACTAACCAGTCTCCGATCTTCAATGCTGAACAACGGACCTTGCGCCGCCCTTCACCTACCTCAAGCCATTGCCGTGACTGCTATAAGTCATTTATTAGGTCCCAAGGTAGCCATTCCATTACTCCGTCCTTTCCATGTCGCGGATCCCACGGAGGTTGATCGGCCAAGATGTAACGCCGCGCCGCCTTTGGCCCTTGTGTTTGACTGTGCCGTCACTTTCTCGCGATTTATTCATTCCCGTCGTCAATGGATGCTTGCACCAGTCTCCAGGCATACTCATATCAAGCTGCGCATAGCGGCGGTGGATACGGTATTTACTCACCGAGGTCAAGTGCCCAAGACCTGTCAAGGTGTTTATTTGGGACAACAGAACGGATAGCAGGATGCCCGGATGCCAATGATACGACAAGTCGGCGAATTTATCGTTTTTTACGTCGTTAGGGCGGTCGTTTAACTTCTTGCACTTGCCCCAGCTCTTGTTGTTGGCTGTGGCGTCGCTGGCCCTTCTTGACCTGCATCTCCATGTTCTGCAGCTGCTTCTCCTCCTTCTCCCAAACCGCTGAGCATACACCCCCCTTCCTTTAGCCCAGCTCCTCACCGCCCTATGCGCTTGTCTAAACACCGCTAAATCGGGCACCGTTCGCTTTAGATAATCATTCAGAAATGGAAAAAAAGGGCTGCATTCGATAGCCACGAGTTCAAAGTATCGGTGACTCAGATCGTTAAGGGGTACAGGAAAAAGTGGTGGAGATATCATCGATCAACGGCAAAAAAGCAGCTTTTTTTTGTGTTTTCTGATTAATAACTCTTGGTATCTCACGATACCCTTTTAGGAAGACAACAAGGCCTCATGCAAGCGATAGGTCGATTACAGGGGGGTTACAGAGGGGTTACAGGGCCGCCTGTGCTGAGTGTATCGCCAGTCATCCTCCGTCATTCTCCCTCTGCGCCTTGTAGCTGCAGTTCTCAGTCAGACACGGGACATGGCCTCTCCCATACATGGTTATACGCCGCTCTTGGTTGCCTATAAGGTTTACTGCTCTGCCACTCCCCCCAGTGGCACAGGACTGTCTAGTAGCCAGAGCTTTGTCAGAAGCGGTCGTGGCTTTTGCATATCTACCGGACCAGCCACTGTGAGGTTCAAGATGGATTGGGACTTTCTATTTCTGCAAACATCGCCAGAAGCCCTTGAAAGATGACATTATGCGGTTACCGAGCGCTGTCGTTTTGTTCACCATTGCGCCCTATGGGGTGACTGCTTTTCAGTCAAGGAACGAGTCCGACATTCTCGCTGTCTATCCAAGCTGTGCTGTGCGTATACCCGACATCTTCTGGGACAGTTCATGTAATGCTGAGACTCAACCTAGCAAAACTGCATCCAAGTCCACCTCCTCGAAGATTCCTGCATCGAATCCAGCAATGACTGGGCGTGCCTCTGCACCAACCAAGCAAACCACACACTGTCCTCGTCCTTCAATCACTGTCTCTCCCAATTCTGTTCCGTCCGGCAAACCCTCAGTGAGCCCTTCCCCTGGCATGCATGCCCTCTCCGAACCTGAACCTCCAAGTGCTAACAACCACGTACCTAGCAACCCAGAACATCACAACCATCAACTGCCACCTCCACACTCGTGACCGCTCCGCCCTCCTGCTCCGTGAAAACATCGCCCTCTTAGTCTCCACCCTTCTGCTGACCACCTTGCGAACTTTATACAAACTCTTTGTCCCCTATCCCGCCCACCCCAACCACAGCTCCTCGCACGGCTTTTCACGACCGCCTTCCCAGTATCTGCCTATATCGCAGCGCCTACACGCGGACGACTACGCTTTGATACAGATCACCGCTCTCGGCCTGCCCAACCTGTTGCTCGCCATCTTTCGGCTCCATCCCTTGGGAGTAGGCCAGGATGCGTGGACGTTGCCTTTGGACAATATCGCCAAAACGGTGAGGTATGGGTACGGGATGGGTATCATTTACTTTTTACAAGTCGCCCTCACCAAAGTGGTATTTCTGTTGTTCTACCTCAGGATCTTCCCGGGAAAGGAGGTGAGAAGGGTGCTATGGGCAACAATCTCGGTTTGTGTGTTGTTTGGGTTGGGAAGTGCGATCGCTGGGGTTTTGCAGTGTAGTCCGGTGAGGTGGTGGTTTGAGGGGTGGGATTACCGGGAGGGGACACCGGGGGGAGATGCGACCTGGGAAGGATGGGGAGGAGAAGGGGGAGGAAGGAGACCGGGGAGGTGCATAAACAGGAAGGCTTTCCACGTCGCTGCGGCGGTGGTCAGTATCACCATCGACATCTGGATGTTGGCTATTCCGCTGTGGTGTATCAGGGGACTGAGGATGGGAGTATGGAAGAAGATGGGGGTGGCGGGGATGTTTGCAATCGGGATGCTGTGGGTTGCTCTTTCTTTATTTTCTTGCTCCCTTGCTTTGGCCTTCATAGTCATGTACAATGCTCTTTGCTGACATGGAAGTGGACAGGGTCACGATCTTCAGTTGCATCCGACTGCGTTATCTGACTGTTTTCACGGAATCTCCAAACCCGACGCAAGCACTATTCGATATCGATCGGTGGTCTACGCTCGAAGCGGCGTCTAGTATCTTTTGCGCTTGTTTGCCGACGCTGAGGCAGATGGTGGTTAGCGCTGTCATCATGGGAAGGAAGAGGTTTGGAAAGAGGAGCTCATGCAGCGGTGGCGGTGGCAAGACTGGAAGTTCGAGTACGGTTGCTCTGGGGATAAACTCACGATCTTCTCGCTCAACAGAGGCTCCCATCCATTCGCTGCGTCTTCACTCGGACAGGTCCCAAGAGAAACTTCCCGACACAGAACAGCCCATCCACGGCCCCTCCGAGGAAATGACAGGAAACCATGGTATCCGCAGCGGCAACAGCAGCATTATGTACACGGTCGAATACAGTGTCGAAGTTGACAATATCCCTGCCAGTGATATCACCCCTGATTCTGGACGACTGAGCCCGCCACCGTATACGTATGGCAACGGCCCCGAAGATCTTCCGGGAGTTAACGACGGCTGCGAAAATTATCGAGCGTGTGTCGTGTCGCGAGACTTGGGGAGGATCGGTGGTGGAGGAGGATCGTTGAGGAGGCAGAGTAGGAGTCCGAAGTTGAGGGTTGCGGTCTGAACTTCGTGCTTTGCGTCGGCTGGGCCGCCACGGTGGCTTTCGCTCGGAGGGTTTGACTGTTGAGGAATAGGTCAGCTCGGTTTCGCTTCTCTAGTCATGTCACAAAGGCTGTTCAAACCCCCTTGTAGGTTGGTCAGTTCAGCCTTGCCATGTGGTCTTTCCAGTCAAGGACAGGTTGGAGAAGCGGGAAAAGGCGTCCAACAGTTCGTATCGGCAGATCTCAGGCAAGCTGGGCAAAGTTACTCACGATACCAAGTCAGTAGGGGCTGCAGAAGCAGAGACAGTAGTCGATACTTGTTGCTTCGCATTCTCCATTCATTCCAGTAGGTTCTTGTTCCGAGCAGCTGCAGATTCTGGACATTCCCAGCGCGACTGACCGTCGCATCCTTTACGGCCTGGGCGGCATTCAGTAACTTGGGTTCCCTTTGTTGAATATGTTCGACAATAAGCTTTCTCCGATGGACATTGCTGTTGGTGGCATCGAGAATGCCCACGGATCCGCACTGGTGCTGAAGGTATTTCAGAACATGAAGCTTATCGAAGGAGTCAATGTCGGCCTGCTCACGGACTTCGCTGCAGTCTCGTTCTTCGGGTGTTCCTGTTGAAAGGCAGATTCAAGACCCCCAACGCGTTTCCTTACGGTCATCGCTGGAGCTGGAGTAGCGAGGCTGTGTATAGATCTGTCTGCTAGACCTCTGAATCATGACTGTTGTGCAATTTCTGGTGTTGGTGATTTTGGTCACTCTTTTTGACGGGGGTCTAGGGCAACAGATTGCACAAAAAAAGCTGACGTGAAGCTGACTGGTGTACTGTTGTGTGCGGAAGGCGCGCCCCATTCAACTTTTCCACCACCTGTGCCCGTTCAACGCGGATTTTGCAGGCAAACTCTTCTTCCTTTCAGCAGAGCAACCAATCCATTGAATCCTTTGACTTGTTGTTGATCCTCGCCTTGTCTAACTACTTCCACAAATGATGGTCTTCTTGGAGGTCCAAGATCGTGCTCCAGAGGATGCTGACTGGAGGCGGTAGTCTTGTGCCTCAACATTCTCTCACAAGGGCAACCCCACGGTCAGGTCAACATGAAGGGCATCCATTTCACGGTTACACACACAAGAGGAATCCGTTCTGTCATTCCAGATTCAAGTTGATCAAGTGTACCTTCCTCGCCTGTTCTTGCCGTTGTTCAGTGGTCCGATGGTCCAGGCTCCTGCTGGACGACTCATCTGACGTCTTCCAGTTCCAGGAACAGCTCGTCACTTCTGTCTTTGGCCGCAGGAAAACTCCCGAGTACTGTGGGGCGCGGCTCAACTGTGGTCATCAAGGTGGTCGATCCTTTTCACCTTCGTAAAGTTGGGAAAGGGCGGTTCCACGCAAATCTTCCATCCTGTCTTCGGGAAGGTGCCCCAAGTCAGCCAGGCACACCTGACAAGGACTCTGTTGCTCAACCTGTGCTTCCAGTCCACCACCCTTCCCTAATTGGCTTTGTCACGTTGTCTTCAGTCTTTCAGTTGGCTTCCACTTCTGACGTGAATCCATGAGATGATCTCGGTGGTATACCATCTTGCCTGGAGAAGCAGCCTGGGAGGCTCTTCAGGTGGCTTCACTCTGTTCTCAACAACGGTAACAAAATGGCTGCATTCGATCTGTCTGACTCTTGCCCTTCCATTGTTAATGGGAGGAGGCATTTACGTCAGCCCTCTTTCCTGACGACCATCTGTTCTTGCCCATGGTGTCATCCAGATTGCTCGAGGCTTGTCGTCTTCACACCCATGTGCCATCCGATGAGCAACCGTTTGTAGCGTGCCTTCCCCTTGGGTCAAGGTTGTACGTCTAGATCTTTCCCAGATGACCCACTTTTTATCTGACGAGGCCCGTGACGGACCCTTCCTCAGTCTCTGCCAAACTCCTTCCCGTCTTTCTTCACAGCAGTAATCTTTGCATGCAACAGATCGAGTATCACATCTCTGCCTTGAGGAAGGCACTCCTCTGACTGAACTGGTCTCTCTTCCGAACGTTTCTGCCACATTTTGCGGCCGGATCAGCCTCCGTCGGTCCCAAGACACAACCAGCTAGCTACCGTATCAACACTGATATTCGGATGGAATTATGTCGGAATGCTTGAATAACCTCTGTGAGATTATCCCAAGTGCCTCGGTCCCGAGTTTTAGCTTTGTAGCCGGTTCATCCAATGTTTCAAACGACTGCGGGCTCAAAGACTGCTTTCCCTATCACCGCATGCTTGAGTGTCTGGAGCAAACTGTCCGTGAGCAGATATCGTACCTTCCTCTAGAGCGTTCTTTCCTTCGAACCTTGCATGCGTGACCGGTCTGCCGAGTTGGGATGAAACACACGCAATTCTCTTTGCAGGTTGACCCACGGGTTTCGTTCTGTTCCTTCTCACAATAGGTTTGCCCGGGCACTTGTCCGTCCCAGATGGAGGAGGATAAAAGACCCTCTTCTTCCTCGTCTCGTTCCTTTCTTCTCTTCTTCTTCTTCACCCTCACCACCAAGTTCGACCTTTATGTTACCAGAACAGCAGCAGCGACAGCCCAAGCAGCAGCAACAACAACAGCAAAGACTCTCGTCTCCACAGTAAGCATCACTCCCGTCCCTTCCACTCTGTCTCCAGTTTGGTCCAGTTTCCTTTGCGAAACTTCTCTTGCCAGGCTGTCGGAAAGACCTCTGCTGACAACCTGACAGCCAACTGAACAAGACCAGAGCACCAGCGACCCAGTTTCGCCAAAGCCCACACAAGGTACGCATATCGTCTTCTTCTCCCTGCCTTCTCACTTCCCCATGACGCCTTCTCACTCTGTTCACTTGCCTCAAAACCACGTCGCTAACTCCCTGCTTGCATTTTCAGTACCAGGCCCCCGCTGTTGCCTTCTCTCCGCGCCCTATACCCAACCCATCCCAGCCAAAGCCCCGCCGCCCGCAGCCCTCAACCCCAAGACCGAGGACGCCGCCAGGATGTGCACCCAGACCGTCCTAACCACCCACCTCTGCCGCAAATGCGGCTCACCCATGTCCAACACCACCACCACCATCACGACTCCCTGTGAGGGCGGCACCAGCACCAGCACCAGCAACAGCAGCAGCAGCAGCAGCTTCAAGCGCTGCCCCGGCACCTGCCCCGGCGCGGGCAAGACCATCACCAAGACCGCCAAGAGCGGCAAAGTTTGTGGGGCATGCACCCTGGAGGAGGTCCGGATCTACACAGGGTCTTTTTAGGCCCGGGGCGGGGGGAGGGGTGGTGGGGGTTCCGGGCTGGTTGGACCAGCCGGGAGTTTATGATGACAATGAATTGAAATGCCTTTGATGATCTGACAAGACCTGAACTTGACGCGTGATATTTCCCTTTGACATATCGTGATGCTTGCGATGAAAGACGACACAATCCTGATGTGATCTTGATCAAGACTCATGGAGATTTTTGGATGAAGATGAGATGGCAAGAGAACGGCCATCTTGTCCTCTGCTGCGAGTGCCTTCCCCGTCATCCAAAGTGATATCACGGGCTTGGTTGAAGTCCAAGATCGCCGTGGAGTTGACTGGTTGGCTGCTGGAGGAGTGTTGACTTCACTGTCCGTGCTGAAGTTCGACTGGGGTGTTGCTTGGTGTGTTGCATTGATGGAGAGCCGGCTTCGTGCGCTGTGCAAAGTTGCAAAAGCGGAAAGTTGTAAGAAGCCTGAGGGGAGCGCGGCTAAGAGCTAGCTTCTGTCTACCGGCAATGGAAGTCTTTGGTAAGAACGAAGCCGTGTTGATGGAGGCTTCCTCCACGCTGTTTCCAAGCAACCCTCAATACACCCAGAGGTCTCTTCTTGGTTGAGCTCCCCAACACGGGAATCAACGGCTGGCCTGCATCGTACCCACGCAACCATGGCGCCTTTTACCTACAACAACAAACCCTTACCCGCGGCTCCGGCTGCTTGGTCAAACAACTTGACCGCCGAAAAGCAGACCGCGTTCTTGCTCGAGCAGATCGAGGAGTCCACCCAGGCCCAGGTTCGTCAGGCCATCTGTGCAGCGATCCCTGCGACTGAGGAGCACGAGGATGTCCTCAGAGTCCTACACGATTACGGCGTCGCATACGACATCTCCGATAACTATTGGCTGACCCGGGATTTCACCAAAGCACACTGCCCCCGCCCAAGACAGCAACGAGCAATCTCGCTCGTCCCCCGGGGTTATTATGGTCAAGCCTCCTCTTCCATCATGACCACCAGCCACCAGCCGCAGAGACAAAGGCAAGGCCAAAGAACCCATCATCTCATCCCCGGCCGCCCCTTCGCCCATAGCTTATCGCCCTTAACCCTCCACACCCAAGACCACGGACAAGGGCAAAGGTAAGGAGGAAGTGGTCGTAAATTGTCAAAACAGCTCCGATCCCTCTGCCTGGATACGCTCCAGCGTCGAGTGCCGAGCATGTGATGGACGAGAATGACGCGGAAGTCCAAGGGCAGCGGGAGCGGCCAGAGACCTCGGACACCGACGAGTCTGAAAACCGCACAAACCTGACCAACAAGCACGGGGAAGTAGTGCTAAGCATTGGGACTACCAATCCCACCACCGAGGGAAAAGGTGGTCTCAATTTGCGCATATTCTATACGCGCAAATTCATTTCCTCGAATTCCCTCACCGTGGTACTCGGACAATACGCCGAACGCATCTCCAACGCGGTCCTTCGAAAGGAGCCATCTTGGTGACTCAGGGCAAAAGTGGATCGCCAGCAGCTGTAGTACGCTTGGGAGAGCTTGCAAGGCGCTTGGAAGTCGCCAGGACCACTCGCTTTGCATGCTCGAGGTTGCAAACACAGCCCCGGCAGAAAGAATGGCCCCGGTGTACCAAGAGGGGTTGAAGAAGGACGTGATTGTCGGCCGGTCGTTGGGATGGGCCAGCTCGGCGAAACATTTGAACACATGATACCATTCGCCTCTAACACTCTAGACTTTACAGCAAGCACAGGCCAATAGTCCTAGCGGGTCCAGCATTAACATCAATGTCGACGGGAATCCCAAGAAGCGCAAGTATACGCGTCAACCCCCCGAAGACATGAATGTTGGCGTGAAAGGCCGTCTGAAGAACACCGAGGTCCAATCTCGGATCACATCTCTGCAGATATTGCGAGAAGATGCGGTTGAGGATTTGGTCACCTTCAGTTGCAACGACGTAGAGGGAGACAACAAGACCATCCTCGAGAAGTATGCCCAGGCACTCCCGCCTCTGTGGTAACATGGCCAAGTGGGACGAGGACGGCGATGGAACCAGAGTCTTGCGTGAAGACACAACGTTTCGAATGAGTGGAAAGATAACCGATTCAAGACATGATTGATGAAGAAGGATTGGCTTTCAAGGCTCGCTATGCCACAAGTGAAAGCGCAAAGAGGGAAGACTGGAAATCCGAGCGCGCTTTAGCAACGGACTGTGTAAAGACATGCCCCGGCATACTTGCCAAAGCTACAGGAAGACGATATCGCTCATTATTGGCTATCCGTTTTCGATGGAAATGAATGCTTCAAAGCCCGGCGAGTGATGATGCATCGAATGTCGTTGGACTTCAGCGGCTCCAAGCAGGGGTGTTGCCCCGGATTTTATAGTGGGTCAAAAGAGGCGCGGGCGCTGGAGACTTCAGGTCTTGGCGCCCGTGTTTCCGGTCGCGCCCGGTGCCCGCAGCCTCCGTCGCCAACCCCACTTTCAACCATCAAGGTCGCCGATCACATCATCGAACTCGATCTTGTTCGGCGACATCAATGAAGACTTGAGAGGATCAAGCGCGGGTTTACGACGTACGATTCACAAGGAACGACAGAAACGCAGATTTATTGACGGACACGCGCTTACAAATCATTCGCGATATCAAGGGAGCAAAGAGCACGGACACTCACTCGCGGAACTGACCGCTGGACGAACACGAGACCATCATCATTGACTCACTCACTGGACACTATCGATCCGATGGCCATCATCGACCCCAGCTAACACCGGCTCATTCTCTCGCCTTATTTGCCATAAAAGACGCATCCCGGGATTGGCAAACACCCCTCACGCGCCCCCGCTAACCCGGGCGGTTCCAACGCTCAGAATGAACATGAGCTCACCACCCACACCCGGATCCGGCCACGGGCATGGAACGGAAGGAATTGGCAGGCCCGGCTCCCGCCCCGAGAAACGCACCTGCATCACCTGCCGCGCCCGCAAGGTCAAATGCGATGGCCGACCGGACAAATGCACCAACTGCGAGCGGCTGGGATTTACGTGCTCCTATGACCCCAACACCATTGTCACCACGAGCATCGACGCCGGCGTTGGCCCTAGTCACTCAATCACCTCCCACGAAGCCTTCTCCATCGACAGGCTGGTCCCAACAGAGACGGAGGGGAGCGTGTCCACCAGTACCACGACGACGGCACCAGTGGTGGGATTAAGGAGGATCAGAGCCCGACAGGCTTGTCAGAGTTGCCATGTCAAGAAAGCCAAGTGCTCAGGAATCATCAACAAATCCGGGCCAGGCGGAAGTGGAAGCGGAGGCTATCGAGGTTGCGAACGATGCCGGGCTCTAGGAATTGCATGTGTCCTCAGGAAGGGCAAGCGAGGCCTAGCTCTACCAGGCATGAACAACTCCTCCCTCGGCGACGCCGGCGAAATGATTCTCGACGACGGGGGCAACGGCATGCACCTTGACGATCCCCGCGATTTAGACGACGACATGAACCACAACGGCAGCATAACAGGGGGCCGGAGCACCGCCAGTCCTGCTCCCATCCCCAGCAACAACCCAGACGCATCCGGCCGCATCGACCTCTCCCAACCCGACGACCCTATCGTCAAACGCGCGTTTGACAACTACTTCCGGCATGTCCACCACGTGCCCATGTTCTCCTTCCTCCACCGGGCCTCGCTAATGGAGCGGTACGACGCCGGCCTGCTGGACCGCGCTCTCCTTCTCGCCATCGTTGGCATTGCCGCCCTGCTAACCGACCTCGGCCCTTCCGTCTCCGTTGCCGACCCGGAGTTGTTCTCCAACCGATGCATCGACGAGGCTGCTTCCATCTGCACATCAGAGCTCGAAAACAGGAGTATCACGCGCCTCGAAGCTTTGGTAATCGTCGTCAAGCACCGGATCCTATCAAAACGGTTCTCAGCGGCCTTCATGCTACACGCACTTACCTCGCGGTTCGCCAACGTGCTGCGACTGAACGTCGAAAACCCAGCCCTCTGCTTCCTCGCCCAAGAATCCCGCCGCCGACTGATGTGGTCCATCTACATGATCGACGCCTGGTTCGCCAACGGCCAAACTGACCTAGCCCTCTGGCCGGATCCAGAACGACAAATCCGCGTGCAACTCCCCTGCAACGAGCGCAACTTCGATTTCGATCTCCCCGAAGTTACCGAACCTCTCCGCCAACCACCACCGAGTCCATCAGGACAACCAGTCCAGCTTCCTGACGCTGTGGGATTCACTGCCTTGCATATCCGCATGCACTGGCTAAGGACACGGATCCTCCAGCTTTCTCTCCGTGTTGTGGGCGCTAACCCCGACCCGAACGAGCTGATGCAACTCCCGCTAAGGTGCGCCGAGTTCAAAGCGGAGCTGGACTCGTTCGAAGCGAGACTGCCGCCTTCGTTTAGGTGGAGTGAGTCGAACCTCCGGTTACGGTCGTACTCTTCGAGGTTGGCCATCTTCTTTACGACGCATGTCTGGTGGAGGCAGTGCCACTTGGACTTGTATCGACTGTTCTTGCCAGGACTGAAGGAGGCGTTGTCGGGAAGTAGTCTGGCGCAGTTGGCTGGGAGCACGGTTGGTAGTCCAGCAGCTCAGGGGCAAGGGCAGTGGCAGGGGCAGCAAGGACAGAATGGCCAGAGGCAAGGGCTGGTAGAATGGGCAAGACAAGAGTGTTATAAACACGCTCGCGCGATGGCAGATATGTTTGCCCAAGTGCTGGCTTTGGGGGAAAGTAGTGTGCCGTTAGCGGATGTAGATCTGCCGGGGTGCGCATTGCAGTGTGGACGGGTGTTGTATCATTCTTTTCAAACTCGTGATGGGGGACAGTCGCCGGCTCCGTCGGCGGAGGGAGTGAGGGAGATGGTTAGTGTTTGTTTGAGGGTGGCGAGGTTGGCATGTCCGGGGCCTGCGAGTAGGGCTATTGTGAGCCTTCCCCCCCCATCTTCTCCCTATCTTTGCTCGCGAATGTAATGCTAATGATGTTGCAGCAATCCGACATCGAAAAACTCCTAGCCGAGGGCCTCCCCATCAGCCAAGTACAAGTTACCGGGCAGACTCCCCGACCCAACGACCTCTTAACACCCACCCCCGGACCCGCGCCCTTCTCCCCCGGTCCCCCAGGGGCATTCAGCATGTCCAATGTCCCTCTACCCGGCCCCATTCCCCTCATAAACGACCCGCACGAACTCGGCCCCCCTCAAAATCTATTACCAGCGATGGCACCACCCGTACCATCACAACACGCTCAACAAGCACCCCAAATGCTCCCACCCGTCTCCAACTCCGGACCAGCACCAGTAGGCGTCGGCGTAGGCGTAGGCGCAGGGTTAGGCCCAGGCCCAGGCGTAGCACCCTCCCAAGCCAGCCAAATCACAACCGGCTCCAACGCCTTTGAAGAGATCCTGAATGTGAACGGGATCAATTTCGGCGGGGGCGGTTTGGGGATGAATGAGTTCTTTGCTCCAGACGCGTGGGGTTTGGGGCTGTCGCCGTTTCCGATGGGGTTGACGGGGGGTGAGTGGACGGTGCAAGGGCAGGGGCAGGGGCAGGGGGGTGGGCAGCAGGGGGGGTTTCATGGGGATCATGGCTGATGGAACGCTTGGGAGATAGATGAGAGGATGGGGGCGATAAAAGCCGTTGTCGGGAAACAGCATGTCGGTGGGAGAGAATGGGTGGAATGTCGGTTGTTGGTTGATGCGAGTGCAACAGGTGGTTTGTGGCTGTTGTTGTTAAGATATCGAGAGTATGAGAGCATACAAAGATTAATGAGATACCCCTTTCTTCAAGAGGCCTTTCTTTCCTTGTCCACGGGTACAAACATGACTTGCTCCTGTGAAAGGCTGCTTCTGTAGAGGTAGGTAATTGTTGTCTTTACAAAGTGTTTGGCAACCGTTCATTGTCCAAGGAGGAAGAGCGCCTCAGCTGTCAACACTCGGATCAACACTAATAACGATTGTCACCGCTCTGACCGTTGGTCGTGCCGTCAATCGTTGCAGCCATGCAAGTCATTCCCGCCATTACAATCTAATGCTGGTTTGTTTGTTAGCTTGGTACTCCTGGTATACTGGACGATATTCATCCCGAATTGTCCTAAACTTCGCAAAGATAAAATGAACGGCTAGGTACGGATCGGAAAGGCATTAATAAGATTCAATATGGTATATCAAGTTTCCAAAGAAGCATATGCAAGGTAAGATCGCGCTTTGGTTATGGAACGGAACGGATCAATTAGATATAAGAACACCTAGGGAAGTTGATCCGAGGTCTTGAGCTAACAAACAAACCAGCGTTGGACTGTACATGTATATATGCATGGTCAGCCTTGTAGGGCGCGCCATGGCACGGAAAGTCGCGGACTTTATTCAACCTCACCACATGTATATCCATGCACTGATCTTCCATTCTCCGGATGAGCGTGTCTTGATTATTGCGATTCTCTGTCACCATATCTCCTTGTGTTGGTAGAAGAAGGCCGTGAACGTATATCTCTCTTTGACCTCTGGCCTCGCTCGTTTCTCTGCTTTCCTGACGGTAGGCGGCTATCACCATTATCGCAAGCAGGCCGAGAGCAAAGCGGGCAAAAAAAGGAACATCGTAGTGACAGTCACTTGGGTGTGGTTCATTGACTATAGCACGTTTGTACTTCCATGCAGTCTAGCTACGTGCTCTGTTCTACTTCCAGTCTAGTAACTAGAGGTACCGCCACCTGGCATTGACTATGATGTACTACTTTGCCATTCTCGGCATTTCTATCTACGTCTTTGTCCATTTCATGACTCCCATCTCTTGATCAAAGACCAGTCAGTGTCTCTATATCCCTGAAACATGTGAACTCCCGCTCATGCCATCATTCTATGCCCGGGTATCCTCCGCCAAAGCCAGAAGCCAAAGGGTATCTCGCTATCAAAGAGAAAACATAGGAAAAGACCCCCTCCCTGGCGGGTATATACTCCACAAAGGTAATCCGTCAAACAAAACCTCCTACATCTTAAACATGTCCACCTCCTCCGGAAATCTCCTTTTGAGATTATGTCTCACAGAGACTCATTAGGCTCAAGGATGCTTACCCATCCTCCCATGAACGAGCTTGTTCTCAAGTTCCTTGCTCGGTCCTTTCCAGTTTGCACTTCTTTTGTGCAAGCCAGTGTCTTCGACGAAACTGGCATCAACAACTCTTCCCCTAAACCATCTTTCCCTTCACCATCGTCCCCTGAGTCTGACCAGCCTTCACCATCCCCCTCTCAGGATTGACATCGATGCATGTTTGATTCTCCCCAAACGAATTCTTCGGATGGATGTTCTTGACGAGGCACTGAGAGTCAGGAGGGATTTCCCACTCATCGTCCCAGCCCTTGTAGGCCTTGAACTCCTTGCCTCCAATGAGTTGCACCTTGACACCATCGCCTTCCAGTACCTTGCATTTCAGAAGTTGGTTTCTGGACGCCTGGATGAGTTTGGTATCCGTGCCCTTGAGAGAGAACAGTTGGCCAGGGGTGCCCTCCGGGATGCAAAATGTTCCCGAGGACCCCTGCGATTTGTTGGTTCGTTTTTGCGGGGCGGTTCTTGGTTTGTTGTGGCTGGTGAGGTTGGAAAGGGAGTGCGTCGTCGAGGAAACAACAGGAGTAATAACCTGAGGAACCTGTGCTGGCGAGGACTGAGCCATCTGAGAGCCCGGTGTCGTCTTTACAACCTTCCCCTATGCTTCTAATGCTTGCTCCTTGGTGTACTGAATGTGGCCATTCAGTGATTGCTTGCGGTAATAGCTATTGGCGCACATCTGGCGCCCCAGTCTCTTGGCAAGGGGCACGGAGTCGAGAAGGTGCCGCGGCAAGAAAACGCATTTTGGGAATGCATACTTTACGAACACGCGATCCCAAAGTCCGGGGCCATCTCTCTGCAATGACTCGGCGTACTCAGCTGCTTGTTGGTTATGAGCACAACCCATCACGCTACATGGGCTCGTGACAGCCTCAGTTCCTCCAAGGTACAAAATTACCGAGGTATATGTCTTCAGATCGTGCTTCTTGAATCCCGCGAGCCTGAATTTCCATGCCTCTGGAAGATCTCGGCATTTCCGAAGAGTTAGCAGCTCGAAAATCGCTGCATCATCTGGAATCTGTGTGCCAGGTTGAAGGAACTCCAGCATGTACCTCCAGATCTCTGGGAGTTCTGAATTGGCTTCTTGGGTTGGCATGGCAGGGACGTTCTTGGAGTGCTGTGCGCTGGGTTGTTGTGTGCTGGGTCGGTGTCTGCCGGCTTGGTGTGTGTCAGTTAGCTCGCGGGGATTGCCACCATTGAGACCGGGCATGTTGCCGGGTAAAAATTCGAAGGGATCAAAGTCAAAGGAGTCGGGATCGTCATCATCCATAGGATCATCCCGATTTTCTTGCGCCTTGATGGCGGAACTCGCGCCCCCATCTCCAGCCTTTGCTTTCTCCTTTTCAGATGTCACACCATTGGAGGTCTTGTTCTTGGTTGGAGTGTCTAGCAGAGTGGGCTTTTGGCCAGGGGGGTTCTCCGGGATGCAGAATGTTCCTGAGGACCTCTGCGATGAGGCAGAGGCTGGCTTGGGGAGTTGTTGGTGGGTTGTTCTGGGCTTGTTGTCGATGGTGAGATTGGCCAAGACTGGTTTCGGTGGTAGGGGGTGGGTAATGGGGTGATTTGATCGGGATGCTGTCGTTTGTGAGCGGGCATGTGCTGGCTCACCGGTCGGTGGTGCAATGCTCAGCTTGCTCGTTGGAGTGGTACTCTCTCGTGTGGTGTTCTCGACTGCATTTGCTTTAATAGCGGCGATTTCGTCAACGTAAGTAGGTCGCACTGCCCCTTCCGGCTGCTGAAAGCCTACCCACCAATAGTACGCATTGCAACAGAAGTACATATCCACCCGCTTTAATATGGCCTGAGATGAGAGGATATGAGGAGGCAAGTAAACACATTCTGGGAACGCAGAACGGCACTTTCGACACCCTCCATCTTTGTGGCCAGGGTCGGCGCAGCTGACGGCACCATGCATCAGATACTTGTGACATCTCATACGCTTACAAGGGGTAGTAAGCGAGGAGTCTCCAACAAGGTACCAGATAATTGCCGTGAGTTGATGAAAGACTGAGGGTATTGAAGGTACCGAGTCGGCGTCGCCAAATGAAAGGAAGATCCCGGCGCCTACGCAGGGTGAGTAACTCGGCGATGGCTGCATCGTCAGGATAAGGTGTAGCGGTCTTTGCAAACTGGGTGATGTAGATCCAGATATCCAAGCTCTGAGGTTGCGGTGGCTGTTCCGAGATACTAGCCATGGCTCCAGGGTCTTGGCGGTTAACCGGCTCCTGTATGCTCCGATTGCGATCATGTACCGGCTCGACAGGGTCATTGAACAGAAAGGGATCATCTTGGAAGGGGTCCTCTTGGGTCTCTACCTCATTGCCACCTGAGCTTTGCGCCTCCCTCTGTGCCTCGACTCTCTTGGAACCTGAAGTCGCAGAGTTGCTCTCCCTTTGCAATTCAGCCAAGCTAGGCTTCACATCCTCCTCGTCGCTACTGATATCGATAACCTCATGGATGGAGTTGCCGGTGGGACGACCCACAAGACCGGCACCAGGAGCTGTGTGTCGAATGGCCGGCGGTGGAGCAGGTGAAGCGGCGGGCGCCGGAAGAGGACGAGCTGCTGTCGGGGTGGCGAAGGGTCTGGACGCAGAAGCTGCCGCAGATGTCGTCGGGGAAGGGGCAGCAGGAACTGCGGCAGGAGCTGCTGCAGGCTGCGGTAGGTTGGGCAGCTTGACATCCTTGACAGCCGTCGGGTTGACCTCCGATTCCCAGTCCTTCGGTGGCTGTCGAACATCATCAGGTTTACGCTTGTTGTCCGGCTCAAAGTAGCCCCTCTTGACCACAATAGAGCGGAACCTGCCGTCTTTATCCGGAGTCTTTCGCTCGCCAATCGCCCAGAAGAAACCGCGGCGAACTTCATCGTATAGGAGCAGTTTACGATGGGCCCTCTGTTTGGTCACGATGGTCAGTAGGTACTTATAGTACAAGGTTGATGAATATTGACATGGTGGATGGATACCGGAATGGGAAACACGATGATTCAAATTGGGCAAACAAGAACTGAACGAGATGCGATGCGTACCGAGAAGTGAGCCCCAAGCTGGGTAGGTTGCTCAAAACGTTTCCTACAGCTTTCCAGGGGGCATGTCCACGGATCTGAATGGCGGAAATCGATTTGGTAGTTGGTCGGGTACAGTGCGCCACCTCCCGATATAATCTTGAAGCCGCCGTCTGGACACTCGATGTCAGCTGTGGAAACGCTCCGTAAGAGTGGTTACGGATACTTACACATCATCCCCTTCCATTCATCGTACCTCCTATGACCATCATAGGGGCCGATCAGTATGTCAGGGTCGGAGTTGTCGGCGGCGGCGGCAGCGGCGGCGGATGCGGAGGTGCCATTACTGCTCCTCTTGTTTGGACGGGCACCACCTTGTCCGCCCTCCCACTCCCGCTTCCTGTTGATCGAGGGCATTGTGCCGTTTGCGACTGCAGGAAGCGAGAGATTGAGTCGGCGGCCTAGTGATCTGCAGGAAGGTAATGGAGGGTTGGCAGGTAATGAGGATGGATGTAGTAGATCGATGCGATGCCACTTGATGCGAAGCGACCTGACTCCCAGTGAAGTGGCGGGTCTTGGATGATCAAGTCCGAACGCGTTTGGGAAAGCGAGCAAGTGCAAGCTGCCATAAAAGTTTTGGGGGAAGAATAAGAAGACTCATTCGGTGCCTGAAACTGAAAACATGTGGGACTGAGGGAAGGAACGGCCGTGTGTCCTGACGGCCGGCACGGGCCGGCAAGTTGACATCCGGTGCCGGCAGTTGCCATGAAATCGAGGTGCCCTTCCGCTCTCTTGACACCTGATCTTGTTACATTTCTTTCACATTGCTTCCGTATTTCAAGTCAAAGCCAGTACCACGGCATCTATCCGGCTTCTGGGTGCCCTCCTCTTAACGCTATGATGTGTATCTTCACTCAGAGAGTATCTAGGTATCCGGAAGAACTTGAAAGACAAAATATTCAACATGATGGCTATATACTCAAAAACAACATCCACAAAACAAAACCTCCTACATCTTTCACCAGTTATGTCTATCCCACTCTTTCTTCCTCAGCTAATCATTCCTTACTTGCCAACACGGGCTGAGATTTGACCTTAAGCACAGCAACCTCTTGGGCCGCCGGGAAAAAGTTGCTGACCAAACACTGACTGTCCGGGTCGACAGTCCAAGTCTTTGATGCGTCCACCCTGCTTGTGATAGCCATGCCACCGTTTTTGATGATCTTGACCTTCATGCTTCCTGCCACGACCATGCATTCCAAGGTGTGCCTTCTGGATGCCTGTAGGAGTTGGGTCTCTTCACCTTGGAGGCCGAGGAACTGGGGGGATTTATTGGCCGGGTTGAAGATGGCTGCCTCCTGCGAGTTTTCTGAGCGGCTTTGCTGCTGAGATGTGGAAGGAGCCGTGGATGTGTCCTGCATCGTAAGGTTGGACAGAGAAGCTGCCGCAGAAGATACTGGAGTAACTTGGGCCTGGCTAGTCAATGAGTGTTGTTGTTCCACTCCAAGGTCTTCTTTTTGGCGCGTACCTTCTCCTTTCGTCTTCTTCCTTGTTTTGTCTCTCACAACATTAAGCCACTTATTCGTTTCTACGTTGGGATTCACTGGAGAGCTTTCCAACCCGGACTTATTTCCTGTGTGTTCCGTCACACCGTATTGTGAAGTTGCTTGTTGTGCCGAGCCCCGGTGAGTGGTCGTATCCCGAACCATGGTCGCAGGTTGCAGAGGAGGGCATCCAGGTAGTGAGGTTTGCGATAGTGATAGCTGCACCGCATCATTGCCAGCTTTGCTTGTCAATGTGGCCGTATTTGGCATTGTGCTTGGTGTGTTCGTGCTCAGTGAGGTGCCAGCAGACTTATTGATAGAGGTAGATGCATTCTTCATGACCTCCGCACGCTCTGCATGCCGTGCCGCCTTGATTTGCTCATTGGGAACCATGTTCTTCCAAGGGGCTTCCTTCTTCCAGCCCCTGTGATATGCGTTGCAGCACAAATGATGACCCAATCGCTCACTGATTGGAACTGAGTCGAGGAGGTGACCTGGCAGGAAAACACATTTAGGAAATGCATACATGTAGTCGATCCAGCTCCCACGATTGAACTCGATCTCGTAGAAGGCATTTACCTCTGTTTGGACGCTACATCCCATCCATTTGCAGGGGCTGTTAGACGCTTCGTCCCCACCGATATATAGAACTAGTGCGGTGAGTGTAGTCAGATGGAAATCCTCAAACTTCGAGACTCTATTTTGCCATGTTTTCGGAAGGTCGCGGCGCTTTGGGAGTGTAAGGAGCTCAGTGATGGCCGGATCATCAGGAACCGGAATTTCGGTCTTGGTAAGCGTCATGAGGTACCGCCAAATTGCTGACTTGCTGGGATCGGACGGTTGCTTGGAGTCGGCAAGGACGATCGGTGAAGTATCGGTACTTGTTTCCTGCTGTTGTGTGGCGTTCTTGCGGAGAACAGGCAGATTGGAGGGCTCAAAGTCGAAGGGGTCGGAATCGTCATCATCTTCACTGTTGGATGTGGACGAGCTGTCTTCGAGGTGCTGCGCACCGGCTTCCTGCCTCCAACTCGCAAAGATGTTCCTATGATGCTGTGCACCGCCCAGCTCTTGAGGATTGTTCACCTCAAACATTGCGCCATGGCCGTTTTTTTCGTACCCTGTTAGCAGTGCCAGTGTTCTTGGTCTCCCCTCTTGCTTTCTCTCGTTGTGCCGGGAAACGCGAGGCAGTGTTTCCCACTGGAGTACCTTTAACAACTGGCTTGACATCCTCGTTATCGCTACTGAGGTCGATAACATTGCGAGACGATGGCCGCGCCGCTTGGGCGGGAGTGGTAAGCGTCGAGACAGAAGAATTGACGGCGCGAGCAGCAGTAGACGGGGAAAGGGCGGTTGCGGTGGCAGCGGCGGAAGCGGCCGGGGCTTGTCGATCATCTTGTCTACCTGGAGCGCGAAATCCTCTGTCGACAACAATGGGTCGAAACCTGCCGTCCTTGTCTGGGTTAGTTCTCATGCCTCTGGTGTGAAAGAAACCGCGCTCTTCCTCGTCGTAGAGTTTCAAGCCGCGATGAGCTTTCTGTGAGGAACATTGGTTAGTGGATGAGGGTCACACAATGGAAGGGAACAGTAACGATGGCGACGGCAATAAATGCCGAAGCAGCCAGCGCATAGCGCAACCCGAAGGAGAGAAGGAGAGGGTAGTACTGACCGAAAAGTGACGTCCAAGGTTACTGCACTGGTCGAAAGGAATCCTACAGTTGTAGAGCGGACAGATCCACGGGGAGGGATATTTGATATCGAGCTTGTAGTTGGTTGGGAAGAGGGCGCCACCTCCGGATAATGTCCTATGGATGCCATCTCCTGTGTTCTTGGTGTGAGCAAGCCGCTTGAAATAAAACTTGAACAAGAAAAGCAAAAAAGTCATTTACCTATATCACCCTTGAACTCGCCGTATCTCCTCGATCCATCCGCGAGACTGGTCAGCGCTGGAGGGTCGCTCTCTTCGGCAGAGGCTGGGCTCGAGGACGCAGCAGGTGCGCCCTGCGATCTCCTCTTGTGGGGCCGGGCATCTTCCGGTCCTCCATCGCTGGGTCGCTTTCTGCTCGTATCGGTAGGAGGCATCGTGGCAATCCAAAAACCAGCAAGAGGGATACAAAGAGCGAGAGGTTACGGAAGCGATGGCTGGGACTTGGCGAAAAGAAAGCAATAACGCAGGCCAGGTCGCGCTTGATGTCGTGGGGAGAGTGAGTAGTGGGACTTGACCGAAAAAAGGGTGAGAGTCACGACTTCCGCAAGAGAAAGACTAGATTAGATACCTGAAGCTGAAACTTTCGGGACTGGGTGAAAAAACGACTGTGTGCCCTGACGGCCGGCACGGGCTGGCAAGTTGAGAACGGGTGGGTCACCATCGCAAGACGGGATGATGCAAGCTGAGGACCAGTGAAGGGAGGAACTCGGAGTTGGTATTTGACGTGAAAGTGATTACGTATGATACGAGCTTGTGGAAATGAGCAAGAAAACGAAGGAAACAACAGAGATGCATTCAATGAAAATCGCTGGAACAATCGACTGACAATGAGCGCCGTGACAGAAAGACTTCTTCTAACGCTGGAAGGTGCAAGATGTGCAAGATAAAAACGCCGACTTTGTGAAGATGCTGACCCAAGATGTAACCAAGTGTTTCCGGCATTGCCATCCATGCTTGCGTTCATCGCACCAGCCCGAAATCCCTTGGAGGCCACCACGTGAACAACGGCGGTAGGTATTCTTTTCACGGCCACTCAGCCGCCATGGAACCATGCGGATTGGATATTTTGGCTGGAGTGGCGATGATGCTCCCTCGACGGGAGTTCATGGCATCAAGCTTCGTGCCCCGCCCCGCCTCTTTCTCTTCGCAGTTTCCTCGATACAAAGCGCGAGGCTGGGAGATACGGCAAGGCGAATGGAGGCTCACATCCCGAGCAGGTAAGCCGAGATCTTCCGCCTACGCAGTGTCAACGAAAACAGGGATGACATAGAAAACAACGTTGCAAGCATCATGTAAACTAAAACATGATCCGAAAGGTCCTCTCTTGGAGTGAATATGCCACTCGGCTTGCAAAAAGAACTTAAATCGGAACCTAGACGCCGGAAGTGCAAAGGGGTATCTCGTGAAACAGAAAGGGAAAAGAACAGCAAAAGAAACAGAACGAAACATAACCTCCCAACCAACCGAGCCTGTTGACTTCAACAACCGCTCTTCAATCCCTCCACTGCGCCAAGCGATTCGTCCTCCTCTTTCTCTCGTCTTCTAAACTTTCCCGCCCCCTCTTACACAGCATTCTCGCACAACACTCAGCCCACGCAGCTTCACCAACCACCACCACAATCAACAAACAATACAACAACCTCACGCATCCTCCATCACTACCTCCCCCACCTCCACCTCCTCCCCTTCAGCCCAATACGCATTAACGCACCCCCCAAACTCGCCAAACCGCTCCCTCATCGCCCTCACACCGTCACTCTCTCCCGTCAAATCCTCCTCTCTAACGCCCTTACACTTCGGAAATGCCATGTCTTTATGAATTGTCGTGCTCCCCTCGTTGAATGCCTTGTTAATCTCGTCGAATCTGGCGCGCGAAAGTTTGCCGACGGGACAGTGCGGCGAGTGGCAGGGTGTCGTTGAGTCCTTGCGGGAGAGGTATAAGGCGAGGGAGCCGAGGTCTTTGAGGGTTAGGGGGCCTGATGAGTTAAGGTTGTTGTTCTCATTGTTGTTGGCGTTATTAGTGTTGCTGGAAGGTCCGGCAACGGCAAGGCCGGAACGAGAAAGATTCGAAGGGGGATAGAACGGTGAGATAGAGGCAGGAGGAGTTGGGGTCGGCGAAGGCGATGAAGGGAACGGGGTAGAAGTCCGGAGGCGATGCTTCCAGCACTTAGGAAGGGCACAGACACGAGGTTCGGAGAGGAGGGTCAGGAGACAGGCGTCGAGTGGGAGAGGGAGAGGCGAAGGGGTAAAGCTGTTGATATAGTCCCAGATCGATGGATTCTTGGGCTTGGTGAAGTCGGGAGTCCTGTTGCTGTTGTTTCTCCTATTGGCGCCGCCGTTGTTCCTTTGGTTGCTGCTATTGCCACGGTTATTGGCCGCTGCGGCCGGGAGCTCGCGAAGGGGAAGTTGGCCGGGCGGGACGATTGCGGGAGCGCGCGGGAGCAAAACCGGGACTACGTTGATGGCCGCGAGAGCAGAAGAACTAGGCGCACCGTTGTCAGCACGAATTGGAGGCGCACGTGCGAGAACAGGCTGAGGCGCAGGGGCAGGTGCCGGAGCAGGTACCGGCGCAGGAGCAGGAGCAGCTGGGACGGGAGCAGCGGGAGCAGCCTGTGCCGCCGGTACTGGTTGAGCCGCGCCTTGTTGAGCCGCAACCTGCTGGCCCTGTGCTTGCTGAGGTCGTGGTTGACCACCAGGATAAACAGCCCGTCCTATAACGATAGGCGCCCATGCCGCACGACCATTACGATATTCTTTGGCGGTCGGCACACGTTTCTTGCCCGTCTTGATAAACTTGCCATTACGGCAATCGTGTAACAGTGCCTTTCGGTGCTTCATCTGCGTTTGAACAACGGTCAGGAAACTCCTCCGCTGCTGCGAGGTCAATCTGGTGATCGTGATGCGGACGTACCTTGAAGTGATTGCCCAACCTGTGGGGAAGATCAAACGCCTCGTGACAATCATGAAGAGGGCATCGCCACGAATTGACCTGGTTCCAACTGGGCTGATAGCCCTCCGGATACATTGCGCCGTTGCCGACAACGTGGATTTGTTCGCCCTGTGCTTTGGGCTGGATCTTAGTGACATTGTTCTGAGATCCGCCCAGTTGATGGCACTGGAGGATGGGGATTGATTGACATACCGTTGCGTCCGCACCACTCATTATAGTTGCGCTCATCATTCCTCAAGACTTTAAATCCGCCAGTGCGTTGTCTCTCCTTAAGCCACTCCTCCTGAGGCTCTTGGTCTCCCGAACTGTCGGAGTCGGAGTGCGACTCGGATTCGGTACCGGCACGATCACGAAGACGACGACGAGGCATTGTCGAATGGTTGCAATCTGATGGGCAATGATGAGCTAATGCAAATGCGATTGCAATGCGATTGCAATCCTTGAGAAGCAATTAAGCAAGTCGTAGGTGATGGCGGATGTGGTGGTGTTGGCCGAGGGAAAAAATGGGAGAGTTCGCAACACCGGGGGAAAAAAAGAATTCGTGGCCAGCCAAGAGCACGGATGGCTTCCCACGCAAGTGTGCAAAATGTGCAAGTGCGCAACCCGTCCCGTGTGCCGTGTCCCGGTCCGGCAAAGAAAAACTCGATTGTGGCTGGTGCCTTGTGAATTAGGGCTTCTGTCGGAAGGAACGAACGGGATTGGAAGATCACTTCGTTCTCACTTTGTCGTTGATGTTGTCATGATGGTTGGAAGGTGAGAAGGAGGTGAGAGAAGCATAGGTCGGAGGTGGGGGACGAGCGGCATACCGCTGGACATGTCCGGATGAACATCGTGGCCAAACATCCCTATCCATCTCCCACAATGGCCTTCACCACACAGCATGTCCCCCCAGAAAAAGAGGCCATCCGTTGGCACTCCTCTTGTCGATATCCAGGGCAGCATTGCTCCCGCCGGTGTCTCTCGTCCCAAGCACAAGAGAACCCTCACCAGCATTAATGCTGTAGAGAAGGATGTAGTTGATATATCTGCCGGTAGATTGTTGGGAGGGCCTTCAAGGATGCTCATCGGAAGACATTCAAGAGCATCTCGAGATGGCAAGAAGCAAGCAGAAGAAGGAAAACATGCGTGAAGGGGCCAGTTGAGTCTTTTATAACCGAGTGTCAACAAGTCGTCTGAAGTAAACAGATACCCCTGATCATGAAGGACAAAGCTCGTGTCGCCTAGCCACAACATATGTACCTAGCAACTTTGAACATCGCAGCAAACAAAACTTGACAATGGCCATTGTCCCTTTAAATGTTCTGAGTAGGAAATCGTGCACTTGCAGCCGGTGTTGTTTTTGTTCCGGTCAAACCACCACTTGGAGGAACGAAAAGAACTTTCTTCCCAGCAAATCCAAGACGCTCAACACATTGCGATCTCACACCATGCCCCCCGGCGGTTTTCACAGCATTTATTGCCGTCGTATTCATACAGCATCTTCGTCTCAATGCAATGTCCATCACATGCACTTCTCGTTTCATTCCCATCCACCTGTCTATGATTTTAGACCACATTTTTCAGACATCGTGACCCTGACCCTCACAGTTCTCATGCAGCGCGCAATGGGAAAGAAAGGGTACGACGGTAGGGACATATTCCACACGGCAGAAAAGACAAAAGATCTTAGTATAATAATAACACATGGTGGTACATCACCTTTCGTATTCTAACAATCCTCCCTTCCCTTACTCCTTCTTCTCGGTCTTGGAGTCCTTTTTGGGCTCAGCAGCCTTCTTCTTCTCCTCAGCCTTGGGCTTCTCAGCAGCAGCAGCAGCAGCAGGCTTCTTCTCCTCAACCTTGGGCTTGCTCTCCTTCTTGACCTCGGGAGCCTTGGGCTTCTCAGCCTTCTTCTCCTCAACCTTGGGGGCAGCAGCAGGCTTCTCAGCCTTCACCTCCTTCTTCTCAACCTTCTCAGCAGCACCACCCTCCTTGGCCTCCCTAGCCTTCTTGGCCTCCCTCTGCTTCGCCAAAAACTCTTGCCTCTGCACCAACCTCTGCTCCCTCTTCTCGCGCACACGTCTCCTGTACTCCTCGCGTCTGTCCGCCTTGGCCAGCTTCCGCTCCTTGATGCCGAGCAAGAAAGTGTTTCTTCTCCTCCTGCGCGCGCGGAACTTGGCCTTTCTGCTGCCGATCTTCTCGGTACCGGGCACGGAACCGGGGTCGCCGATCAAGCGACCAATCTCCCAGTTGGTCTCGCGGTACGAGTAGTTGTTCATCAGGCGCAGGACGCGCGTGCCGCGGCGCGCGAGCATCTTTTGCTGCTGCAGCTTGCGCAGAGCCGATTGTCGCGCGTTGTACTCGGCGCGGGCGGCGAGCTTTTCCTTGATGAGTTCGGCGATGACGGAGGAGCCGCCGTTGTTTGACGAGGAGGCGGAGATGGTGCTGCTGCTGGAGGCAGGGACGGCGGCGGCGCCGGAGGCTGTTACGCGGGCGCCCTTGCCCTTGACTTCCTTGCCGGCGGCAGCGGGCGTCGTCACTGCTGGTGGGGGGATCTCGATGGTCTCGTGGCGGGTGACCCAGAGGGGAAGGCCGGAGGCGGACACGGTGGGCTTCTCGACCTCTTCGACCTTGCGGGGCATGGCGACGAGGCCGAGCTTGCGCTTGCGCGGGGCGTCCTGGGGGTAAGGGAGCTTGTCGTTGCGGTTGAAGACGACGCCGATGTACTGACGGTCCGGGTGGCGCTGGGGGTCACGGTAGTACTTGACGTAGCCGGCGACGGCGGCGTGGATGGTGTGGTCGCGGCCCATGATGGTGTTCTCGCCGGGGTGCCATAGTGTGCCGCGCTGCTTGTAGATGATGTTGCCGGGGATTACGTACTGGTCTTTGAGCAAAGAGACAAGGTCAGCGTTATTGTTGCTGCGCAATGCGCGCAAGCCTTGTATGGTGCAAACATACCACCCGTCTTCTTTGCGCCGAGCTTCTTGGGGATCGTCTTCTTGGGCTTGAGCTTGTAGGCACCCTGGGACTTGACACTGGCATAACGGCGACCCTGGACGGCAACATTGCTACTTGTTGGGCCGATGCGGAGGTGGGCGAACTGCTCGGAGAGGATTGCGGTCGCCGAGACGGAGGAGTGGGTGGTGGGTAACCGGCAGACGGAGTGGCAGCTGTTGGCAGCAGCCCTCGTCAAAGGCTGCCGCAGCTGTGCTAGATGCATTGTGTTTGTTGTTTGTGATTGTGCTTATGAAGTCGTCGTCGTCGTCGGTCCGAGGCAGTCGTCGTCGTTGTCCAGTCGTGTCGTCCCGGGACAAAGTTCGAAGACACCACACACGGAGGGCGGGGGGCGACCGGGCGGAGTGTGGGTGGTGGGTGCGGTCGGAGGACGGAGGGGGGAGGGGACCTGCGGGCGGAGCGGACGGAGGAAGGGTTGCCAATGTCCGCACGACGCGCGGGAGTCGAACGAAAACCAAACTCAAATTCGGGCGGGTCCAGTCCAAAGCCGTGAGCGACCGAAAAAATGCCCCACTCAAAAGTTGAGGTCGCACCAGAGCCGCGAGCCGGAGAGCCAAGACTTGAGGGCAGCGCATTGGCCAACCCCGGGGTAGCTTTCTGCTTAGTCACCCAGTCCCTAACCGCAGAGGCGGCCAAGCACAGGGTCAGTGCACGAGAGGTACGATAAGATAAGATAAGATAACACGAACAGTCCCGGGATTTGGACAAATTGGCCAGCAAGGCCCCTGCACTGGACGCCCGTAGCTTCCAGCGACCACAGCACTGTTTCCATCGCCATCGCCATCGCCATCGCCAGCCGTGTAATTGACAGCTTGGCGACAACCTAATCGTCCAAGATCCCGTCGCAACACCACCACACCACCAGTCATTTACCCATTCCTCTCCAATCCCAACCGATTATCTTCTACGAATAAGAACGTCAAAATGCGCACCCTCCACCTCCTCCTCCTCTCCCTCCTCACCCTCGCCTCCCCCATAGCCGCCCAATTCGGCTCCTTCTTCGACCAAATGTTCGGCGGACACGGGCACGGTCACCAACAAGAACAGCACCAGCACCGCGGCCACGGCCAGCAACAGCACCCGAATGTGCCCAGCGACCCGTCGATTTACCAGGCGAATTACCAGCGGGCGCATTGCGACAAGTATTTGTGTCCTGATACTTTGGGTATGTGGCGGGACTTCCTTTCATTGTTTGTTGGTTTAGGTTTGGGAAACAAAGATAGATGGGGCAGAACTGAACAGAGAGGCTAATCGGGATAACACAACGATGAACAAACAGCATGCGTCCACTACCCACACCACTGCCCTTGCCCGTGGCCGTCGCACGAAGACAAGGCTGAGCTAGCGGAGGGTCAGCGTATTTGTGTCTCGAGGGGAGGGTTCAAGGCTGGAGAGGCGGCGAGGAAGATTGAATTGGCTAGGAAGGGGATGCTCTGAGCTGCCCCCTCTCGGAAGATAGGGGAAGTGGAGCCGTGGACAAGAGGAGGATCACACGTTGTGAACTGGGAAGCATTGCTTGGGGTTTGGCGTTACAATATCACGATGACAATCTAGACAAAGAACTTCTGGATGGTTTCTTGGGATTACCTCTTATGTAAAGAGACTCGAGTGCCATAAACGTGTGTCCGCCCATATTATTGTCCCTATCGAAGCTATCGAGAGAAGCGAGGAGAAAAGAATAGAAAGAAGAATGGTAAGAGGCTGCGTGTGCATTCTTATTCTTGTGTTTTGATATCAGAAAAGGGGGGCCTGTAATACATGAAAACCTTCATAATCCATAGGGTTCGTAAGAAGAGAACAAAAAAGAAACACATTGATGCTTCGCTATCAAAATTCGAAATGCAGACGCCAATCAGATCGGCCGCGCGCCGACTGATATAAGGTATACCATCACCAACCCTTTCCCTTCAATAAGAGCAAGCCGTAGGGAGATAAAATAGGGACCGCCCAGTCATCAACCACATACATAAACCGTCCCAGACACGAAAGTAAACGTCCATCGCGTCCTTCTCTTACCCGGGCGCACCGGTAGCTGTATCGCAGTCGTCCTCCAGTATCGCAATCTTAGCAATGCACGCCACCGCAACCTCCTGGCCTCCATATCCATCTTCTTTGTTGCTAGGACTCGGATCACCGTAACCGTCAGACCATCAACAGGCGTGACGGCTAAGGCTAAAGCTTGAAGGTCCCGATACGCGACACGTAACTGCGATCGACGCCCTCTGGGTCTCCTTCCTACGACGATCCATTGGGCATTGTCGGAAGAGGCGGCACCTCAGGGGTCTCCTCATCCTCATCATCGTCCTCATCTTCCAGATTCTCCGGGTGACCAAGTAGCGAAGCCACGCTCCTCATCTCGTAGTGCTTCTTGCGCATCTCCTCAAACTTGCGATGCTTCTCCCTCTCTTCGGCGCTGAGGCCATCAAGTTCATCATCGGGATCATGGCCGCTGCCGTTGCTATCAACGTGCACAGCTCTGGGGCGCTTAGGCGAACCGCCATCCTCTGAATGGGCAGTAGCACCCTTTCCAAAGGGGAAGCCACCCTCGGGCACCGCCTCCTCAGGCTCGCCGAGCGACAGGCCGGGGATCTCGTCGTCAATGTTGCCATGCCTGCGCTTGTTCTGCTTAGGGAGAGGCGACAGGCCGTCCACGCGATCCATGTCGATCTTGTTATGGTCGATGGCTTCTGGGGCTTCCTCGTCGTCGTCCGAGGGGTCCTCGGCGGGATCATAGTGCTTAGCGTACGGCGTCTTGGGCTCGTCGATCTTCATGGTGCTGGAGCGCTCCTGCTCGGTGAGGTAGAGGTTCGCCTCGTCCCATTTGAGGCGCTGGCCTTGTTCCGCGGAGTCTTCGTCGCCGTGATGGCTGGGCGTTGTCGAGCGGCGGGAACCGCTGAGACCGGGCCGCGATCCGGCGACCGATGATGCGCGGCGGGGACCGGCGTTGATCTGAGTGTTCATGATGGTGATCTCCTTGGCCTCCTTGGCGGAGGAGGGCATGTGGATCAGTGGCGGGGGGTGACTCGCGTCGTGGTGGTGGGTGTCGAGGGGGGAAATTGGGCCCGCGGGCGGAGAGCCACGGTAAGAGTTCTTGAGAATACCTGGACATGAAGCATCCGTTAGCAATCGAATATCGATGAAGGAACTGGGCGACTGCGTTGCTGGGTTGGGGGCTGGCTCAACATACCCTTTGGCCGCGGGACCGTAAGAGGCGGCGGAGAGTGTGTAGGTGACGTTTCCATGGCGGTTGACATGTTTGGAAACAAGCTGTGTGTGTTGATGAACAGTCAATGAACTGCGATCAAGAAGGTATCGACGATAATGTTGACCGAAGAAGGTGAAGATAAGACGCGCGCGCAAGCAAAGTTAAGCTGTCGTTTCGTGTTGTTGGCGAGGTGAGATTGTTGGATTGAGAAAGCAAGTCGTCGGTCGGTGGAAAGATGGAAGTGTCGAGAGCAACAACGACGAGAGAGGGTGGAGTGACTTTCTGCCCCAGATGATCGAAGACAGTGGGATCACTGGATTAGCCGGGAATGGCGGGGATTGGAGGCTTTTGTTTGGTGGTGAAGGGGCCGGGGGCTTTGGGTGGGGCGGCGATCACTGTCTTGGTGGGCTTGTTTGGCGTGTTTGGTGGGATGTGGAAGCTAAGAGAAAGCACCTCAGCGCCGCGATCACGTTCTTCTAAGATATCGACAGAAACTAACAGGTCGGATGAACAATCGGGTTGTTGGGCAGAGACCGGTGGATTCCAGGCAGGTTCGTCTTATGCCGTGTAGTTGATCGTCTCAACGCTCTTTATGAGTCAGTCCTTGTCGTGTTGGGAGGCCTTCGCCCTTCAAGTTGGGGATCGGTGCCAGAGTCCGAGACCCGTCGTCCACTGTAAATGCTGCCCTCAGTTGATCTTATCGGCCGGCCTAAGACGAGCAGTCCAAAAGGCCGGGTATTCGCGCAAAGCAGTGAGGGGTTGCGCCTGGATTTTCGTCCCTGATATCGTGATATATCAGATGATGGATTGCCCCCCGTTGTGTCTCGATCGTGAGTCTTTTTCTTTTTCCAAAAACGATGGGTCGAATTCCACAAGTGACCTGTGACTGTCGACGGACTGAGAGCAACAAACAGACAAATCCGGGGAAGTTTGGAGGTTGAACAGAATCAGGGTCCGGGTCTGCCTTTTAACCCTTATAACCGCTTGGCAGTGTGAGGTACTTCGGGCGCATGCCAGATGACGTGCAGTCCCCTGCAAATTGTCGCAATGACAGAAGTATCGCGTCAAAGAAAGTGTTAGGCCGCCGCACCCGCGCAGAAATTACATCGTCGTGCCTTCGATCTCTACCCTTCCCCCGCCTCCACTTATTTTGTCCCTTTGTTTCCCTTTTCCATCACATTTCCGGGGAGAGTTCAAACAGCAGTGTTGGGCAGACTTGGAATGCTTCATCGCAACATTAAACTTATAGATTACTCTTCCAGAGCGTATGTGATAGTATACATGGCATCTGCCATCCTTTTTTCCAGTCCCAAGTACATGAGAGTCGTGATGCTCATAATGGCATGAAATAGACCTCATAGTCAGTCACCTTCCCCCATATCATAATCCCATCCTTATGTACATATATATAATCCAAAACATCGTCGCCCACATTCCCATAACCTCATTCCATGATTACAAGTTATATGTCCCAAGTTGGACGATGGTATCCAAAAACTTGGTTGCTCTAGCCGCATGTCCAATGCCGATTGGCTTCTTGGACCCTTATTAGATCCCATAACCCGTAAATGCTGCTGCTTCCCACATCGCTGACTCATTGACTCTCCCGCCTCATCGAGTGAGCGAGAGATCGGTCCGGTTGACCCCGGCCCGAAGGAGCGACGCCCCTACCCGACTCCGAGACCGTATCCGCATCGCTTATACCGTCCCACATGTTGGCACCCTTTATACCGCGCCACCACTAGTCTTGCTATCAGTCTGTGATATATCCAAGCCCTTCTCGTACTTGTTCAGCACCGCGCTATCAAGGGACGCAGCCTCATCAGCGAATACATCCACCTTGGTCTCAGCGAACTTGCGCGCGCTGATGCCCTTTGAGAAGAGGAGGTCGAGCTCGGCGAAGGTGCGACCTGTGGGTTCGGGGACGCGGAAGTAGACGTAGACAATGCAGAGGAAGCAGATGCCGGCCTGGGATGGGTTAGTTCTGAAACTGGCGGAAAGGGGCAAGGTGACTTACCCAAAAGAAACCGGTAAAGTTGGACCAGTTCCAGGCGCCGGGGTTGAGCATGTAGGGTGTCAGGACGGCAGTGATGATGCCGACGATGATGCTATTGGACTGTTAGTATGGATAAGCCCAGCAAGGCTTCCGGGATGAGGAACTTACTAAAGCACACGACCAAGAGCAATAGTCTTGATTTGCAGCCTCCTGGTCGAAATCTCACTGACAAGCGAGTAACAGACCGTTCCGACCGTCAACTGATACACCAACGCCCAGCCCAGCATGATACTACCCGTCGCGATCGAGGCCTCCCTGTTGTGCGCCTCAGGAACCAGACCGAGGAAACCCAGCACAAAGAGCATGCAGAAAAGACCGCACAGCCCATACAAGTAAAGCGCTCTCCGTCCAATACCGCGGCTCATCAAGAACCACGCACCAAACACGCCCGCCATGTTGATAGCGTACTGTCCGAGAGCAAACCCATAGGCGTCATCATCGTCCAAGCCGGCCTGCTTGAGGAAATACGTCGAGTAATTTGAGAAGGAATTTCCACTCAAATTTTGGATGGCCCACACCATGCACACAATCTCCGTTCTCCTGAGATCATGTCCCTTGAAGCAATCCCAGTACGTCGCTCCCTGCGTCGTCTTCTCCTCCAGGGCGGTGGTATGCACCATCATGGCGACGGTCTCGTCCGCATCGAACTCGCTTTCGCGGTTCAGGCTGGTCAGACGGAGGAGGGACTTCTTGGCGTCATCCAAACGACCCTTGCGGACGAGCCACCAAGGCGATTCGGGAGCGAAGAAGATTCCCAAGGCCAGAGGCACGGGCCACATCCATTGAAGGGAGTAGGGGATCCGGTAAGCCCATTCGTCGTCGCGCTTGAGCATGGACATGATGACACCGATGGCGATTTCTTGGCCCACGCCCCAGCAGAAGTTGACGTAGGTGGTGAGGTAGCCGCGCATGGCGACGGGGCAGACTTCGGAAGCGTAGGTGATGGTGAGGGTTTGGAAGACGCCCCATGGCTGGGTGACCGTTAGCCGAAGGTTTGCATAGGTGAGATGAGTGGGTGAGACTTACGATACCGCAAAGAATCTCAGCAGCCAACAACGTCTGAACATTCTGCGCCGTAAAGAACAGCGAAGTCCACGCGCAAATAAGCATCAAGCAACCGATAACGGTGTATCGATAACCAAAGCGTTCTGATACATATCCATTGATGAGAAGACCGATCAGCTCTCCCACGTTGGCGCCCTAGTTATGAGACCGGTCAGCATTGTTCACAAACTCAGGGTCCATCTCGCACGGCTCATGCTGCAAGCCTTCCCCCACGGCTTTCCCACGACCGGGAACCGGACCCGGACCCGATGCAGCGGCACTGGGAGTGGAATCGTGGGGAGCGGCTCAGGCGCATGGCACCGGCACAGACATATCAGATCACTGCACTCAGCTCAGTTACTCACGTTACTAAGCCCAGCCTGCCAGCGAGCGGGGACCTCCCAGTGGCCTGGTGCTATCTCCTCGCCGTATTTGCGAGCAAACTGGGGGAAGGCGTCTTATATTTTGTTAGCATTGGCTCTGTCATGTATGTGAAAAGTAAAGTAAAAACTCACAGAAATTGTTAATCAGACAAACATCATATCCCTCCATGACGATGCACGTCGAGATGAGCATGCTCCACGCAATCGCCTTTGGGTACAGCTTGATGCCCTGCAACAACGTCATCTTTTGCTCCTTGTCGGTTGCTATTTTGGCATTTTGCATGATCCTGTCCGTGGTCTCTGTGCGTCGGATCTCCTCCGAGTTGTGGAGGGCATCGTGCTGGCCTTTGGAGTCGCTGAATACAATGTCGTCGGATGCCGTGTTGGCTGTGGCCCGGTGGTGGTCGGGTGAAGCCATGTTTGCTGCTTTCGTTGCGTTGCCCCTTTTTTTTGATGTGGTCGTATGGAGTGCTGTCGCTACTTGCTACGCCTGGGTGTTTCTTTCAAAAGTACCACACCGACGGCCAAGTGTTCACCGTGGCCTTTTTGATGATGCGGCTAAACAGATGAAGTGGACACTGGTGGTTGTCGTGGCCGGTAGAGCCGTAGAGGTAGAAGAATGCCCAAATGAATGGGATCCGACGAAAGTGAAGAGACGGCCGTGAGTGACGATGAACCACACAACCTCAGCCGTGATGCAGTGAGATGGTTGGCCGTGTTGAACGAATTCCAGGAGAGAAAGGACGTCGCAGGACACTACTAGGAATTTAGGAGGCGGGAAAGAACAGCCCGACGGAGCTGGAGCACGCGACTCCATCGTAGTTTTTGGATTTGAGATCCATGGATCCGTTCTTTCCTTTCTCCAGATTTCAGCGGTTCCCGGCCACCGGCCACCACCACATCCCAGAACAAAAGCCAGAAGGGGAAACTTGGTCGAGAAACAAAGCCAATGGCAGCAGGCCGTTCGTCCCAAGAAGTGGTGAGTGTGGAGAGACGGTGGGGCTAGCTAGCGGTTGTTCTAGTGTCGAATTGTCATCGGTTTCGCTGCCGTTCTATTGACCCATCCAGGCCTGGCACAAGTTCCAAAGTGGAATTTGATGTGCATAAAGTCTCGGCGGGCCGAGGTTCATGATCTTTTCTCTGCCACCGTCCAGGCCATTATTTCGGGGATCGGTATTGCATTGTACCGACAGCTATATGTCAAAGGAATGCTGCCAGGTCCCATGACATGCAATCTGATATCTGTAATGAGCCATGCCCGTGGTTAGGTTGTCAGGACGTGATCATGATGTTGTATGGGATGGATGGTGTTGGGGAAAGAGTGAGGGGCAACGGTTTAACATTTCCGATGGGCCCTTGCACACGATCAAAGATCTCAAAGGCATGGAAGCTCAGAGACCAAAGACGTGATCGGTTGGAAACAGGAGACAGAAGATCTCTTATCACATCTCTTCTCAGGGGTAAATATGGTCGTCCCTTCTTTTCTTTCTTCCCCAAGCGTTCTCTCAAATTTGGTGATGAACTCCAGTTGTGCAGTCTGGTTTGATTGGCTGCTGACTTGCGACGCACATGATGGCTCGAGCGTTGCACAGTGACAAACCCCGCACCGACCACATTGTGCAAGTCCTGTGCAGTGCCCTGAGCTCCAAAGTGGTGCAGTGCCTGCCCCTCCCGATTCTCCAAGCAAATTCCATTTTTCCTTCCTTCTTCTTCATCTCGTCACCTCACCACCTTCGAGTTCACGATACGTACTCAGTTGCACTGCTTCAGCTGGTTGAAGCAAACGTGTACAGTCGCATCATGCTCTTTCTTTTGTGTCATGTCAGGATCCCCAGTCTTTCAAGTTGTCGACCCTCTGCGCGATCCCACCCTGGCGACCACGACTCCTCTCCTCATTTTCCAAGCATAAGACAATGTGGAGATCCGCGGAGAAGACGAGTCCCGTCGTCGTCTCTTTAAGCTTCTTTCCCCGGATCTGCACTTCACTGCCTTCTCTTGATCTCCTCCGCTCCGATGGATCCTTTCTCCCCGGGATGATCGGAGATTGAACAAGTGTTCCGAATGTTTACCGTCTCATCTCTCATCTCTCATGTGTCTCGTCTTCTATCTTCACACTTCACAGCCGATATGTCCATGTCCAGCACGGGTGACGGACATCAGCCACGGCGTCGGTCGGATGGGCGTGTGGCCTTTTGCGGCTGGCTGTCCCTTTCCACTACCCTCTGTCCTTCCGGCCCTGTCTGGAACTTGGCCTGGTATCTACTTGGGCACCACAAGAGTCCCGTCTCACAGGCTGTGGCAGCTGCTTCTATGATCCGGCACCCTTTCGTCTTCCGTCATGACATCGCAGACCATCGACTCGTCTTACTTTGACAAGTCCACCTCCCTGAACACTCATCGGATCGCGGTCGTCGTCAGTCGTCACATCATGATCCATCTTATCCACATCTCCCAGCTGTAACGGTACGGTACCTTTCTACCTTCTACCTTGCCGGCTTCGTTGGGTTGGATACTGCATTTGCCCGTACCCCCCGTCGTAATGTTCGCCTAAACCGCCGTCTTAACTAAACCCCCATGGCCGCTTTCCTGTCGACGCCCGTCACGTCTTCTATCAATCTTTCTCCGCATCTGTTAAGTTGTCTCCGCTTCTTCAGCCTTCTGCTTCCCCTCCTCCTCTCCAAGTCCGAGTCGTAGCCCAGCTGCTCCCCTCCATGTCTGGTCTTCGGTTTATGCTTGAACAACTGCCGAATCTGCCGCGGATCGACCCAGACAACCCAATCTCCCGGATCCAACTGCTGCTCCACATTGCCAGCTACCATTCACTACACTCCAACCCAATCTGACTGTGCAGCCATCTGAGTGGTCGTATTTGTTGACATACACATTCACATGTGTCTTGTCACAACTTACTCGTAGATTAGATGCCATCATCAGGAATTTCCCCCAAGCCCCTGTCTACTTTTGGTTGGTGAGTCGATTACCTTTTATCCAGCTCCCAAGAAATCTTATAACTGACACATTGCTTTGGGCAGTGAAAACTGCCGCCAGCAGCACCTGAAATGTGAGCATGGGCCGAGCACCCCTTTGGGCACCCTGCATTGGGAAACATCACCACTGACATCAAGTCATTTCCTCTCACCTTTTAGGCGACCGAGTAACGCCCACATGCGGCAGGTGTCAGAACACAGGGCGTGATTGCCGCAGGAGCGGTCTCAAGATTCGACAGTCTCCTCAATACAGTTCGCCTTCCCTTCTCTCCTTTTGCAGGTTTTCATCCCGGTGTGACGATTCACCGCAGAAGTCAAGGCACTTCTTCGGGTCCATGGCTATTGGCTATTCGTCAACTTCACTCACCATGGAAAGGACTCTAACAATTACCACGCTGCAGCCAAGTTCAGCAAGACACAAAAGTGGGTCAAGATCGAGAGAAGATGTGAGTATCCCCTTTTTGTTTCACTTTGTGCATTGACAACCAACCAATATTGCTGACACTGGGCCTATAGTGGAATTCGTTGATGAGACCAGGAAGGTCATCTATGAGGCTGCTACTCCGGATAGTGGCCTGGATGAGATAGAGCCCGACCTAGAGTCACCCATCCTCTCCGACCAGTCGCTACTGCGAGAGTTCAGTCAATCTTTCATCTCAGAGACCCCAAATGACCAGGAGAACCCACCACGATTTCTTTCACGGGAGCAGACCTTGCCCGAATCCCCCCGTCTTTCAGAGCTAGCATCGGAGGCACTATCCCTTCGCGGATCGGTTCAGCCACCTGAAACCGTCTCCTCTTCGGTAGGACATGCACGCGAATGTTCTCCCACCGACCGCTTCATTGCGCGGTCCGGGTCCTATCACCAACTTTACTACTCAAAACATTCAGCATTCCCCATCGAAGATCCGGTGGAAGCTGAGCTGTATCGGCATTACGTGCAGAGTCTGGCACCTTGGGTGAGCAACATCTACACTGGTTCCATGAGCACCTTGTTGATTGTTCAATCTTTTAGCTCGACTTATGTGACCCACTGAGGTCATTCGAAACCATAGTTCCCCAAAACGCAGCAAAATTTCCGCTTCTTCTCAAGGCTATCTACTCGTTCTCGGCGCGGCACAAAACCTTGACTGGCTATTTTGATTCGGTTAGGAGCAGCGAGTATTACGACGAATGCCTAACAGAGCTCAGGGATGTCCTTGCTGCATATGACGAATCTGGAGCCGACGAAAACCTGTTTGCTGCTACGATTATTCTGCGGGTCCTCGAAGAAATTGATGGTATGAAACTTCCAATTGCTTGCGGCAGACATGTGCTGACAGATCATTAGTTGTGGACAATGGGACAGATCAAGAAGCCAATCTCCTGGGAATACATGCGTTTGTATCAACCGGATCGTTCTTTGAAAAACCCAGTCCCCTTAGTATCGCGTCATTCTGGGTCGGCCTCCGCCAGGGCATCTACAAAGCAGTTATCAACAAACGACCTGTCGGACTGAGCGTAGACCATATTCTAGTCGAGCAGTCACTCGAACGAACAGATTGCCACAGTGTTGCGAACAATGCGGTGGTCCATTGCACTCGCGTCCTCAACTTTTGCTTTGACAAGGGAGGAGTGTGCAACATGGAGGAATGGAAAAAGCTATGGAAATCGAATGAAGGTTGGGAGAACGAGCACGTTGCCTTCCATACACCCATATTTAAGGCACCCGATGATGTTCCCTTCCCACAGATATGGTATCACCAGAGTTGCCAAGGTATGCCGGCGTGCTTCTGTCACCTATTTCCCAGCTAACAGTTGTTGACAATTACCTCTAGTGATCGGGGTACAGCATCATCTTTTAGCCAAGTCGTACTTGATCCGATTCAGGCAGAAGTTCTCAGCGACTGGTACACGTCACCAGTCTACTCTAGCTAAGAGGAGAGCTGAGGTAGGCCTAGGTCCGCGGTTTGGGATCCGTGGCAAGATGGCTAACCCCATGCGTATAGGCCGACATACAAAGAATCGTTCGGACGCTCTGTGGCATTGGTTTAGGAAATCAATGGACTCCTCCGGGCATGTTCACAGCCTGCATGGCCATTTCCGCTTGTAAGTCTTTGGGTGTTTTGTAGTATTCTCATTTGCCGTATGCTCAAGTCTGACCGATCATCCTACAGTCGGCGCTAGTTTCACCCAGCGGAAGGACCAGGAGGCCATGATCGACATACTCCGAAAGACAGAAAAAGATCATGCTCGTCCCACCAAGTCGGTGCAGGAAGACATGATGAAGGCTTGGGGCTGGTCTGCTTCCACGTGGACTCCGACGCAGGTGCCCCCGTGGCCGGATACGACGCAGTATGCGACGAACTTGAACATGAACAACAGCATGGGTTATCAGCAGGCTTAATGGGCCTGCGTGCCGTTGTCCTCAAACACAATACCGTTGGCAGAAGAAACATGGAATGGATTTTGAGCGGCTGGATAGGGCTGTTGTATCAGCCCACGTGTCTGCTGAGATTCTGAGCAGTCAAATCTACATCGGTCAGATTCAGGCATGTTATTATTCGATCTACAAATGCCTATGACGACATCCTACTACCACGAGGATCAGACGATGAATCAGATGAACCACAAGCACGGGCATGGGTCAGGGTCTAAGGGCAGGGTCACGGTCAGGGTCAAGCAAGGTAGAGCCCAGCAGACATGGCAGACATTTTTGGTCGGGTTCGAACAGCGAAGTATTCATCAGCGCCTTTGTGCGCCAAAGGAACATTGCCTTTTTCCTACCTCCATCTAGGAGCAAATGCCATATCGACGAACTAGTCGATGAACCGGTCAATGTCGCATGTCAGCCATCTTCTGCCACTGTTGCACAATAGCATCACAATGCAAGGTTAGCAGCGGTTCATGGGGAAGGCTTCTTTGTGACACTCCCCAGTTCAATGTGTTCGATACATCCCCAACCCTCAGCCTTTCTTTCGATCACGAAAAGAAGCTCACAAGAAGGGGCCAGGGCTGACAAGAAGGGTTTCCAGTTGCAAGAAGATTCGCCCTGAATTGGATATTCAGGGGTGTCATGCGAGATCGGGGTTCATGTGCGCCCTTGGTTGTGATCTACCTACCAGGGGCAGACAGACTGCCGACGGACATGGAAGCAAGGGGCAAACCGCAGGGCCAGGTTATTAAGAGGTGGGAGAGAGACGTCTGCGAGGATGGATGAAAGACAATCTAGAAATCCCTTTTATTTGCAGTGCAGTGCAAGCCTTGCACTTGAAATTGCAAGCATCCCAACTGACATGCTGCTATTCAAGTTCCACGACAACGACTCGGTAGTAGCCACTTCCGTCTTTCTGTACGCTCTCTCGTCCTGTATCCTGTGTCCTGTGTCCTGTGTCGGTTCAAATTATGGGGGAACATGAAGTAAGCCCTGTCCTGCCCTGTCTTGCCCTGTCCTGCCCTGTCTTGTCATGGCTGATTTGACCCGGTCGCATGACTGGCCATGACACCCGGGGACTGGCCGTTGTCGATTCATCTTCAGATTGGGAAGATCCAGCATAAGAAGAATGCAGATAGCCATGGAGCTGATAAACCAGTCCGGTATTGCGCGCTTGTCCTCGGGCAGGCAGCCTTGATAAGTACTGGAAGTTGCTTCCCTCCCGTCGAAGCCGTTGTGTGTAACACACTTGAACGAGTTGAGAAGATAAATGGTACGTAAGCCCCATGCTCTGTGATTTCGTACCTTTCTCGATAAATCAGGGCGGTACGATACTTGCGAAGTGAACTTTCTAATACACACCAGACATGACCCGGCCCGACAATATTCGGGCACGTTGAGTGCCAGGCTGCATTGCAGTCTGCAAGAAAGCTCTGCTTCCTGCTCAACGGGTACGACGCACATGAAGCAGCAATGCACATCAAGGATAAGCATGTGCAGGAAGCAAGCCTCATCTGCCTGTATCCCTACCCGAACTGCTGTCCTTGTTGCTTTTTCCAGTGTGTGTGGTGTGAATCGATGCATGTAAATCGATGCGATGCAGAATGACAAAGTGGAAGTTCGATGCCCCATCTCCCGTCAGCCCCGTCAGTTTCGTTCTGTGACATGGAGTGTAACCACCTCAGGCACGCCAGGCAATGGATGAGAAAACCAGACAGGGACAAGCTTCGGAAATTTTATCAATCATCCTGTTGGCTTTTTGGCTCTGGTGTTCTGGTGCAGTGATGCTTTCGGAAGAATTGCGCTTGCTTGCATGGTTTGCGATACTTTGGTAGCCGTTGACTTTTCCGAGTTCGTATCATTTGTGCGAGGTAGCAAGAGAAACGGGAACGAAAGAGGCACTGGGAACAAAAAGGTTCACGTTGAGCTTTCGTCGAGGCTTTCCTGAGGTATCTGTACCCCTTGCGCTTGCGGTGTGTGTTTCCCCATGCTCATTTTTTTGACATGAAGCAGGGCAAGAGGCTAGAGCTTCAGAGCTGAGGCGACATCAAAAAGCTATCACGAGGTTGATCATGGCGGGGCAAAAGGAGCTACAAGCTAGCTGATAGCAACGCTAGGTTGAGGCGCTAAACAAAGGAAGCTAAACAAAGCTACCGCGGTCTGGTCCTCATAATCGGGACTTCTTTCCTCTTTCGTATTCTCGGATAGGAAATATGTTGAGGCTGTTAGTGCAGAGGACCCTCTGAAAGTTTCCAACCGAACAAATCATGGCAAACCAAACTTCAGCGCCGGAACACGTTCCGCCAGGGGTACTGTTTACGGTGACCGCATAGAACCTTCACTTCCCATCGGACGGAATTTCCTTTCTTGTCAAGCCAACACCATCAACGTCCCTTGTGATGCTAACGGTTTTTTTTTCTTTTCCACTTTCCATCCGTACTCCACTCCATATTTCTACCCGATCGACGGATTGAACAGAAATGGAACAGAAGCAACGAAGCAAAAGAGCCCTACTACCCAGCAAGCACCTATCCACCTTTCTTTTCTCCAATCTCACCAACCTCCCTCCTCCGTGCCTTGAATCTTGACACACAAACACCATGCGCACCTTGACCCGCGCACGACGCTGGCATATCACGTCCCGCCAGTCTGGTTGCGGATAAGCCCCCCCCTTCATCGGACCGCAAGCCCATGACAAGCCCGTTGTTGGCTGGCTGTATGAGAAAGGAAATATTCGCCTGTGAGGAAAAGAATGGAGATAGTGGGGAGCAAACAATGACGACAGGCTGTGTCCTCCTTCGAGAAAGAGATAAACGAGTTCCATGAGTGGAAGCTGGCTTAGGTTCCAAGCTGGGAGTCTTCTTTGGATCTTCTCGATCTTCGGGACGTTTCAATAGGTGCCCTGCCCTGCCCTGTAGACATGGAGCTATGCTATCGACCGGGATATAACATACACCGTCCGACCTGTTCCACCTGGATCAACCCCGGACTCCCAATGTCTTCCAAGGGTAGCCGCGCCGAGCGGGTACTGGGAGCCGGGATGTTGCTCTTCCTTTGTTCGTCTCTAGTCCCCTTCCATCGGCTTAGGTTAGGTTAGCTGCTCGATCCACACTACACCCGGCTTCCCTTCCGGAACATGGACCCCATCTTGTACTGGCCTGGCGGCTCCAGTCCCGCCCATCTACTAGGTAGACTGATATCCAACCATCCCGATCCGGCCAGAGATAGGAGCCCGAGCTGCTATCGGCAATGCGGTGGGATGTGGATAGGATGGGATTAAACCGATTACCGTTCGTACCTAGTTGGGTTGCGCTGACAGTGGAACATCCCATCCTCCATGTCAGAGTCTGACTCGACTCCATCCGTTGAGATTGAAATAGGAAAGAGTGCGCGGTAGTAACAGTATCGGATGAAGTGAGGAGGCTGTTGACTAAAGAGGGGGCAAACCACTGCTGGTCACTTGAGAGATATAAAGAGGGCATGTGCTCTCCTTCAAAGTGGTTTTTGTTTTTGGATAACAAGAACATCATTGGCAACAAGTAAAGGACTCTGACTCGACCTTCAGTCTTTGAGAACCTTGATAGGTAAGTGTGCACGAAGATGGTACTTTACGCCGAACACATGGCCTTGTATACTGACTTCGTCATACAGATTCGAAAAGCATAAGAACTGCCTACTTCCCCTCTTGAGATATCTACCTGCTTTCTTGCATTATCAAGAAGATCAACTTGACATTTGTTGTCACGAACGTCTCCAATATTCCTCTTCGATACCAACCAAAACGTCTTCTCTACACCAAACAAGTCTCATCACCACCAACAAACCACCAACAAACCACCAAGATGGCCCCCTCAGCCACCTACCCCATCACCACCACTCACTCAGGCGCCGACCTCGAAGCCATCTCCGACGCCGTCGACGAGATCAACGTCCTCAAGTTCAAAGCCGCCCAACAAGTGACCGAGCTCCTCGACCAAGACCAAGACTCCTCCTCCCCTTCATCCCCCACCTCCACCGCCGCCACTTCCCCTTCTGCTGCCCAAGACCTCGGCGACTTCGACACCCCCTCCCACTTCGACGCCACAAAGGACCACTCCCGCTTCCGGCAATACACCACCGCCGAGTCCCGCGTGCTCAACTTCTACGCCGAACAACACGCCAAGCAAACCGTCGCGCACAACCTCGCCGCCCGCGCGCTCTTCAACTCGCCCGACCGCAAGCGGCCCGAGATGACTATCTGGCAGGCGATCGAGTGCCTCAACTCGCTGATCGACGAGTCCGACCCGGACACCGAGCTCAGCCAGATCCAGCACTTGCTGCAGTCTGCCGAAGCGATCAGACGCGACGGCAAGCCGCGCTGGATGCAGCTGGTGGGACTGATCCACGACATGGGCAAGTTGATGCTTTTCTTTGAGCTGGCCACGGGGCAGTGGGATGTGGTTGGCGATTCGTTCCCCGTGGGATGCAGGTTCAGTGAGAAGTGCATTTTGGCTGAGAGCTTTGGTGCGAATCCGGATTCGACGCATCCAGTTTACAGCACCGAGCACGGCATTTATACCCCCAAATGTGGGGTGGAGAATCTGATGATGAGCTGGGGCCACGACGAGTATTTGTATCAGGTTGTGAAAGATCAGAGTTTGTTGCCGAGGGAGGGCTTGGCGATGATCAGGTTCCATAGCTTTTACCCGTGGCATCGCGAGGAGGCGTACGGGTGGGCGATGAAGGAGGGCGATGAGGAGCTGAGGAGGGCGGTGAGGGCTTTTAATCCGTATGATCTTTACTCGAAGAGTGATGAGCCGGTGGATGTGGAGGCTGTTAAGGTGAGTCTTTTCCCTCGATTGATTTTGTGTGGGAGACATGGAGGAGCAGAAGCTAACGATGAGATGTGCAGCCTTACTACACGGAGTTGATCGATGAGTTCTTCCCGCAGAAGGTCATCAAGTGGTAGGCGACCACGACCACAGCACCACTGTGTTGAAGAAGCGGCACTTTGGCCCAAAAGCCGGCCTTTCTGGGCGACGGAGTAACGACACGAGTTAACGACTTCCGTTCATACAACGCACTTTTCTTTGTCCTCGTTTTTCCTCCAGTCCTTGTCTTGTTAATGTCACGGCGTCATGGCGTCACGGTGTTGTTAGACACGCACCTGCGTTGCATTTCATTTCATTCCATTTCCCTTCACCACTTAGAGTTAGAGTCTTGTCCTTGCCGTCGGAGTTGTGTATCATCGCATCCGTCAGGCACAGCGATGTTATTTCCTTTTTCAGTTCAACACCTGTACTTCTCTGATCCGTCCCAGTCGGATCTTGTCGCGCGCCCTAGGAAGCGACTGATGAATAGAACCAAGCGTTGAGTTTTCAAGTACTGCTGCTGTTTCTTTGGACACTCTGTCGTCCTTTTTATCGTGAACTGTGACAGTGACGATTATTTTGCTTGCCATTGATTATTTTGCTTGTCATTGATTATTTTGCTTGCCATTACCCTATGATCGCCCGCATGGTGCTCCGGAAATCTGGCCAACATTCTCGCTCAGCAAAGAGCGGAAATCGATGGATTAAGCCCCCCTCTACATTCTTCCATGAACGCTCTTAACGTTCCAAACGCTCGCTCATGCCCAAGACACGCCCAAGAGATGATTTCCTTCCCCGCACACCGGATGTTCAACTGCCATTGTTTTAGGTTGCCAAGCAGGCATCGACCCCTTGGTCCACCACGTCTTATGTCCCTGTCCAGTCCACTTTCAAGTTTGGTCATGCGAATTCCTCGATCCATTTGTCTTCTCAACTAACAGCTTCAGCTCCCCAATCAGAAACATAGAGCCCGGCATCGAACACTCGCCCTCTTGTCTCAACGGGACCGACGCCCTGTTTTTGGATGCGAATGTCTCTGTCTCGCTGCGCATGGGCAGCTTACCCACCAAGGTAGGTAGGTGGCACCAAATGTCTCGGATACGGAAGCCAGTGCCACCTTGCACCCTATACCCGTGCCACGCCGTCGGCTTGAATCGGCACTCAACGCTCCTTTCCTGGTCAACTGGACAAATCCAGGACAATCTCCAGTCGAGTCGAGTCTGGTGGTCCTTCTGGGGCCGAAGTCGGAGTTAAACAAAGAGAAGGGCTAATGCAGAAACAATGCACGAGGAGACACGGGTGCAGGAGGGGTGTGGAAGGGCAGACGACCACTTGGTCCTTGCACGTTGGGGAATGATGATGCTTTCAGGGACCCCAAGAACCGGTGGCCATCGCCCTCGTCGACCGTGTTGCCTACACCGGTTCCCCCCCTCTGGTCGGCCTCGTGGTTGTGAGGCGTAAAAGTCCTCTTCGCGTCGGATGTTCGTGTCGTTTTGCCCGTACTTGAACGTAGAGAAAGCATGTTCACCTCCTACCACTCCCGCCCTTCCCGCTCTTCCTGCTTGTTCCGTGTGTTCGTGTGTCTGGCGCCGCACGAGGAGTTGCTAACAGAGATGTCCGCCCGTTTTCTCCTCCGGTTTCGAGTTTCTTGCTGCTATCACGGCCGGGGTCACCATCGACAGGGAAATTGTTCACACATCGTTCGCTTCCTCGAGGGAGATTTTGACGGTGGCCTAACAATGCACATTTCGCCTGGTTCTGTGATCCGTCGCTCAAACCATCGTTCATGTCTCTCCGCCGCTAGAGGTTTCGATGGGAGCAGGACGTGAATGCGAGGACGGCCAGATTGGGAGTCGCTGCTGTACGTCGCTGGTACGGGACCAAATGCCAGCAATGTCCGGGAGGGCGTCTCCTCGTGCTTTCGGTAGTTGGATACGAGCCGGAACATTCGCGCGTGGGGAGACGCCCAACGATTCGTAGAGAGAAGGACATATCAGTGCTTCTTGGGACTGGATCTGGATTGGTGGCGGTGCCCAGAGGAGAGTGCGCAGATAATACGAAGGCGGACGTGGAAACGAGCACGGGGTCAAGGACGGTAACCGGTATCGGTCGAGAAGGTTCACAGGATGGTTCTGGCGCGCAGTCGCACATCAGTATCTGGGCAGCAATGTTCAAGTGAATGCAAAGAGTTGCGAACTTACAAAACACACCGGTGGGAAGGGAACTGAGCATGTCGAGGGACATTGTCGGAATGTAACAGAGACAAAGAAAAAAAAGACGAAAAGGAATTTTGCAAAAAAGTCAAAAAAAGATGCCAGCTTTCCTATGCGCGGTGTCTAGAGGTGACCAGCCCCTCGTCCTGCGGCAGTACTAACTGAATGCTGTGCCTAATATGGTGATCTCTGGGAGGACAAGTTCAACAGGCCATGTTTGGGAGCACGCCGCCTTGTCCACCATCCAGAGATGTTCAAGACTCCTGCCACGACTTGAGAGGAACGTGTGGTCTCCCTTGAGGGCAAGTCCTTGGTAGCCGTTTCCGGAGTCTTGAAATCCGCAAGGCTACAGTGGTGAAGTAGGTGGGCGTCCTCTTTCCTCTCGCCAAATGTAGACTTGATTGCAGAAACCATATCGAGCGTGCACCTGAAAAACCCCGAAGAATTTTTCCAACCAGAGCTCGAACTGGGGTTCGAACTCGTGGCCGAGACGTGGTTGCCCAACCGATAGCAACAGTTGCAACATTACCAACTGAGCTACGGCTCTTTGGACCAGCGCTGGTACCAATCGTCTGGTAGAGGAGTAAGGAAAAAGTCCTTATCTAGCGCTTGCTGGACCTTGGGTGACGCATGGTCGGAGGGTGTGTGCGTTGCTGCTTTCGCAAGTGTTGGGCGTGTGTCGGGTGGCGGATGATGTAGGTTGAGATGCAGGTTGAGCTGCAGGCCGTAGTGTTGAAGTGAATGGAACTCCGGAGGTCCGGGGTGGTCCGGGCTCAACTCGGCCGATGGGACTTGCCGGCCGGGCAGGAGCTTTGCCAGCCGCCCGCATGCCAGTGCTTAAGGTTGTCCGACATCTCGGTTCTCTGAGCCCAGGCCCATAAGAAGTGGAAGTTGGGCGACAAAAGTCAAGACTCGCGCCTAATCGGTGCCGGAATGCATTTGCAGACAAGGAAAAGGTAGCGAAGAGAATCTGTTGATGGCGCTGAGTTAGCGATACATCCAGCCGGCTTCATAATTTGACTTGGCATACTTTCCATATGTGATTCGAACAAGAGGGAATGGGACCAAGGAAGAAAATCGAGGCAGCCATGTTATTGATGTCGTTCAAAGTGGAGTAGCTCTGGGAGACGAGGTGGTCACTCGCAAATTCTGTGCCATAGATAGCAGCTTGGTTTCGAACATTGGTGCTGAAAGCAAGACCATTTGTACGTAGAACACACAAACATTCCGACATCTTGTTACCCGCCGAGTTGCTGTTCTCGATGCTGATGATGGAGGGCTTGGTTTCGAGGTGAACAAGTGAATGTCGAGGTACGTACCTGGGAATGTGGCTCGTGCACGTCATTAGCGTCCTCCACGTGATGACGTCCAACCCCGCAGTCCTACCTCTAGGGCAACGCCAAGCGGGTCCCAGATGCCGGCGGCATTCCACTTTCAACAACAACCCAACATCATCACCAAGTCTCATGACAACATCGGGCGGCAAGACTGCCTCATGATATTGTGCCCCACGACTAACGCTTGGAATCAAACAGTCTTTACAGCCTCTGTCCACGAACGCGTATTGTTCTGCAGGCCCGACACAACAACAAACAACAACAAAAAACCAAACACTTGTACCAACCGCCGCGACAAAGTATCACTTCAATGACAACATAGGCAGACGGCATCAGACATCATCGCCAAGATGGACTCACCAATCCGTCCGACCCCGCCAATCCACCACCTCTCCCTCGAGCTCATTCTCATCCCGCCCATCCTCTTGGCCTTCGCGACAGCCCTCAGTCTCTTCACCCACTCCGACGCCAACCTGTACATGCTCTACTCGCAATGTCACTCCCACGCCCGCATCGACTGGCTGTCTCGCACCCCCCTCGTCGGCCCTCTCGCCTGCTTCCTCGTTTCCTTCTTTCAGGAAGCCCTCCTCTCCCCGGTCCGGTCCAAGGGCATCATGTCCGTCGTCCTCAGCTACGTCGCCGGTCTGCTAACCATCACCACGGTCGAGGGCTCGCGCCTCTGCAATAAATCCGCCTTCCTCCTCGCCTTCCCCACCGCCACCTGGCTCATCTTTGATCTCGTCGGTGGCGCCCTAGTCTGGGAAATCGTCATCATCCCCGCCTTCTTCCACCGCGCAAAGGTCGTCATCCAAGCCCGCCGCCAGGGAACCACCACCTCCGACGGCGAAGTAGCCGCCGAACCCGAGCTCGTCCTCGGTGACCCGCGCCACTTGTCCACCCTCGCCGAGTCGCTTTCCATTCCCGTGTCGATCGCAATCGGCTACATCCTCCCCTCGCTGCTCATCCTCCTCCTCCCGTCGGACAAAACCGCCGTCCCGATCCTCCTTTGGCTCTTCTTTCCCGTCTGGGTCTCCCTCCTCCACCAGGGCGTGCGCACCGCGCTCCTCCAGGTGTTCAAGGACCACCCGACCTGGCCTAGGCCTTTCCACTTGGAGACCTCCCTTCTCCCGCTGGTGACCACCTACTCTGCGCCCATCCTTTTGTCGCTGGCGTCCCACATCTACCTTATTGTTACACTTTTCATCCATCCGCGAGACGACCGGCAGGAAATGACATTGGCCACGACGCGGTTTATTATGGTCAACATGGTCTACATTGGCCTGACGGTGCTGTACTGGGCGTTTATTGAGGCTGGGTGGCAGACTGCGCTGGTGATGCTGGTAGTCACGGCGTTGGCGGGACCCGGCGCGGGAGTGTGTGTGGGGTGGGTCTGGAGGGAGAGTGCGGTTGGGGTGGATTGGATTGGACGGAGGTTCGGACGGAGGGTCAGTGTTATTGCTGTGGCGGTGGGCGGAAGCGGCTCGAGGAGGGGAAGCGACGGCGAGCGAGATGGTGAAAGGGGGCAACAAGGCAGCAATGGGCCGTCGGAGGAGACGCCGCTTTTGCGGTAGGAGAGAGAGGATGGAATACGGTGTGAGTTATGTGATAATGTGGAGTTTGTGTCGCATTTCGTCGGCGTAGTGTTGCAGGTTTCGTTTTGTCATGGAGATGGAATGAGGTTCAGGAGACGTGCTTCGTGATTTTTTATATCTTTCCCTTGCTTTCAGCGGCGCAGTCGGCATTGTTGTTTTCTCTGCTTTCCATACATCCACGCACTACGGTTCAATTGATATCCCTTTTTCTGCAAATACAATCTTCCTTGCCCGGGTTCACCTCTATGCACCAAACTTCTCTTTTCCGTTGGCGTCCTCGCAGATATTCTGTCGCAGCTGAAAAGGCGACGGCAGGAAAGGGGCTTGATTTCGGAGTGATAGGTAACGGAAGAGGGAAAACGGAAACAATGGCAGCCTAAACATGCTGGAAGGGAGTGCCGGTGAAGGGAAGCGGCGAATGGGCAGGGCACGGACCACGGACTTCCCACATACCTACACCATGCTGAGCCTTCAACATTTGACATCCACGCCGTTGGAAATCACTGCTTGGAAATTTCAGCAAGATATCTATCAGCCGGCGGTTCCTTTTCCTACAATCTTCGTTACATGTTTGCATCTCGGCGCTGGGTCTTCAACGTCGGGTGCCGAGGGCGAGGGTGTTGTGCACGGCCCCACGAGCTCCTGCCTCGACAGACCGACCAAAGTGCACGTCAACCAACATCGGCACTCTGAGAGAAATCTGAACAGATTCTCAACACCAACATCACCACATTCTCACCTTGCACAGTGGCAACAATTGCTTCAATGCGCACAATTCTTGAAATTCTTGAAATTCGTGGTGGGGCCACAATCCCACCATAAATTTCTGCCACACATGGACAATCCGTCCTCCTTCGTTCTTCTCCCCTCCGCGTCCGAGGTCGTCACCAGCTTTCGTCAACAACCACAACTTAGCAATTGGCTTCCACCATCCGTTTGCTCGCATTTTCCGCCTTGTCGTTGTTAGGCCCAATTGGCTCTTCTGCATCGGCTGGCAGAAGCACTCGATCGTAATCGGAACAATGGCAAACCTGGATATGAACATGGAATTTGACCGCATCAAAGGCGGTGATGGTCGCAGATATTCCGTGTGGAAAGGTACGCCTTGACAACTCTCACTATCTGTGCAGCGTCAAGCTTGGGCCATACTGACACCGATATCGTCGCCCATTTAGCCAAGGGTCCGAACAAGCTCGCTCAACACGGCCATGGCGCGATGTTCCCAGAAAATTATGCTCCTCTATCAGGACGCCCAAACGCCAAATGGCACTGCCCTATTATCGGATGCGATTCAGCCTTCAGGCTCCTCAGGGATTTAGGCGAGCATTTTACAGTAAGTATCTCCAGTCTCTCCCTCGGTTCTCGAATCGGATCTCTCAGCCAATCCTCACCTTTTCCTTCTTCTCCTCCACCACCTCCCCAATGCTAACGTTTTGGCTTTCATTAGACGGAGCACAGAGGTGCAAAGCTGCACGACCTGCGGAACGGCGAGTTTCGCGTTATCAACTCCGAAGGCAATGGGGTTCCCTGCGTCGTTTACAGGAGCAACAACCCGCCGAGTCCGATCCAACCCCCTCTTCCTCCCAGCAGCCCCGCCTCATCCGCTGTGCATTCGTCCTCGGTCGAGCATGGTACTACGCCCGGTCTTTACGTCAAGCGCGAATTTTCGATTATTCCCGCGGACGGCGAGGAGCCTCGTCAAATCATCATTGATGCCGAGGATGACCAACATACCTCAAGTAGTCAGGACGGGGGCGAAGCGGAGGGGGAAGAGGGTAGCGATGAGGACATGGACGATGTCTTCAGCATTGGCGCTGGACAGGACAAGGAGAGCAATACTAGCGTCAGCGACCAGGAGGAGGAACACGACGACGCCGCCCCAGCCTACAATGTCGACGTGCAAACTCCTGATCGGAGCGGACCGGCCAACGAGAACCTCGAGAACGGCCAGTACTTCAATTACGCCGCCTCCGCCGTCTGGCGGCATATCAACCGTTTCACTCCATTTCGCCTCCCCGTCCCGGATGACACCTGCTTGCGCGAGCTCCTCACGCTCCCCCTCGCCAGGGAACTTCCTCGCTCCTGGCGCGTGCGCCTCGGCAAGCAACGCTTCACGGAAGAGAAGTTCAACCTCAAGATGATGACTGCAATGGCGATCTTCCTCACCGGTAAGGAGACCGATGAGAAGGCCTGCACCACCTTTGGTTGCCTCACCCGAAACCCGGTAAAGACAGCACAGGCCTTGACAGACTTTGCGGCCGACAGCGATGTCTGTCATGGCATGTTCGCCTTTCCGCGCTGCGTCTTCCCTTCGGCGATCGATTTGCAAGTGTCGCCGACTCTGAAGGAGAGGCTCGACGGCACTACCTGCTGCAATGCCTACTACCTCCTGGGAAAGAAACCAGAGGCCAAGTTGATCTACGTCGCCGGCTATCCGCTGCCGTACCCAATCACCCCCGAAAACCCTCCCCGCGCTGCACCGGCCCCGGATCGCAGTGATAACGGCGCCTCTCCCACGTCGGGCCAACCCCAACAGAGCTCCAGACCATCCAGCCTCTACAATGGCTCCCCTCAATCCAGCCCGTTGAAGTCCCGATCAACGTCAGAGTCTCTCAAGCGCAAAACCCCTCCCTGCGCCGCCTCCGATGATTACAATTACCGTCTCTCCACCGACCCCGCCACACCTGCAAAGTGGGAGTCCCTCACCGGCCTTTTACACCAGAGCGAGTCGCATCTGGAGCCGGTCATTGCATACAGCCCTTCATATGTCCGCTCGCACACCAGCTCGAATGGCCACCCCAACACACACTCCCCTTCCGATACTCACATCCAGGCCAATAAGCGCATCAAACTCCTCCCCTCTCCCTCCACCTCCAGCAGCGGAAGCAGTGCCCTAGCCGACTTCCGTGTTATCCACCTCCAGCATAACCCCAACAATGCAGAGGCAGTGCAAACCGTCAGCTTGCCCGTCAGCAAAACAAGATCCTACGTCTGTTCTGTGGCCAGCGGCGGTCCGGTGCGTGTGTACCTGGACAAGGGCAAGGGAGAAGGACAGGAGAAGCCCTTCGACATCATGGAGGGCGGCGTCTGGATTGTTGAGAATGGTTGGGAGTGTAGCATGGAGGTTGCTGTTGGTGGTGTCGACGACGATGGCGATGTTGCCATGACGGATGCTATGGAGACGGTGGAGGAGAGGATGCAGGTGACTGCGAGTGTGCATGTTACCGGTGTTCTGGCTTTGGCTGGAGAGAAGGAGAGGGAGCAGGAGAAGAGCAAGGACAAGGAGAAGGATGTCTCTGAGAAGTCTAAGAAGGACAAAAAGGAGAAGGAGAAGAAAAAGAAAGAGAAGGAGATCAAGAGGGAGAAGAAGGAGAAGAAAGAGAAGGAGAAGAAAGGTTGCTGACTGCCCTTTGCCGTGGTCATGCATGGATGATGTCACGGTCTGCGGCTTGGGATGTTGATGATCTTGTCTGGTCGTGTGTATGGACAAGACTGTGGAGGGAAAGGAAAGAGTCAGTGTGTTTGAACGATACTTTCATGTTATCACAGCTTCGGTGGGCGGTACATGTACAAGGAGCAAGAGCAAGAGGCGGACGAACCAGAGTTGATTCCTTGAGATCACTTCGGATATCATGTCATGGCATGTGCCAGACGGTGTTATGCACTGGACCAGCATGTCCAATGCTTTGAAGCATGGCTTTGAGTTTTAGCGAGCGAGCGAGCGAGAGTCAATGCTTTTCTGTTTCACTGGCTTTGAGGAAGAGAAGGTGACATCTGTTGATGTCTGGTAGCATAGACATAGATCGAGCCGAGTAAAGGCTGATTCAAATTTGACTTATGATCTTAGAAAGCCCGAGTGGGTGACTTGACTGGGAGATGTGCCTGGCACGCGATTCAAATATGGATGCTGTCCTTCCATGAGAGCAGTGAATGCTGGATGTGTCCTCTCTTGTTCTCATCGCATTTGATGATACCACCCTCTCGCCTGTTCTTTTCCTCGTGCGCTTGTCTCCTGGCAGAAGCAGCTTGGTGTAGTAGACACCCGGCTAGCGCAAAAGTTGCTTGACGAGACGATCATACGTGCTACTCTTGTACTCTTCGCGGTTAATGATGCCCAATACCCGCCTTTCTTTTTTCGTGCGTTTGTCTCCTGGCAGAAACAACTGGTGTAGCCTATATCGGGCTGGCGCAACGAGCATTAGGTGAGATGATCAGAAGCATGGAACTTGGGTGTAGCTGACATGACCTCATAGGCACTCCTACGAAAGAGTTGTGGGTGCCATTTTGTGTTATTACATATTCAGTACATGGACTCTACATACAGCCAGAAAGAAAAGCAACAATGGACTTAACACAAACAGCAAAGTCCAATCCACGCCTGATTCCTCGCTCCGCACCCAACCGGCCCAAGGCCCAAAGAAGGGGTATCGCAACGCCAAAACACCCAAGACCCCAAACGTACCCGTTGATGAATTTTCGACTTCCAATTGGGCATTCCCAATATTCCTCAATGCATACTTGCACCCATCAGATGCATCGAATATTGTTTCCCAGGCCTTTTTCTTCATCAAGGAACTGCAGCCTGATCAATCCTCCCCGGTAGGCCTAGCAGGCAACCCAACGATATATAGCACAGCCTTGCTTCCCGTACGCGGGTTCCGAACTCTGCACTCCTTTCCGACACCCACAGCCCAATGGCCACCACGCGAGATGGTGAAAACGGGAACATCCTGCAGGATCACCTCGACGGTGCCTTCGAAGACGATGCAAGAGAGGTTTTGGAAGTCGCTGGCGAGCGGAGTCGTGGTGCCGGTGTTCTGCAGGTCGAGGAGTTGGAGAGTAGAGCCGTCGGTGCCGATGGGAAGGACTTGTCCTTCGCGCTGCTGAAGCCAACTGGCTGAATGGGCGTAACTGGTCGGAGCTTGAGAGGTTGTCAGTGATCTTGCGTTGAGAGAGAGGTACTAAAGTTTGGGGAGGGGGGATGTCTGGCTTACCGTTGCCCGGTGTGAAGAGGTCCATGGCCTCGTTGCGCTGCTCCGAAAGGCGGGTGGTGAACCCAGTCTCCTGCTGGGCTGGTGCTTCTTGGATGATCTGTTGCCTGGGAGTCTCTGGATAGAGGTTTGCTGGGAGTGCCCTCTCAACTGTGGTGGAGGGTGCCGGAGAGGACGTCGAAGAGGATTCCGAAGAGGATTCCGAAGAGGATTCCGAAGACGATTCCAAAGACGATTCCGAAGCGGATGCCGAAGAAGACGACGAGGAGGACGCCGGAGACGGCACTGGAAACAGCACTGGAGACGACACCGGAGCGGGAGCCGAAGCGGGCGGCGACCAAATATCCGGCATGGGCGGGCTATCGAAGCCTCGGTAGACTGCATTGCAGCACTTTTTCTTGCCGGAACGGCTTTCGAATAAGACACAGCGAGGGAAAGCACCCTCTTTATAGATGGTTAGTTTCCCTTGTTGCTGGATGTCGATGGCTGGGCCGACCGTCATCCACTTTTCGCGACAGTTGGCGCCCGGAAAGCTACAAAGGAAGCTGTTTGACTCGTCGTCGCCAGTGAGGAAATTAAGGAGAAGTCTCATAATTTTGTAGCTCGGCTTTTCTACCGCAAGTCTACGTTTCCAGGCTATCGGGAGGTCACGCTTGCGAGGGCGTTCGAGGAGCTTTACAAGCCCCTTCGATACTTTGGGCACGGTACCTCTAAGCTCAGATGGAGTGAAACGACTGATGTATTGCCATGTTTCGGTTGCTTGGACCCTCATCTGCCATTCTTCGAATATCTCGTCATCGGGCTTCTTGTTTTGTTGCTTTTGCTTCTTGCGTGGGCCAGATACAGATGGACTGTCGCTACTCTTCTTTCTTTTGGAACTCTTCGTCTTCGTGGTGTGCTGCGCAATCGGAGACTCCTCTGTTCCGGGCTCTTTCTTAATGGAAGATGGAGACGACGAGGAAGATACAGGAGAGGAAGCCGGAGCCGGAGCCGGAGCGAGCGGCGACCAGATTGCGGGCATTGACGGGTGGCGTGAATTTCGATAGAAAGCATTGCAGCACGTTCTGCGTTCATCATCATGGCTTGATGCCACGGCCGCAGGTCTGACGCACATCGGAAATGCGGCCGCTTTGTAGATAATTTCCTTTCCCTCTTCCAGGCTCGCCATGGCTGGGCAGACCTATTGCCACTTCTCGCGACAGTTTGAACCCGGGAGGCTGCAGCAGAGAGCGTCTACACCCGCGTCGCCGGTGAGATACTCGATAAGGATGCGCAAGATCTGGTACATTGGAATTCCCGAGGCAAGTCGAGCTTTCCACGCGATGGGCAAGTCGCGCTTGAGGGGAAGTTCGAGCATCTCGCGAATTCTGCGTGGGAAGCCGGGTACTTGGTCAATAGGAGTGGGGAGCAGGCCCGTGATGTATTTCCATGTTTCAGACTCTTGAACTCGGCTTTCTTGGTAAGCACCGAGCCTCTTTGTTCTCTTTTTGGCACGGCGAGTCTCTGGGTTGTTGCTCTTCTTCTTTCTCTTGGAACTCTTGGGTTTCGTGGTGCGCGCCGTGGACGTGAATGGCGACTCCTCTGTGCCAGGCTCCTTCTTGATGGTCGGCATCTTGGGCGCCTGGCTTTAGATGCGGGCTTGGGCGGCTTAGACTCGGGCCAGTCGGTATCTTGTCGTGGTCTGGGTAAATCTGCGTTCGAAGTGTGTTGCTCGCGAGATGGTAGATGGAAGGGATTTCCGTGGCGAAAATCCAAGGGCCGCGTGAAAGTCGATGGTACCTCTACTTGTAGAAGGGAAGAATTGCGCCGGGGAAATTGTTGGCGGGCAAGAGAGGAGGGGGAGCCTCACATTCACATTCACTTTCAGCCTTTCGGCCCGCCAATTAGAACCCCCTTTCTCCGTTGCCGGCCCGTTGCCGGACAAGTTCTGAGCCTCCCAAGGGGATGACGGCAGGCACGAATTTGGCCGGAAGAAAGGAAGGGGCGTTGACGGGACCTTGCCTGACGTCGTGTACCGTATCATACATGGAAACTTTCGGTTTCTAGCTGAACATTTGTCCTGCAAAAAGTGGAAGATCCGGAGACCCAAAAGCTATCTCAACCTTAAGAAGGCGCTGTTCGAAGATTGCAGGGCGATCACACTGTTGCTCGTGAAGGAGAGCAGGTACTTGGTACTTGGAACACGTCTTGCTCTCTCCTCTTTCATCCAATAACGCATCTTGCACTTCATCAACGGTGCTGCAGCTCCTCTATATAGGACATAGGCAACTAACTGAAAGTATATCTACCTGATAGGTCCCCCGGGATCAAATGTTTTGTCGTGATGAGAACGGATCCTTAGATGTTTGCAGCATTACGCTCATTTCTGCAGTGAAATCCCAGATGAGTACTTGGTATTTCTTACCTGTGGGCCCCCCTCTGGCCTAACCGTGATCTCACGGTGCTGGCACAGTTTGCAGGGTTATACCGTATAATAGGAATAACTAAAGAACTACGGTAATTAGTTTACATACGGTTTATACTAGGGAAGGGTTCTTCTAGAAAGTTTCGGTTAGTTTACAGTGATATCGCACGGTGTAGGATTATTCACGGTGATTTTTTGGGAATGGTGAAAAAGTGTAAACGGTGCTTGGTCCCAGGTGGGCCTGGCAGCGGAAACCCGGCCAACCTAGAAGCCCGGCCAACCTAGAATTCACGGTCACAATGATGCATTGGCATTGGTTCCCTTTGGAAGAAATCGTTTCAATTGACTAGCTATATTACTTGGGGAGAGAGAGAGAGAGAGAGAAGAGGGAGAGAAAGAGGGAGAGAAAGAGAGAGAAAGAGGGAGAGAAAGAGAGAGAGAAAGAGGGAGAGAAAGAGAGAGAGAGAGAGAGAAAGCTTGAACATCCCTTACCAAAGCATTGATTTTGCAATGCCACTTGGCTACAACTTCCACTTGGAAGACAATGATTTGGTGAATGGATTGTCCAATTCCCGTCCTTGACTCCCTAGCTCCCTAATTCTAATGGATGACTTGGTGGTTTTTGGTTGCGAGGAGGAAAAAAGAAGAATTACAAAGTTTTCGCTCTGATGCAGACCTTATAGTAGTGGAAGGTGGTTATCGTCGTTCTTGCCTTCTTTCCTTCTTTCCTTTTTTCTAATACTCTAATAGTTTTTTACTATTCCCCTATTACCAACTGGTTTCTCACGGTTCCTAAGAAATCACCCGTTATTTAACTGGCATTGAACGGTTCCTATTTCAAAACGGCTGAGCAAATGTCTTTCCGGTATAAATTTCTATGGTTAAAACATCTAACCGTCGCGATGCAATACTGTGAGGATTTTCAACCGTTTATACGAAATAAACTGTGAATGTACGGTTCCCAAAAAAAAACAGTACTTTTACCGTTCGGTCAAAGGGGGTTGAGCAGCTAAGTTGGTGTCCGGCCTTCCATTCATCATTAGATGCTTTGCCGCTCCTTCCTTCTCTGAATCTCCTCCGTATTTGGCCGGTGCCTTCGGCAAACCATTTCCACTTTTTTTTCCACTACGACTCCCGTCCTTTATTCCTCCTTCACTCCCCTTGACTTTACCCCGCCATTTCATCGCCTCCGACCGCGACGGCTTGGACGGCAACCACGGCGGTAGCGGCGGCATTTTGCTGCGGTCTGTTCGTAGTAGAAGTGTGAGGTTTGCGAGGTAGTAGGAGGAGGGGATTGCCGTTGTAGAAATATAAGGATTGAATGAAAATTGTGAGAGAAGGGGGGGGGGGAATACGCGATAGATAGTTTGAGGGCTGGGTGGAAATTAATAAGAGAGGGGGAGAAGTACGCGATTAGGCAGGGAGCAAACGAGGGGGGCCGTTACCTACCTACTCACATTTTCCACCTTTCAGTCCACCAATTAGGGGCCTCCCCTCTCCGTTGCCGGCCCGTTCCTGGCCGGGACAAGTACAATCTGAGCTTCCCCAAAGGAGGATAGCAGGTACGAATTTGGCCAGAAGGATGGAAGGAGTGCTGATGGGACAATTTCTGCCGTCTGTCTTGTTGCTATAAGGTATAGGTACTTGCTGCTGCGGCTCCGCTATATAGGTAACAAACTGAAAGTATATCTACCTGATAGGTGCCCCGGGCTGAAATTATTTATCGGGATGAGAACGGATACTTAGATATTTGCAGCATACATTTCTGTTTTCACCGCGACTCCTTCATTTCTACTTCAATCACCTTGTCTTTACCCCGTCATTTTATCACCCCCGACCTGACTTCCGATCTCATCTTGCGACTGCAACAGCTGGCCAGCAACGCGACAATCTTTGCTCAACAACCCTTCTACCTAACTCTGTCAACACATTCGCTCACGTCTACTTCCAACCTCATTCCCTTCCTCTTCTTGCCTCTGCTTTCTTCTCCCGTCATCGACCCCAGCGTTTCGTTACCCGCTATCGGGACAGGACTCTGAACAATGGCGGGACACGCTTCGAAGCCGGTGGCACCTGGTTCCATCGGAGACGGGAAAAGAAGATACGACGAGTGGAAAGACGTATCTGGTGAGTCTACCTCCCAGAAACCCCTTCCTTATGAGCGTTGTTTGGGCTTTGCTGACCTCGCGCTTAAAGATGGAGAGCCCCGGTCAAACCACGGCTTTGGCACGCTCTTCCCAGAGGGTTACAAGTCCAGTTTTTCTCCAAAGCCCAAAATTTGCCACTGCCCATTTCGAACTTGTGGACAAGCATTCGCCGTGTCGCCGGACCTGGGCGAGCATTTTGTAGTGAGTAAGAACGCTAATGCATTATCTCCACTTTGAATAGAGCGCTGCTACCGACTGTACTCGCAGTTTCTGTGACTCCAGCCGTCGTTCCCATTATGAAAAGGCTGCTGACAAAGGACCTTCCTCTATACCTAGAGATTCCATTCCGGAGAAATCCTACACGATCACCTTGACGGTACAAGCTCTCTTCTTCCCCAAGATGCCGAGTCCGCCAAGGATGCAAAGCACTAGCCCTACGTTGCGGGTCAAGGACGGATGCTGCAGAGCCAGAGCCTGCGTCAACCGTCTCACTCTGTACCTCTCCAACCCGTATCAGGCGCACTTGGCACTCCCGCTGTGCCGGTTGATAAGCGCGACGATTCAAAGCCTCAAACTGGCAACAAAACGCCTCCGAGCAGCAGCGAAGTAAACAGTGACGACAAGAGTGACGGAAGTAGCGACAACGATAGCGACGGAGCGGAAGTGATTTCGATGAGAGCGACGGAGGTGACGGAGCTGGAGGTGACGACAACGAGAGCAACGGAGGTGACGGCAACGAGAGCGAGAAGGTACCCATAGGTCTGCTTAGAGACTACTCGAGGGAGGAATCTCCGTTCTAGTGGCAATTTATGATAACTACCTACTTGCAGCTGCCCGGTAATCCCGTGGACCGTATAATGGCGTATTGAATCGCATATATGAAAGGACGGCGTGTGTTGAAAAAGACCACGCATGGAGGCAAAAGAATATTGATGCTTAAACTGGCATGATGGTAACGAAAGGCAAAGTATCTTCCTGTCCGGTCTTGTATTTTTATCCTCCAGGTGATGAGGGCGTGAAAGTGACACCGGGATGTTCACTAAGTAACATAGTACTGGATAGGAATCGCCATGGCAAGTGAAGCCTTATATTTGTAGTATGGAGAAGAATCCTCATGGTGTACTGAGCAAAAAAAGGTGAAAGTCATGGATTACCATTATATTTCTCAGCTTCAAAAACAGGCATGCGCCAGGGCCTCATGAAACCCAACCAAATTCACCATGACGGCAAGACCTAGACAGGCAGCAATGTAATATGCTAGGCCTTGTATTCCTTCTTCAGGTCAATATCCCTTCCACTGCTCTCGTACATGTAGTCGCTCATGCCCATCGCTTTCGAAATGACACTGCTTGGAAGCTTGGTCTCATTAAGTTTCTTGTGCCCAACCTCCTCCTTCGCCTTGCCGGTATCATCTCCGCCTCGTCGGTATCATCTCCGTCACTCGGTATCACTCCCGTTGCTCCCGTTGCTGCTACTTCCGTCACTTTCGTCGTCGCCACTTCCGTTCATGGTGTGGCTGGAAGTGCTCTCTCTCTGGTAGCTAGGTGGTCGCGCGAACACAAAGCCTTCATCCCCTACATCTGCCCCAAGGGCAACCTCTTTACCCTCGACCGGCCCGTCCCCTTCTCCTCCTCTTCTTCTCTGCCAGAGAGGATGCCTGAAGGGAAGCGGGATCACGAGCGGGAGCAGGGGCGGACGACGACCAAATCTCCGGCATCGACAGATCCTTGGACTCTCGGTAGACCGCATTGACACACTCTCTTTTTGCTGATGAACTTCCGGAAGCTCCAATCTCGGGGAATAGGATGCACCTGGGGAAAGCAGCAGCTTTGTGGATTGTTTCGTTTCCCTCCACCAAGCTCGCCGCCATGGCGGGGTCGACGGTAAGCCATTTTTCGGCACAGTTGGCGCACACCGCAGAGCCAGGATAGTTGCCAACGAGGTAGGCGAAGATCAACCGCAAATTTCCGGGACCCGCTCCTTCTAAAGCCAGCCGAGTCTTCCATACCTCTGGCAAGTCACGCTTGCGCGTAAAAAATTGCAGGAGGTCGCGCATGGCCCTGTCTTTTGTGACGCAACGGGGCATGTAGATATCTGGCTTCACACTCATCAGGTACTGCCACACCTCAGTGTCTTTGGGCTTTTTCAAGGGCACGAGTCTCATCTCGCCCTCTCTTTCCCTCCTTAATTGAGGATGGATGTGGGGAGGGTTAGGGGGACTCTCGCTTCTTGCTTTTCTTTTGGCGCTTTTAGTCTCTGGGTTGGCTTGCGCGATGACATGTAGAGGTAGCGACTCCTCTGTGTCAGGCTCTTTCTTGATGACCGGCATATCCTCCTTCTTGGTGACCGGCGTATGCTCCTTCTTGATGGCCGGCATATTGGGCGTCGAGGTACTGGCTTCCGACACGGGCTTGGATGGCTTGGAAGACCCCCGTGGCAACCGGTATATGTGGTAGTCAACTTGCGGTGGAGTGTGTTGCTTGTAAAATGGCAGATAGAGAGAAATGCCGTGATAGAAATTTGTGGGTTGAGTGGAAGTTGATGGGAGAGGGGGAGAAAGATGCGGTGGATAATTTGGCAGGGAGGAAACGAGGAGGGGCCGTTACTCTCATTGTCAAACTTTCGGTCCACAAATTAGGCACCCCTCCTTCTCCGTTGCCGGCCCGTTCCTGCCCGGGACAAGTTCAAGCTGAGCCTCCCAACCAAGGGGGGCAGGGCGGCAGGTACGAGTGTGGCTAGAAGGAAGGAAGGAAGGAAGGAGCGTTGACGGGACCTTCTCCGCCGTCTGCCTTGCATCAAAGTACTTGCCTCTGTTTGGTCAATTAGCTGAACTCGAACCATTTAAGGTACCTAGGTACATATAAGGGCACATTCTTCGAACTTCACATACTGCCTTTTCACTGTGTTGAAGATTATACGTTAACGAAAGTGCATTTATACCTCTCTTTTCCTATCCAATTCCTTGACTGTCCCCCAATAGACCTTTAAACGTAGTCTTTAGGTCTTATTGTTTCGACAATAGTTCGAATCTTTCGATTTTCTCCCTCACAAACTACCTTATTGAGTTTAGTAAAAGGCAAGTGTGGGAACTGGATATATCATTAGGCCTCAGCACATTTACTTGAAGGATGCCGATGGGAGTGACTTGTCCTTGGAGGTTCTTGAGATATCCGGCGGAACGAGCATACCTACTAGATGTCTGTTCACCACAAAGTCAGTCTGTTCATGCGAAGACAAACTGGCGATCAGGGATCCTCCTCGGAACCACCGATACATTACGCAACGCTGGAGGGTGACAAGCGGGCCGAGACGCAGAGTAAAGAGGGATGGGTAGAAGATGTGGGTGGGTGAAAGGTACCGGCGCTGTTGACCAAATGATGTCCCGTTACTGGGGATGTTGCTGCCGTCGAAGATGATATCTGGAGACAGTCTGGAGGTGATGGGATGGAAGAGATTCAACCTAGTTAAGGATGGAAAAGATGGATTGGGTGTCTCCTTGTAAAAGGAAGCAAAAGTCGTCTGGCAAATCCAGCCTGAAGTTTACCCCCGCAGAGAACTTGGGTTGGTAGCGTGTTGCAGCTGCACTAATTTTTCATGCATGCTTCTGCGTCTGTATGCCGCATCAGGTAGTCCTTCCACTTGCTGAACTCACCTCCATTCACAGTTCATCCGTCGTGCCTTCCATTTCCAAACACCAATGTGGACGCATTCCCAGATCATCATCCCGAACCTTCCCACTCGCTAAGTTCGCCAATGATGCTTGCCAAAAATTAACTCACGTGTCCGAGCGACCCTTTGGTTGTTTTTTTCATCCATCGACGGCGAATTCTTACGTCCTGGGGCAGACATTCCGATGACGCGGGCAGCTTCCTTCTTCTCGCAATCTCTTTCAGTACTAAAAGGTTCGAGAGTTGCTTTTTCCCTTGGTCATCATTTTTTTATCAACTTGACCAACGAATGTAACGCTTTCAGCTTTCTCCATCACTCTATCGCTGTCATGTCTTTCCTCCCGTACGCCACTTGGTCAATAACTGCCCCTACTCCCGAGGTCTCCGAACGACCTTCTGGGCCCATCCAGTTATGCCCCCCTTATCTCCCCTTCTCAACCAGTTTCATTTCAACTCTCAACTCAATCGCTTCCCGTACTAATACATCGTATCTTACCACAGATGAAGGAGACTAATGCTAGCTTCTTTACCCGCCTTATTCGCCATCGACAATGCCCGCTTGTTGATTGAAGGCTCTCAACTCATGTGCATCGAAACCTGAGCGACTCAGTATCTCACCTAGTATTGAATATTTCTGCTAATGATGCTAACCCACAGGATAGGTAATCTGACAGTTCACGACGCAAATCAGCTCTACTCCTGTCGTTACTCTGTCCTCCATCCCTTTGACTGCCATGCTTTGTCTCGGCTATTATCAAGTAAGTCCGGAAGAACCTACCGTCATCACTTACAGGTAACTTGGGCCACAGAACACCAACCAGTGTCGTTTTTCTATTGCCTTTTGGTTTTACAAGAGAGACACCATGTTTTCTCACCCTGGTACTCACTCCGGTGTCGAGTGCGTACATGTACCATTCTTTCATAACTGTTACGCAATACGGTAAGTTTCAAATCTTCACCCCAGAGCTGTAACCATGAATAAGACCATGATTAACGCTGGGAGGACACTCATCGATTACACCACCAATCTTGTTTCCTCAAACGCCCAACTATTTAGAAAGACTAAATCCATAAGTCCGTTTCTTAATGGCGCTGTTTACCACAGTACATTACTTGCAAAATGTCAATCCTTTGGTAATCCCTGGAGGCATGCATCCGCAGGCCGCTTTCCGTACATACCGCGCTTGTAACGACAAAACAATTGGGTTTCTTGGCATCAGTACAAGCAAAGAAGGGACCATAGTCTGCTTACTTTGCAAGTACAAAGCGTTCGTAGGTAATCTTTCCCGCTGTTTCTGGCTGTGTCATTCTGATGAAGGAATACAGGACTTGTCAAAGGCACCCGACCTTCAACTGGCCTTAGGAATGAACCGAACACCTCATGGACAGTCCGGTACAGATTGATCAATGCGCTGAGTGCTTTCGCTACGTCCGGGAAGCTACGACGAAGCAATGATATATGCCTTCTAGTAAGTTGAGAACACCGGGGAAAGACACCGCTTGGCAAAGTTTGATTCAGGTAAGGCGTACATATTACATTACTAATTACATAGCAAAGTTATAAACTGGGATGAAGGTCATATGTGACTTATATCCCCAGAGCAACTTATTCCAACGTGGTCTTGCTAACTGCCCTTGGTGCCTTTTCTATACTGGGTTGAGGATCGTCGGTCCAGTCCTTGGGATCCCGCGCAGCGATCTCGATGCTGGAAGCATCAATGCGGCGTGTTAGACCCTCCCAGAAGTGCTCTCTCATCAGTCGCGTTAGTCGGTTCACGGGATTCTCGTTGAGTCTGGCCTCATCGAGAATAATCTGTAGCTGCCCTTGCTGCTCCCGTCGATGGGTTTGTGTACAAAAATCGTTGCCAAGTTGGCTTACTGGTATCGTCCTCCCTCAACTCCTCCTTCCTCCCCTCATGGCAAGGCAAAAATCCTGAAGGAACCACATTAAACACGGCCAGCAACAGGCTTGCCCAACAGGAAAATAACCGCGGTCTGTCCCCAGTTCGCCGCATTCACCATAGTACAGACGTCCCCTTCCTCGAGCTTAAAAAAGGCCTTCGCGCCCAAAGTGAAGACCCTCAACATCGGGTTAGCGAGAGTGACCCTGACGAGGCCCTGGGTGACCGTGCAATCGATTGTGCGGCCTGTGGTGTTGATGACCTGCTGGCGCTCGCCGCACTTGAGGTCGATGAACTCAAAAGTTTCATCACCTCTGCTGACCGGGACTGGCTGCTGGGGAGGAGCGGGCGCGGCCGACAAGTGTGAAATGAGAGAGTCCTCTCTCTTGGGCGTGGCTTCCTTGTCGGAAGCAGCAGCAGGGACTTCACCACCGTTGTGGTCGCTCAACCTCATGCGCTTGTTGGCATTGTACGTCTCGGTGATCTTGGCAGCAGGGAAGCGCCTCTTCGCCCTTGTGCTGCTCGTTTCGAATCCGCCCTCGCTAGGAGTGCCGGCGACGGCGGTCTCGCTCGTCATGGACTGCTGCGAGCCGGCCATGGGGGTGTTCTGGGGGGTGCAGACGCGAGGACCGAAGTCCAAACCCAAGGCCGAAAAGATCGCGGGCCTGGCACCGCTGGACGTCTTTGGTGAGGCAGTCAAAGCCGCGTCCTCCAAGAACTCCGAGTCCGAAAGCTCGGGAGATTGGGAGGGGTCAGGGGCTTTGCCTGACTGGGCAGTGGGGGACTTGGGCGTCGGGTAGGTAGACATCGTGCGCGTTGTTTCGTGATGCGAACGAAAAAGGGTTGAGATTATGAACAAAGACTTGGGTAGTTTGCGAGTCTGTTCTGAGTGCGAAAGGACTTTGATGGTATCCAGTCGCAAAGCGAGTCTTGTGTGTGGTTTGATGAGAGTTGAGTGTTGAGGAGTAAAGTGAGGTCTTGATGAAGATTTCGATTTTCTGCGCAAATTTTGTCCCCTCGAGCTGAGGGAGGCTTGAGATGATGAGCAGGGACTTGAGAAGTCTGCAAATAGGTTTTGACGATGAGAGAGTCAAGACGCTGTGGAGGGGCAAGGCAAAGCTGGTGTCGATGATGAGAGTTTGTGAAGACTGGGAGATTTTGTCTTTCTACGCCGCAGACAATGTGTTCTCAAGCTTGCTGGAGGGGCTCTACGCGAAGAAGTAGAGGGGGAAAGCAAAGCTGTTGTCTGACTGGAGGGGTAGTTTACTGGAAGAAATCTGACTTGAATAAGGTAAGGTAGGCAACGAGGGGCAGGTATAAGACTGGCCGATACCGATGACGCGCCGGAAGCAAATAACACCTCAGGCAGCGTGGCTATGCACAATCTGGAGGAAAACATCTTTCAATCTGCTACTCCTGTGCCGGCCGTTTCCGTTTCATAAGTGAGGGGCATAGAGGGGGGCAGATAGGCAGATATTGAGGTGCTACAAGTTGGGTTTCTTCTCCTAGATGGCAGGAACGGCAACCAGGAATCTCCATCAGTGAACGGCGAGTCCCTCGAGGCCGAAGCTTTGCACTTTTTTTTTTCCCCTTGGGCAGCTCGCACCGCCCCCTTTGTTTATAAGCACATATTTTTAACTTCAGGCACCACCTTTTGAACGTACTAAGAACATTACATTCATAAAAGTACAACTACATTGAATACTTCTTCCTCTTATTAAATCTACTTCTAGTTATTCACTGCCTTCCGAGAGGCCTTTCCTGCTCTCCAATAGGCCTTCAACCTTGCCCTAAAAGTCATACTCCTTTGATAATGGATCTAATACTTAGAATTAGCATGGTTCAGGATGAAAATGCAATAACTACTAGGTAACGGCACCCCTCGTTTGCTCCCTGCCAAATTATCCACCGCGTGTTTTTCCTCCTCTCTCATCAACTTGTTCTCTGCCCTCAAACTATCCAACGCGTATTCTCCCCCCTCTCTCACAACTTTCACTCAATCCTCACATAAGGTATCTACAACGGCAATCCCCTCCTCCTACCACCTCGTGAACATCACACTTTCACCACGAACTGACCGCAACAAGATGCCTCCGTGTTACGATCCAATCAAGGATCCCTTATGTAAGCTAGATCAGATAGAACCAACGGGACCAATCAGGTAGGACCCGATACGGAGGTTCGGGTCCACGGGTCCGGATTGACGGGTCCATGAAGGCCAGTATATAAGACGGCCTCCCCAGGCCTCTTGAATACCGGCTCTTCAGCAAGCAATAGCTTCTACAATCAATCAGTACCTTTCGGCTACTACTACCGTTGTTCTACCTATCCCAGCGATATACTCCTGTGCTTGTAACGGTTCGTCATACTCCGCTACCGCCGTGGTTGCCGTCCAAGCCGTCGAATTCGGCATCACAGGCCAGCCACTCTACTCTGGAGTCGCCAATTATTAAGAGAGCCCGGAATAGAGGAGTCGCCACCTCACCATGCGCAAGCCAACCCGAGGCGTGAAAGCGCCCAAAGGACAAGAAGCGCGAGTCCCCCACTTTCTTACCCGGTCCACCCCAAGTTGAGGAAGAAAACGGAGCGCGAGAGAGCCAAAGACAGTGGGGTGTGGCAGTATCTCGTGAGCCTGAGATTGGATCTTTACATGGCCGAAAGCGTATGAAAAGTAAAGTCCATGCGCGACCTCCTGACACTTCCGCGCAAGCGTAACTTGCCAGAGATATGGAAAACTCGGCTGGCCCTGGAAGGAGTGGCTCCAGGTAACTTGCGTCTGAAAGGATACAACTGTGCCGTAGAGTGGCCAGTCGGCCCCGCCATGACGGCCTTTGATGAGGGAGAGAAAGCCATCTACAAAGCTGCCGCCTTCCCCAGATGTATCTTGTTCCCCGAGCATGGAACTTCTAGCAATGCATCTGCCAAAAGACGGTGTGTCAATGCGCACTACCGAGAGTCGAAGGCCGAGTCAATACCACCTGTTTGGTCGCCGCCGGCTTCCACTACCGCTCCGGTGTACCCTCCGATGCTGCCTTCGGCACTCTCTCCGCCATCTGCTCAGTCTTACTTCCCGGCACCCGCTGAGTCGTACTCTCCTGGGTACTCTCCGCCACACGCCTCCACACCCTTCAACATGGTCGAGAGAGCAATGCCATCAACTCTCTTTCCCGAGACTCCCAGTCGTCGAAGCATCCACGACGAACCAACCCAGCAACAGACTGGGTCCCTCACCAGCACACAGAACCCCTGTACCTCTACGGACCGGGAAACAGTACTGTAGAATGAGCGGGTCTCAGTAATTTGCGTCTGCTTGCCGCCTATGTACCTTGTTGGAGAGTATACTGGTTCCGCGGTTAAAAGTACCTACATTTGGTGCCTCTGTTTTTTTATTAAAGTACCTTAGGCATTCACTATCCCCCAATGGGCCTTTAACCTTCCCCTCAAAGTCATACTCCTACGATATTATGTTTAATACTTGGAATTTCTCAACTGCCCGCTTTTGATCCTGATAATACGCTGCTAACTTGGACGAAGTGTAAGAAGCGAAAGGCAACTCCTTGAACAGAGGGCAGCCTCGCAGCGTGACCTGCCAATCGCGTGGAAAACCCAGCTTGCGGTAGAAAAGCCATCCTTCAGGATCAAGGAGATGCTTATCTACTATCTCACTGGCGACGAAATCCCGAACTCCTACCTGTGCAGCCTTCCGGGTGCCAACTGTCGCCAGAAGTTCATGACCGTGGGCCCAGCCGTGGACAGCATGGAGCAGGAAAACCTGGCCATCTACAAAGACGGTGTCTTCCCTCGCTGTGTCTTGTTCCACAGCTTCTCCGGCAAGAGGAACTGCTGCAACGCGGTCTATCGGAACCCAAGGATACGAAAAGGAACTTCAACGACGTCTAATTCGTTACCAACAGACCACCCTAGGTGACCGTGCAGTTGACGGTCCGGCCCACGGTGTCGATGACTTGATGGCGGCGGCCGGGCTTGAGGTCGATGAAGTTAAAGGTTTCATCGCCGCGGGTGACGGGGACTGGCTCCTAGGGCTGAGGAGCGGCCAGCGGGTGAGAAGGGGGGATCGCTTCTTGGTCCTCGTGCCGGCCATTGGAGAGGAGGTTGGGGCTTTGCCTGAAGTGGTAGGTGAAGACGGCATTTGCTCCGGGGGCACAAGCCTTTATCTAGGGGGGCCCCAAACCTTAAGGGGGCCCCAATCGGGTTAGGGTTTAACGTATACGTTATTTTTTTCAACCCTTTAATACAGTCAGATAGTAATCGTACAACACCCTTTTTATATAAAGCAATGCCAAACCCAATCAACTAGTAGACCCCATATATACGACCCCCATCTTTAAATTTAGTAATTTTGAACATACCTTTCAACTTAACCTTCTTTCAACTCTCTCTTTACAACCAAACTACCTTTTATCACCAGAACAGACTAAAATCAATCGCACGTACGTAAATATTAATTGTATATATTACCAAACTATATACTAACCTTCTTAAAGCCTCAAAATACTACGCGCAAAAATAGCGCCGCCTTAAGAACTAAATACGCCTATCGACTTTACCTATATTAAGGATAACGATAGCGATAATAATCCTTTTACCGATATTAACGAAGAGTAGGAAGGCTTCTCTAATAATAATACTCTTGTTAACTCTCCTAGCGACTCTAGCGATTCTAACGACTCTAGTATCGACTCTAGCGTACGATCATCCAATTCCAATCCTAATTTACCTCGTTTAATACAATTACTTTAGTAAAAGAGTAATTTAAATTCCGTTTTAAATTATAATGTTACGAACTTTAAGCGATGACACGAGCCAACCAAGCCACCGGGAACACAACAGCCACGTGAAGGCTGGGTGGTGTAACCTTCCCAGGAATAAGAGCCAGGATCGGAGCAAGGAGAGCTCACATCTGCCAAGACAGGCTCATGAGCTAGACACATGTAACTAGAATCACCAGAGTATAAAGGGACGACTGGAGAACTCAGATTGTCAGATAGTTCGACAGTAGTCAATAGACCATCGTCATCAGAGACACGTATAACGATACTTGTTGTGAACCTTTTGGCTTCACCGAACTGCACCTGATAGTTTACTTCCTTCAGCTATCTCATTTAGGCAGATCAGACTGCCGTTCGTCATATATAATAAGCGGTCGAAATTAAATTCAAACGAAAAAAGTATTATTATCAATCACAGGGACGTAATTATTAATCTACTAGTTAACGCTATACTTTCCGCTACTACAATCTAGGATCTTTATAAAGTAATTAATAAATAGGTAAAAAACTACAATTTTACAATTAATTATTAAAATAGCCAAAGTACTAAGTCCAAAATTCCAATAAATGAGTATATACAGTATTATTTCTTCTATAACCAATATAATTAACCTTGCAAATCTAAGGCAACGATTTGAAAAATAACCTCGCGCAAATATAATTGTAATTAGACAACTATCGTAAAAAAAGAAGATAATCTCTAGTATTTTTATTTATATTCCTAATATTAAATATATAACCACCCTTAATTGTACAACCCCTCTACTTATCTCCGACATTGTAAAATAAAGTTAGAAGTACTTAAAACTATCGACGATATTTTTAAATTCAATATTATACGAATTCGAAAAATCGCTTCCGTCGTACGAAATAATTATCCAAAATCAACATATATTAGGAAAAATATTTATAACGTACGTATATATATTCGCCGACGTAATCTTAATAATTATACTCTAATAAATACTTTAATCAAGGCCTTTAACGATAATAATATTGAATATATTAAAAACATAAATCCAAATAATAAAACAAGCCTACTAAGTATTATATTTACTCTCCTACATTATATATATATAGTTCAACGCTTTTACAAAATTATAATTATTAATAATACGTATAACATAAATCGCTTTAATTATCTATTCTACTAAATTTCTAACATTACTAATATTAATTATATTTTTAATTATATCTTTAATATTATTGATAACGAGAAGCAAGCGGCGTTCGACTTCCTAATTAATATTACTAAATAAATAAAATTATAATATAACCTCCTAAAACCGATGGTCGTTATTACTAATAAATATAAAGAAATAAAGCAATCCCCAATAAAGATCTTCCCTAATACTTAATAATAGTTCTATTTATTTTATATTATTAAAAATGTTTTATATAATGCTAAATTCAAATTTAAGAAAACTAAAAATAGCGATAACGATAACGAAAACTCTAACGACGATAAAAGTATTAATAAATAGGCAACCCCTATTCTATTCGATAACTAAAACTATAATCTTGATACTTCTATATATAGTACTAACCCTTCAACCGATTTAATAATTACTAACGACCCTTATAGCGTTATAAAGCAATTCAAATTCATAATATATAGTAAGATAGAGTTAGAATTCTTTACTACGTAGGAAGATTTAAAGAAACGATTTATAATTCAAAAGATAATTCTTCAATATATTTAAAAACAAACTAGCTACCTATTAGGGATTAATAAGTATACTATTATATTAAATAACAAAGAGATTTTAATATAAGAATTACCTCCCTAACTAAATCTAATAACCTCAACATTAAAAATTACTTTCTTAACGGTAATAGTAATATTTTTAAACTAATTTCTACCATTCTTGAAATAGCCAACGAATAATATAAAACCTTCAAACAAAAATTAATAACCTACTAAATTTATTAACGTTATAAATTTATTACCTACAATTATTTAAATAAACTCCCCTTATAAATTATATTAATTCTGCTAAAAATAATTAATTATAAATACCTTCAAGTAAAAAGGGGCCGGCCAACTAATTAACGTAAAAATCCCCCTCCCCTCCCTCCTTATAATAAGAATTATAATATTCCTCTCCAATATAAACTACTTTACCGCTATAAAATATTCAAGCGGTTAGCTACAAAGAAGCCTTTAAAACTTACTTATATACACCCTCGTTAGCACTTTAAAGTGCTACTTATATATCCCTTATCTATCATCTATATATTTATATATAATTGTGTTTCCTGCGGTGCCCTGACTGGCCTATAATGATAGCACCAGTACAAGGTTGCTACAGTGAACTATGCACTTGTAGCAGAGCGGAGCGGAAGCGGTAGGAAGTACGACAGCAATGCTGAAGGAAGCAGCGTAGTTGCAAGTACAATAAAAGGATGTTGTAAAAGAGGTCTTAGAGAGGACTCTGCTCTCAAGACAGAAGATTACAGTGGACTCTGCACTGTGAGAAAAGACTATATTGTATTGCTTGACTTGTGCTTGCTTGCTTAAGGAGTGACGAACTGAAGGAGAGGAGAGGTCTCTATATACATGGACACTAAGCATCTAGAAGCTTCTGTTGAATCCTGTGATGACAAATCAGTCTGGAAGAAATGCTAGCTAAGTTATAAGACTCTAGAATACAGTGGCAAAACCTCTTGTATTCTAGTACATTCTGTGGGGACTGAGTCAACTGATTCCGTAGAAGGAATAGTTCAACTAGCCTTCTATACTACAAGGTAGTACAAGGCAGTTACAAGGCACAGTACTAGCCACACGTTAACAAATTGTTAATTAATCTTTTTAAGCAAGATATCGACGATTTCTACCTTTGCGTTCGAACCCCCTATATTATTAAAAAAAAAAGTCGAACGAAGAATTCTATTAGAATTATCCCTAATGAGTACGTACTTCCAATAGAAATAAAGTAAAAAACCCTAAAAACTCCCAAAACCCCTAAAAAATTAAAAGCCACACCTAATTCAAAGAAAGGAAATAAAAAAACTATAATATTATTAAAAAAAAGGAGTAAGAAGGCTATACTAACCTTAAAGAATAAAAAAGGGGATAAAAAAGTTAAGCCTATTAAATAAAGTAACTTCAATAACCTACTTCGCCTACAATCTAATATTCGGCGCAACCTATTTTACTTAAAAAGCAACAATATTAATGAACTTACTCCCAATTCTACTAAACGCAAACGCGTATAGGAACCGATTAATTCTAATACTTCAAACTATAATAGCGAATCGGAAGCAACATCAAGAAGCGATCCAAAACTAATACTAAACTACATTCAAATAGCTACACCAAAGCCAAAGCCAAAATCAAAATCAAAATCAAAATCAAAATCAAAGTCAAAGTCTCTACTCCCGCTTCTAAAACTCCCGTCTCTAGAACTCCCGCCTCTAAAACTCTCTCCAAAAGTCACAATCTCTCCAGAACCCTCTCTAAAGCTAGAACTACAACTAGAATTCTTACCCTCTACAAAACCCACTCCAAAACCAAAGCCAGAGCAAAGCCAAAGCTAAAATACAACTTCAGCTCGTCTCCAGAGTAGCCAAAGTAATAGTAATCCTCTCCAAAGCCAATACTAAATTACATTCAAATAGCTATACTAAAACTCTCATCTCCAGAGCGAAAATTAAATCCAGAATCAGACTCTATTCAAGTGACTACACCAAAATCGAACTCTCCCGTTAAGCAAGCGGTTAAACACAAGAGAGGCAAGGCTCAAATAGGCTTACTAACCCCCAAAGTTCTAATTACACGAAGTAATCGTATAAGCAAACCCAATCAACAATACTAAAATTTGAAACACCATACCAAGTATCACGAAATTCAATTTAGTACCATAATCTTTCGTAGTGTAAATAAATGCCATAGAACTATCCCATGTACAAAACATTGTATACCATAGAAATCCCCATACAAAACTATATCACTAGGCATCGCTATGATTTTTCATATTCACGTAACACTCTGGAATTTACCATATAAATACTATTTTACATCAAAATAACGTGCCAAGCATTAAAATATTGGGGCCCCCTTAAGGTTTAGGGCCCCCAGAGCCTAAGGCTTGTGCCCCCGGAGCAAATGCCGTGAAGACTCTCTTCAAAGTGGAGATAATGCATCAGCGTTCTTACCACAAAGTGTTCGCCCAGGTCCGGTGACATGGCGAATGCTTGTCCACAAGTTCGAATTGGGCAGTGCCAAATATTGGGCTTCGGAGAGGAACTGGGCTTGTAACCCTCTGGGAAGAGCGTACCAAAGCTGTGGATTGACTGGTGCAAACTCTGGTATCGCTTGCGAGCGTGAAGGAATCGAGGTGGTATGGATGGGCAAACTAATGTTTGTGCCCGGCGTAGAGAGAGTTTCAAGGAGAAAAGTGAGGTTCGTGACTGTTGATGAGAGGATTTTGAACTTTTACGCGCGGAAGTCTTGAGATGGCGTTACTCTCAGCGTGAGCTCCCAAAAATCCTCCTTATATGCCCAGTGGGTTGGACACCATGTCCATCGTGGCAACGTGAAGGTGTTTTGTCGTGGCATTGTGACATTGTTGTGGCCGTGGCCGTCGCGATGAGCGGATCAGGTTCACAACGGTTAAGTATCGAGCAGAAGAATTGCAGGGTTCTCAAAAGGGTGACGACAGATTGTACACGGGATCGTTGTCGCCGTGGGGATAGCCATGGGCCGGAAAGCTCATGCCATCCAGGCCAACAACGTAGTGGAGCTGGTTGGGGGGATATTTTCCGGTCTTTCCTGTCGGCCTTAAGGCTTGCCGGGTTCTTGTTTGGTGGGTGGGTTGGGCAAAACTAGTACGGTTCCCCTTGCCTTCTTTGGTCTCGTCTTCGATGTCAATGAGAATAAAGTCCTCCTCATGGCTTTTGCGTTCAGTTTCATTCCTGTGGTTATTGAAAGGTTCGCCCTTGGCATATCTCTCCTGATCGTCGTCGACTGCATTTATATTGATCGAGCTAGCGCGCTTGGCTTCTTTTATGTTCGTCGGGAGCAGGCCCATCCCCAGATGTCATCCGCTTGTGGGACGTATTGGACTCGACGGCTCTGTCAGGGAATGACCGCTTTGCCGTCTTCCTTATAGATGAGAAAACCTAGGATAGTGGGTTAGAGAACATGCCGATGGCTTCGAAAATGACCGGGTAGATACTAGATAGCCTCTCGAACCGGGCGCGCAAGAAGTCTGGTGGTAGGAAGTTCATCATTAACCGCAAAGAACAGGTCGCCAACTTTTTGTCACTAGCGGCTCGGCTCCAAGTGTTGCTCGATATCGAGAAAGAGACAACACGTCATTGACATGATCGAGCCCAACGCGCCTGGCTCAATAGCGGCAGGAACAACCACCGAAGGCACCCTCATGGACGCGGCAACGATGCCCCACTTTTTCACCTCGCACCAGACCCACTCTTTTCCTCTACTTGTACACGCACTCAAGATTTCTAGGACACTCGCATATAACTTTCCACAAACTATACCTATCTCCTTGAAATCGGATCTTTATCGCGGCATTAGGCTGAAATCCTACCTCTTCAACTTATTTCAACTGGATCTATTGTGTGGGCCCTCTCATTTGGTCATGTGCATTCACCGAGTCCTGTTTGTGCAACGTACACCACGTTTTACCCTTTGAACATCCAAGGATCTATACCTTAAGTACGCTGTACCTCTAAGGTACTGGCCAGGCCTGTTTATATCTCCCGGTCCGCCATAGCCTTGATGTTATCAAACTCTTCCTTCTTTTCACACTCCTTGCATTTGCACTTAGCGCGTCGGATTTCCTCCTCGGATTGACCTCGGTTAAAGCAAACCGGAAGGCAGTCGCACGGATTTTCAGCCACCGCTAATTCCGTCTGGGTCATCTCTCGAAAAGAGGAACCTGAAGGGACATACCTGCCATGTTTGCAAGCACAGGGATGTAGACATAGTTGCGATCTGTGATGTCTTCGGAATACGGCTGATCGTCACTCCAATCAAGGATAGGCTGTGGCTGTATGGCATTGCGTTCCTAAATAGTTGCCCAATACTTGTGAATCCGCATGCTCTTCGAGCGTGGGTAAAACTTCTTATGTTCTGGAAAGTTTTGCAGGAGCTCCGGTCGGATGTTGGGGTACCGGAGGATTTGGTCTCGTAGCATGTGAAGATGAACGAGGCCGGCAAGGCTGATCAGGCTGACGAGCAGACACTGTGGGCCATGGTGGCGTGGTGGCATTGGGGAAACATGAGGCTGAGGGGACGGCAATGGTTTGGACGTTTCCACGGCTGCATCCACCACCGGCAGCTTCGTCTTTGGGTGCGTGTGGGAAAGGGTGAGTGCGCCTAGAGGTAGATCTTCTCTGGTAGAAAGCTTGTTCTAAATGGAGCTGGAGCCGCAATAAACACACATATCAATACCGTTTTCTTGCTGCTCCCTAGAAGTATCAATCTTTTGCTTTTTTGTCTGCGGATGTTCTCTTCCCCCTTTTCATTTCCTCAGCCAAGGCAGGTATTCTTGCCAGAATCTTACCTCTACGTATACACAGCATCGTGAGCGAGCAAAGAAATCCAACCGAGCACCAGAAGCTTTGTTACCTCTAGTACCCAGTTTCACGAGCACATTAAAGAGTGACCATTGTCCAGCTGCTTCGATCCAGACTTGGCTGCTTACCTATTCAATAATCCAGCAAATAGCAACTCCGTTTCCCAGTCTCGTCAACTCATTACCAGATGAAACACAGCCCAACGCGTCACAATACGAGTACCTGCCCTCTATCTCTCCCGATGACGCTCCCCCTCCAGAATAAGAAACCCAGAGCTTCGGATGACCAATGACGCCGTCTACCTGAGCAGCACAGACTTTAGATTACCTGGTCACCTGGCTGGCAACTGGTATCAAATTCGAAAGTGTTTGCCCACAATATATTTCTGCCTGCCATTGTTGTTCATGCCCCGCACTCTTTTTCTCTCCCTCGAGTTTCACTTCATCCTCGTCGCGCTTTGTAAGATTCTCACCTTGCAAGATCTTCGTCTCCAAGATTTTTTTTCAAGAAGTCACGTCGTCCTTCTTGAAGCTTGCAACCTTCACTGAGATTCATCAAGACTGCGATACCTTTCACTGTCAATACAGCTCATCAAAAGATCTCCTCGCGTACCTCTCCCTCATTTTTGTTCATCCTCGGCTAGTCCCTCACAAGGAACCTACCTACCTGCCTGACTATCACGATGGAGTTCTGGCTGCATCAGCAAGCAATCCTCGCGGGCGAGGGGTCTGCTCCCCTTGATGCCCGAGCTTCCTATCATGACTGGACTGGAATCCTGAGTACGTCTACCATACCTCAAATAATACTTTCCTTCACGTCCTGACTCAGATTTTGCTAACATGTTATCTATCTCTCACAACAAACGGGGAGGCCATCACGGTTCATCACTGGATCGCCCTCTTCCCACAGGGCTACGCTCCTCGCTCGGGACAAAGATTTCCGTGGCACTGTCCTGTCGTGGGCTGCAGCGCGGTCCATATTTCTGTTGTGGAACTCGGCGCACACTTTAATGTGAGTAACTATCCTACTACCTGCCAGACCATGAGCTTCAGGCTCTCAGGGACTGTCAAGTTTATCTCAAAATATCTTGATACGGATCTGAGAAGTCATCAGTCTGGCTATACTGTTCCATAGAAGTAAATCAAGCAACTAACACCTTCTTTTACTCAGTCTGTTCACCATGGTGCCATCCTTCTCGATAACCGCAATGGTACTTTCGCGGTCATCGGCACGCAACCTCCCCCCGCTCGCTCCGCGTACGTTGCTGCCCAAAGACTGGCATCGGGATCAAGCATCGGTTTGTCGGCGCCTGTCTTCTCCGCCCCGCCTTCTCTCGCGGACAGGTGGGAGGACGACTCGACCGTCGTCGAAGGAGACATCTTCTCCGACGACAACCAGGGCAACGGCGTGGCGGACGGCAACGGCAACGCGGCTGACGACGAGGATGACGAGGACGACGATGATGACGATGATGACGAGGACGTTGAGATGGGCGAGGCAGTCGACGACAGCGACGATGACTTTCCTGAGCAAACCATACAAATCCAGCTCGGATTTTCCGTCGGCCAAACTCCCACCGACGATGGGTCTTCCGGAACCGACGGAGACCCCATGGATGTCGACTCCAACGTCGGAACCCCTGCCGCCCAAAGCCCCGTCTCTGCCCCGGTTTTTCCTGTCTCGGCCGCCCAAGCCCCGGCCGCCCAAGCCCCCATCGCCTCTGCTGCGGCCGTCCAAGCCGCCATCGTCCCAGTCCCCCTCCCCGGCCTGCTCCGCACCATCCACGACCACCAGCCCCGCCAGGAGCTGCCCGACCCACCCCTCTCCAACTGGAGATCTGGCCCTACATCACGCGCTGGACTCTCTACCCTCTTCCCCTCCCCTCCCCTTCCTCCCCCGCCCATCGCACCCTCCTCGCGCTCCTCTCCTTCCCCCGCATCCGCACCTTGCCGGTCTCCTGGCAGGAGCGCTTGCGGGCCCGCACCCCCTCCCTCGGCACCCTCACAGCAGTCGCCCTCTACCTCGGCGGCAGAGCCGAGTCCGGCTCGCCCTGCCAGTCACACTGCGGGCAGTATGGCGCCCTGGTGGAGAGGCTGTTTGCTGTCCAGAGGGAGAAAGCCTGGGAGAAAGGGCTGGGGTACTGGAAGTTCGAGAGGAAGTTTGCGTTTCCGAGGTGTGTGAAGGTGCCGGAGGCGTTGGAGGGGGATCGGGAGGTGGAGGAGGTGTTGGGAGGAAGGCCGTGTTGTAACCATTTCTTCAGGGAGTTGAGGGGTGCGTGGGAGACGAGTGAGCCGTTTCCGCCGAAGCCGCCGGGTGGTCTTGTTTGGAATGGGCCTATGTGGTAAATGTATAGCGTAGGAGGAAGTGTGAGCGGGTGGGTTGTTAGGAGGAGAGGGGGTCTTTCTGCTTGTGTTCCCGGGTTTATATGCGGAGAAGGAAAGAGCGATTGTTCTGGATGGTTTGGGTTGGAGGAGAGGAAAGAGCGTGGCGTTTGGGCGGTGCTTGCCTGGGTTGTCTCACGGATAAAGGAAGTCATGAGGGCTTGAGCTAGGTTTTTCATTGCCAAAGCATGGAAGGGGGAAAGTTGGAACAAATGTTTTGTGTTTTTCTTGTACAATAGATATCTTATTTGAACCCTCCGCTCTCTTTGCTCCCACACTCAGCACCTCTCTTTTGTTCATGCCGTGTGATGTTGTTTTGTCAGTGTACGTTTTAATGAAGAAGCAAATCCAGCACGTAACACCGCCGCCTAACATCCATGTACCTTCTACGGGTTGTCATATAACGATTGGTTCTTGATGGCAGGAAAGGATGATTTATTGCGGCATGGTTGAGAGAAGAGGAATAGGGTGCCGTCCAATCTGATACCTCAAAGCTGGAAAATAGGGCACCTTCCACACGTCTCAGTCAGCAACGCCTGCCACGGTTATAGCATCATGCCTTTCACAGGGCAGCTACGATGCATGTGGCTGCACTGCACCTGCCCGTGTATGTTTCCAGCCCACCATGCTGGTTGGATTCTTTAACTTTCTTCCTTTCCAGAAAAATCAATCTGCTTGTGTTAACCCGACCATTGCGGAACGTGCCATTTCCACCCACATACTGCCCATGTGTGCCAGCCAAAAATGTAAGAACACTCTTTGGCTCCATCTCTTCTCCCATCTCACCCTTTGGTCGCTTCCTTCGGGTTTTGATCGTATTCTTTGGTCGTCTCCTCTCCAGTTCAATCCACCATTTTGGCCGCAGCCATCCTGCTCTCCATGCAGTTTGGCCCAAACAGCCAACAACAATGCCGAAGAGAAAGCAGCGAGAAGTCGTCAATCAAAAGATGGCGCTGGCAACTAGAAGGAGAGCTCGCGGCCTGAACGGACTCAGCAATTGTCAAGGTAAGTGAAAGTGTCGAAGTTATGTTATTTGCAGGATATTGTCACCAGTACCTCTGACGAGGTCCAGTCACCCCTTTGACACCAACACGGACTCCCTGCTAATGACACGCTCGCCATCTTTTGTTGAGGGCCACGGCTGACAACCCTCTAGACCACAGCTCGGATCAAACTACTTCCATTGTCATCGTTGCAAGCTCTCCAGCTCACTGACCCGCGCCAACAGTTTGACTTGATCAAACACGAGCCACCTTCTTCACCTCCGCGCCCCGAATAACAACAACAACCAGCCAACTCACCACTTCGTCGCCGACAGCCATCCCAAGCCGTCAAGGATATTGGCCTAGCCCGACAAAGTCTTTCTGCGGCCACCGAAGCTCCGGCTTGTCCATGTGCAAGCAGCCAACCGCTTCAAGCCCCTACCCACCACCATATTGAGATTCCGATACCGATTACTCTTGCGCAGGGTTTGCTGCAAATCCAGCACGAACTGCAGCAACAGATCCAGCAAATTCAGCAGGCTGTTCACAAAAAGAAGTCGGACAAGAAAACAACAGCGGCCAGGGTTCCTATCACTTCTCGTATTCGACATCAGGACTCATGGTATGCTCAGGAATACGACCCCTGTCCGGAGCCGTACGTCTCCTAATTTTCCGACCCCGAAGACTATTACGACTCAGAGCTCGCGGCCTATAACTCTACCTCACCCTTCCCTAAGCCTAGCTACCCGACCTACCCCGGGCTCACAACGGCGGAGGCGGAAGACCTCAATCCGGACATGGAGCCATCAGTGCCCGCGTCTTCTCTCGGTGGTTATCCCATCCATAGATTGGAACAATGGGCGTCGCTACTAGAGCGAGGGCGAAGGCCATCGCCATACCCGACCAGCCAGCCAATACAAGCGGTAACAATCCGGAAGAAGCCTTCGTACTCGACCAGCAAGCCAATACAAGCAATAACAATCCAGAAGAAGCCTTTTATTACAAAGCGTATAATGCCTACGTAACCTACGCCGGGGGGCGTAACTTCATCTCCTCAAATACCTACCATCGGAAGAATTCCTAAATAAAATCATTTCCGAATTAAAGTTCAACTTCACACCTAGCCTATTGAATACTCTCACCGCGTTATACGCTCCGACCATCGAGGTCATAAAGTCGTTCACTAAATTCTCTTAGTCAAATCCACCCGCCTATCGGTATATCTTCTTATCTTAGGAAAGCCCGACCAACCTAATACACCACCCTTGATTTACGTCGGCACAGGCACAAGCCTCAATTGGGGTGCGTGATGAAGTGCAATCAGATGCATTGATACCCGGATGGCAAACAACTCTTGGACTTATCTGGCACTATACAGCAAGGAAAGTTGACTTCTATCTCCAGTCACATCCCCTGACAAGCTCTTGATCCAAAAGAGGATCTACCAGCCGCACCGAACCTCACCCCTTCGAACATGTACAACTGATCACCCTAAAATATCAAGGGAAGCATTTCAGAAAGAGATAGAAGCCAAGCCGAGACGGTGGGCGTCGTTTATCTTCCCTTTTCAGTGCTTTGGCAGGACTGTCCAGTAATCTGAAGAGAGGTTTTGCAAGCAAGAGGCGCGGAGCCGTGAGTACCTTAGTCATGTATTCAACCTTCCACAGCGATAAGTTGCTAATGATGATTCCACAGTTGGACGTCTATTTGTCGTGGCGCGGTTCTTCACGCTTTGGCCTTGAGAGGTCTTGGTGACCTCTCCGTCAAGGTTGATGCCCGCATCTCACGAGCGAGCTACGGAATCGAGACAGTCAGAGATTAGGATCCTCTCTTGCACCTCGAGGAAGACAAGTACTGGGCAGATGAATACCAGGAGTGGTTAAGTCCCATCTCTACCCCAGCTTGGGTTGACCTCGCTCCTCTCCCGGATAGCGTGAATTACTTCCTCCGCGAGTGCCCACTTGCTGCAAGTTCGACTCATGGGGACGAAGATACCTTCTTTGAGCCGAAACATAGGGTGGTGAAGTCCACCACACGAGAGGGGCCTTCCTACACTTCTTCTTCCTCTAAACCACGTCATTGTCGACGCCCTGTTGATATGCCATGACTGTCGGATTCTTGAGGAATCGATACTGATGAAATGCATCAACCAAGCATCGCGATTGGGATGTGTGGTGTACGTATTGGTGATGCTATACACTCTGTTTCCCTGAATGGCGTTCAGTTCTGTTCTTACTTTGTCGAAATTAGGTATTTGGTCCACTGGCTACCACGGCCAATGATAAAGACGGGAACGCCTTGCATGATCACCTCCAGGGCGCCTTCATGAACGATGCAGATTAGACTCTGCAAGTTGCTTGGGTGCAGAGTGGTGGTGAAGGTATTCTCCAACTCCAGGATCTGGAGAGTTAACCAGTTGATGCCAGTGAGTAGAACTTGACCCTGCGCCTGTCTCTCGCCCGGTCACCACCGCTTCCTTGTCTTTTGGCCCTTTATAGTTGGCCAGTCAACCAACTCCCTTGATCGGGCTTGTGTAGCCACAACTGCCTGACGGAGACGGTCCGAGGCGCCATAACTACCCTCACCGTTATACAAAGGAAGGAACTCTATAACGATGGCCAGGCCAATACTCGGAGGCACGAAAAGCTCCGCAAACGGTCGGACCGAAACCCAGATGCGTTGCGCAAGTAATAAGCGGCCATGACCCCATACGCTTTCAGGGTGAGCTCCTCCCTGGTAATTGGGCGCAAGACACCAACTGACTTGCTAACATTGACGCGGCAGCGGCGGTGGCGGAGGAAGATATTTTCAGGTCTTTCGTTCTGCCTGCCTCGTCTTGGTTCAAGTCCCTCCCCGCTCCTTCAGATATCCGTGGAAATATTTGGGGTGTCTAGAGGTACTGCCTTGTCTTCGAAAAGGATGGCCATCCGGATTGTATTTATATTGGCTCCGATACCGGTGTCCAGGAAGGTATACGTGCCCGTACCTATCAATCGACACTGCCACCACCTGAAAGTCGGTGATCCCGGTGCTAAAGGTATTCCCGAAGGCATGCGGAAAATAATCACGGACGGCTTTACCCTCACTCACACACCCCTTCTCGCGCACTTCCCCATTCCACCTCCGAAAGACGAGATCCAGGGTCGTTCTCTTTGTTTGGCCTTAGAATCACTTTTCCACTGTATCTTCTGGTCACTTCGGAGTCGAGAGCCTCATTATGGCTACTTCGACGATCTCTTCGGAAGAGCGAAGCGCTCGCGGAGGACGACGACCCCCTCTTCCATGGCGCCGAAGGAGGAGGCCGCCGCCTCCATGTCGCCGGCCACGCCGGTGTCCATGTACGCCATGACATCGGCGCTAAAACCAGTCAGCATCCTGTCCTTTGTCACCAAAACAAAGACAGGAAAGGAACTTACGCGGTGGGGACCATGTGCTGGACCCGAGCAAGCAGAGAAACGTAGAGGCCAGCAGCGATCTGCTTCTCAGCAGCCCAAGCACCCGCCACTCGACAGTATCGCTGTTACCGTATGAACGACTTTCTCAGCATGGAATGGAACAGGAGCGCAGGCGACCTTCACCATCCCCAGGAGAAAGCGCCCATAGCTGGCCGGAACCCTTGGTACGGCTTCTCATTCCGACCGGAATTTTGCAGTTGTGATGGGATTCAGACTCGAGTTTTTACACCATGGTCAAGCATATCTACATATGTTTTCTCACTTACATCGAACACCCATAGAGGAACACAGCGAGGCATGGAGGAACACACGGCACACTTTCGATTTGCGTCATTTTTACAGTTATTCTCATTGAGGGCGGACATTCTTTACACTTACGATATTTCATTATTATATCTTCCGGGCCAGGCACCTCTCACGCTACTGAGTCTTCAAGTTTGACTCAGTGCCGTTAGGATGTGTCCGTACTGGGGGTTCGTAAAGCACGCGGGAAATTGTTTAAGCATGTCGGTCCAATTGTCGAACGTGGCACCGGTCCAAGTGTTGTCGCCGATGTCGTAGGATGTTTTCAGGTGTGTAAAAGGACCAAAGGTATACGCCATGGGCATCTGGTTTAAAGCAGCTAACTTCCCCCAAAGCTGATCATCTGGAGAAAAGCATTACTACCTGGAAATCGCTTCATATGATTAGAGGAAAGTGGATGAAATATCAAATGGACGGGATCTCTTTCTTCGATGACAATGAAAATATCATGTTGTCAAGCTATACCTCCGAAATTTACACCGAGTCTTCAACGTCGACCTTTCATCTCATCCCTTAACGGCAGGCCCCTTTAAACCACTCTGCAGATTAGTCGAGCAATTACGGAAAAGAGCTTTCTCTCCAGCCTCACCAGTTCTTTCTCCACAATGTCCTTCTTCTGCTTCAACTTGGTCCGCGTCTGGCGTTTCCCTCCGTTCTCTGTTTTGACTTTATCGAATTCGGACTAATAGGCGGTAGTACTAGTAGCGTTAGTTAGGTCAGCGGCGGTGATAACGCTTTCTCGCTTGCATCACCCTCAACATTTGGGACAATAACCAAAGCCACATGGTCGAGGGCTGTCTTAACCTCCTTGAGTAGAAGAATGCCGTTGCGGGGGTGGCGGCACTGGCCGTCGTTATCCTTTGTAGTCGAACAAGAACCAGCCGCGCGGGTGGTGACTGACATTGACGCAAAGGTAGAGCCAGGGCATTCTAACCACCCAGCTGCGCACCCTTCCTTCACGCCTCCGCTCGGTTCAAAACTCGCGCTCAACGGCTCTAATCCGCCCGGACGACCCTGCGCTCTACCCCAACCATTTGGCACAGAACCACTTCCAGTTCACCCTTCCGATTCCTCTTGGAATTGGTAACGCCAATACCCGTACACCCGGGCAGCACATGTTCGTCTACCCTTCGTCCGTTTGTTGGCTGAAGATGACATGAGGACAGGGCCGGAATGTTGGATATAGCCGAAGCGTCGGATAGAGTTGATAACGAACCCGACGAGGGTAGACCCGTAAAGTCAACTTCCCCTTCTTCGAGCTCCTCCCCCGAATCTGGCTCATTCATGGCAATGCCGCCGTAGCACAATGCGTCCCACACATTGAGGGGTTTATTGAAGACGTTGTGAACCTGCCCGAAACACCGAGGCTAGCCTCGTTAATGCTAGTGCCGACGGGGGAATTGCATGGGGTTGAGAGGGATGATAAGGGATGGGAGCTTGGGGTTAGGTGGTTTAGGGAGGATGGGCCTCTGGTTAGGGACGAGGGGGAGTTTGTGAAGGTTGTTTATGTGTCTGCTGCTCCTAAGCAAGTCTTCTAAACATTTTCTCAGGAATACACCCAGCCCAGGACCCTAGACCCAGGCCACAACGCATCTTGCCGGTGGCAGAGAGCGTTAGTAAGGTAATCTCTCATCCTTGGTTGACGAAGCTATCGACTGGCCTTCGTGGGCGGGTATGCGCGCTCCAATATTGATGACATTTACCCCCTCCTCCCGAGATTCCTGCAACACAGGCTCAACAATCTTCAACAGCCCAACCAAGCCGTGGTTTAAGCAAGCCTAGGTAGCCTCTTCTTTTGTCAAGATATACTCATATTCTGGGTGCTATGGTTCCCGTCGTCATGGATCATGGTTGACCCACCTCACCAGAACTGGTCATGACATGATCAGGTCTGCCCTCCCTGAGAGGCAGGCTCATGTCATGCCAGTATAAGAGGCTCTGCCTCGCTGTCGCCTTGGCGTCAATCCTAGAGGTAGCTATCAATCAATCATCTACCTATTATATCTTGCACAGTCACTTGTGATCGCTGTGTGAGGTTCCAGGTAGAGGCTCCCAGCAGTACTAACTGATACTCATTGTCAGTCCTGCTGTCATTACGGTTACGCATCACTTCATCGCGTAACACCGGGAGATGGCGATGGAACAAGAAAATCTACCATGCGGCCTTGTCCTTGAGCTTGTTGACCTTGGCCTGATCATCATTGATGATTTCGTTGATAGCCATCTGGTCCCATGTGTCCGAAAAATCATCGAGGTCGCACAGCTTACAGGGCTATAGCAGTGGAAAAGAGGAAGCATGAGCATTACTGATAGGGAGATGAGTTCGATAAGTGTCGGGTCCTTTTTTTCTATATGTTTGAGGAGATCAGCCATTATCGACCGCGGCGTAGGTAGGTTTGCCTACATTCCATCCCATTCTCCGTCCACTTTTTTTTTTTTTTTTTGGTCAACATCACCTATCATGTCCCCCCCCCCTCGCACTAGTCCCGCGACATCGAGGCGCAGCTGGAAAATCTGGCGAAACAGCTGATGTCAAAGATCCCCATCATCGGCACAAACCTCGAATGGACGTTAACTATCAGAGAGTTGTACCTTAAATACTACCGGCTGACCAACACACGCTTCGATATCCCGTCGCAACGGAGCAAAGAGATGCACCTTTTCATCCTAGAAAAGGTTTCACAACTCACAGCGATGCTAGTAGTATATTCTCCTCCTCCCATCGACCAGCCCCCTCTTACTCACAGCGTCGAAACCATGGAGGCAGCTCCACAGCTGCCATCCGGCAGCAATCCCGCTGAGCTCGAAGACCGGTCCCTAGAAAGGCTTCGAGAAGTGGATTGGTCTAAAGGAGGAAAAGACGAATAACAGTTCCGATACCTACGGTAGGTAGGCAATTGACCGAGGATAGACACGGGACTTAACTGCAATAATTTAGGGACAGGAGGTTAACGCAATGAGTTTCACCGCGATGAGTACTTCACTGCGATGATTTCGAGACAGGAGGCTGGCGCGATGACTTTGAAGGACATTCATCTGGAAGAGCATGGGGCTTATCGGTTCAATCACTGGACAGGAGTGTGACGAACCGTTACAAGCACAGGAGTATATCGCTGGGAATATGATCAACGGTAGTAGTAGCCAAAAGGTACTGGTCGATTGTGAAAGCTATTGCTTGCTGAAGAGCCCAGTAGACAGAAGGCCTGGGAAGGCCTTCTTTATATACTGGTCCTTCAGTGTGCGCCGCTGCGCCGGTGAGGCTATTCTCGGCCACCCGGCGCGGCCCTGATTGGTCTACCTAGCTGCTTACATAAGTGATCCCTTATTGGATCGTAACAAGGAGCAATTGCATGTATTTAGAAACGACGAACGATCGTCGGAGATGATCATTCTTCGTGGGGGGGCAGGTAGGATACCAAATTCAGGGGTTCTCTATCATCAGAGTCGATATGGAAAAGACAAGACAAGATAAGCACCAAAGAGAGCAAAGAGGAGCAAAGTTGCTCAGTTGCTCACTCAGGTAGCACTTACCTTGAAGGTACAAGGCACAAGACTTTCTTTCATCTCACAACTAAGTCTAAGTTGCGTGTAGTTTGTTATAGCTCGGTAAGCTTCTTCTGCATTCGTTGTGATGTAGAGATATCCGGCCCATTCTCTTCCACCATAGAAGGTAGTCGTCCAAATTTTCGAGTGTGATGCACGTGTAAATTCGATGAAACCGAAGAGGAACCAAATGGAAAACCCGATGGCAAACCAATGTGCTGGCTGTAGCCCCCCATTGTATATTATATGTATTGCACCATCGCAAGCTATTGTGGAGTTGGCAACTGCTGTTTGGCAGGACGCTATCGGCGCCATTGTGACGGGGCTAGGAGATGACTAGTTTGAGCAAGCATGTTATGAGCATCCTGCAGACAATCCCCATTCCATTGCTTTTTTCCTATGGTAAAAGCAACCTTTAGGTTCAATAGCTACGCAACTGTCATCCGTTTTTATACTTCAGAGGTACTCTTGCGTGATATACTTATGAGTGGACTATTTGCCCTTTCTGCCCTGGTATGACTCAACTTCAGTCACAACCTTGGTGGACGTATAAAGGGAGAACGCAATCATAGTAAACAGTCAGCTTTGTCTTCATTGAATCAAAGCATAAATACCTCAGCTCCGTCCGCCTATACAAGGAGAGAAGGTATCGAAGAGTTTTAGTACTTACCAACATTTCACCTACCTTCAAGACAGAACTACAGTATATAGGACGAAGGGCTGATCGCGTCAACGATATGCACATAAGACACCGTCCGATATATATACCATGTCTCCATCAGCCACCATCAGATGAAACCATCCTCTCTTCATCCTCAACAACTACCTTCATTACCTCCTCACCCTCAAGTCCTCAACAACCAGCCAGTTCACCATCTGGCGACGTTGCCAACGGACAACCTTGCGGCCATATTCTTTACGTCCTTCATTACGTTCTCGCTTGCCCCGAGCCCCTTAGATGGCAACAAGCTTTTCTCCTCAAGGAACTACAGGCAATCTTCCGCTACAGCACGGCTTTCGAATACACCAAGAGCATAGCTAGGGAGTCAGCCTATGTTCGCGAACACGCGGATCGCGAGCTGAAGAGGCTTGCAAAGAAGAGCAAGCGGCCTGAGAAGAAGGCGAGGGCTTTGGCAAGACGTCAAAACAACAGTTTGACATGAACGCCAACAAAAACTGGTCATTCCCGCTATCTTGGGAGTGCATGAACTCCAAAGATGGCCGTCAAAAAGCCCATCATTACCGCGAGACAAGCGCTGCAGTTTCGATCGTCCATCACCACGCAGGAAAACTTCCAGCTACAGAATCCAGATCGAAAGCCACCCGCGAAGGTACCTGGGGCCGTTTACCAGCTCACTTCGGGGACACTCTGGAGGAGATCACCGCCGCCGTCATCCAGTAAGTTTTGAGAGGTAGTGAGAATCAACCTAGTAGGATCGAAAAATTCGTAAAAGAAGTCGTAAAAAGGATCGCATGCAAAAGAAGGATTTGGAAAAGGGCCTTATCACCGCCGGTTAGCATACTAACTTCTTTTCCAGACTCGCGGAGTGTGCCGATTTTGAGATCCGACGCTTGAAGGTGGGACGTATCCTTACCAATCGTGTGATGATCCGTTTCAGACGCGCGATTGGTTGGAAAGGAAAGGACCTTAGAATCCCCAAGCCAGACTCAGACGAGCAATACGCCACTCGCCTCATCACCAGGGAGAGCCCGAAGAACTGCATGTTTTGTGGTGGGGAATGTCACTCAGCTTGGGTTTGTGTCAACAAGGGTACCTACTCCACGAGAGCCCCCATCGCTCGTTATTTCACCTTTTGGCACCAATACCTCTTTTTAAGTCACTTGGATAGTCGAATCCGAAGCCCGTCCTGCATGTTGAAGAACATTGTTCTGTATCTGGAGACTTCAGCATCCGACCCTCAGGCCAGGCTTTTGCATCCCGCCCTCGACCGGAGCCCTGCGTATCACTCGTTCGTATTTCGGACACTGGCAATATTAGCCCCGGTCAGAGCCTTTCTATCCTCGAAATGTAGACATAGTCTCATGTATTGCTCAATAGAATCATAAGAACGGGGTGGCAAACCTCCGGAAAGGAGCTATCGGCACCTGGCACTACTGCGACAATGACGTATATGCCGTGCAGCGCACCAGCCTACGCTCACGCCCGTAGATATCAGATTATCGAGGTTGAAGACAACGGAAACGACACTCCAATCGAGAAGAGGTTTACTCTGTGGAACGCTTCCTTTTGCAAGAAGTTCGATGCCATAGCAAAAGCCTTCCTAAATCCGTCAGTGTCGGTGATATGGACTGTCTGAAGGGGCAGGAACTTGTGCGACTCCTTGTCAAAGACTTTGGAATCGACGTCAATGGGCTACTAGAATACCCAGTATCCCTGAGACACCAATCGGACTGCCGTAAGACGAGGATGCCGCCGACGCCGATGGGCCTGAGCCTGACGTTCATACCGGCATATTCTTCAGCTCCCCTGGTCCGTCGCTGATGAAGGAGGACGATATAGCGCCACGGGTTGCGGTTTGGGCGGCGAATGACGCGCGAAGTCGCGAACTATTGGGAGAGGATTGAAAAAGCGCGCCAAGAGAAAGAGGTTGGACATCGATAGATCTTCCCGGACGGCGTAAAGATCTTCCACCAAAAACACAGTGGAGAGGTTGGATGGGCGAGCGGAGGTTGTTGTCCAAAAATGGATTGGGTGTTGCCGGGTTCGCGTCTTTTTTGCAGTGCAGTCGTTCCTGCAATGTCCAAGACATTGGGAAGGAGCCTTGCAGATTCAGCCTTTCTGCCTCCTGCCGGCGGCACTCTTTGTCGCGGGAAGATTTTCAATAATTTTCGTGTTCCACGCAGTTCATCGCTCCTAACTTCCACATGCGCATTCTCTTCTGACGCTCGTGTTGACCATTTCCGACACAGCCCGTCTTTTGGCCAACTCAACCACTTCCCTCAACCCGAAGCTCGCAAGTTCTATCGCATCCCCGAATCACGATCTTCTCCCCACGCGAGGGCAAGATGTCGACCATCGCGCATCCAACGAGCCGACGCCGAAGCGCACGATGGAAAGACCACGTGCTCCTGTTCGCTCTCAATCCAGCAACACGCCCTCTTCAGTCATAGCTTTACCTTTCCAATGTACACCAACTCCGACGAGCCCCCTTTTCGCGATCTGTTTTCTCTCAAATTCCAAAGCCAACCGCTTTTTGGTGCTCCCAACCACTGACCCAGAAGCCAACCCAAGAACACTCGAAGACAACCAAACGATGGCTGCGCGAGGGGTGTAAAGTCAACGCTCTACAAGCTGACTGAAGCCGTTGCCGAAACCCTCCGCCTGGCAGAAAGAATTCCGTGAGCAAAGCGCCCGATTGAGTACTTGAAGGCCGGTCGTTTGACTGGGGAGATATCATCCAGTAACCCAACAGTTCCAGAGACCATAATACTCCATGGATACATTCATGATATTGCCCGTATGTCACCCCCTTTCCTTTTCTCTATCCAATGCACGATTAATCACTCACTAATCGACAACCACAGTCAGACCAAGAGACATATCATAGAACGGAACGCACATCAAGACGAGTCGTACACGGCGTTCTCCAGGACGAGAACATGTTCACGCAGCCCGGCCATATCATTTCACGAGTTCTTTATATAACGTCACATTCTTTTAACAAGAGACTGCGTCCTCGCGTCATGGCCTGTGGAAACCTTACATCGACGAACAGGCGTCAAAGTCCTCCACCTCTTTCCAGTCTTGAACTTTTCGGTATCTCTTTCTGCATCCCTGACCTCCAAGCAGAGCAGGGTCAGATTGCATTACTTTGACCTCCTTCCCGTCCTGTCGAGACAAAGTGACCGGGTTGACGCTTGACGGTTGAGTCCTCTGCGCCCCATACGGCATTCAAAACCCGGTATGACACTCCGAAACGCTTCTAAGAGAGCGTCTGCAACTTTGAACCTGATTTCGCAATGGGTACTTTGGTATCCAGGTTCACAAAGATCTCCCCAAGGAAGATCCGAGGGAGTACCTGCCCGACGATGCAACGTCTTTTCCCGGGCGTCTGCCGACCGGTACGTTACGTTCGTGGACCCATCGAGGTAAAGGTTAAGATTCCGGACGGTTACCGAATCCAGCTGGAAGCTCTCGAGGAGCTCTTCAACCTACACAACGAGGATCCCGAAAAGCAACCTCCATACTTCGGCAACATAGAGCTGGAGAGAAGCTGCCCCCGGGCGGCTCTGGATGTATGGGAAGGTCCAAGTGGATTGGAGCCCAAGAGATTCATCACGCACAACGGAGCCGAATAACTTGGGCTTCTGTGCCGGAGGCTATTTTGCCAGCGGCGAGTGTTGGTTTGAGCTCGACGACCCAAGCCATAAATAATGTCAAGGGCCCGAGAGAGCTGGCTTTCCTTCGAAGTATCTGCGGTGGTCCTGCGTTTAAGGGGTTTCAATACTACCGTGATGTTGGAGCGAGGGCTGCTGAGCTTTCTGTGAGAAAAGAGGCATTCACCGGTGCCCAAGCGCCTTCGATGTTGTCAAGACCCGATGGGTTGAACCATATGCAGCCCCAATATACACCCTTTATGAGGGCAATATGAAGTACCACCTCGCCAAACAAAGTCACCAAACCCTACTGATTTTAGAGGAGTGGAGGCTTAATAAGAAGCCACTAGCGAACCCATATCACGAATATATACACCTATCTACCAAATTAAAAAAAACATGACCGACGACGAACCGTGGTTAACCTACGCTGTGCCGTCATAGAAGGCTTCCAAGACTTCAAGGTCAAGTCGTCGTGCTGGCGGTCCGCTGCCAGAAGTACCTACTTGTACCCGTTCACAGAATTCCCTCGCCATTGCCAAATGATCCAACACCCCCTCGACATACAGATCAAGAGGAACAAGTCATAGTCGTTTACCTGGGCAACATCATCAACCGAATCCTTCCTGGTTGTGGAGAAGGAAACACCAGCTGAAGAAGAAGCTGCAAAAATTGATGGAACGAAGGGAACTTCTTCTGAAGATGGCGAGGGAAAAAACAATCCAGCCCGTTGACCAGGGAGTAAGACAGACTGATAACGCTCTTAATCACCTCACCAAAGGCTCCCAACAGAAGATAGGACAACCGACCAAGTCACGGTGGACCAGCGTGTACCCAGAGTCCACGGAAGTCGTCGACTCCGCCGCTCTTCCGGCGCCGGACGTCCGCTCTTCCCACAATACGAAGCAGACGCCTTAAAACCGTTGTTCTCGCCGGCCTGGCATTCCTGACGTTACTATGGCTATTACGCTGTCACCACTCAACCAACACACACACCAGGGCATCTCTCTCTCACTCGCCCAGTACCAGAACCTGCTCAAGGTCATCCCCCAGCTGAACGCGCTCGGTTTCTCGTCTTGCTACTTCAGCTGTCCCCGTTTCAGGTGCTGAAGTTTCTCGTATCCCATCATATTCTCCTTATCCCGCTCCTCGCGCAGAGGCAGCAGTAGACGCCGACATGGCGGACTGTGGTTGTTGCTGCGGTTGGGGCTGAGATGATGGCTGCTGTTTCGGCTATAATGGTTACTCGAGATAACCGCATCGTTCCCTCCTCTGAAGACGCCGAGGAAGAAACCATCAAAAACAGATTATCCAAAGTCCTCAAAAAATTCGACCACCTAAGAATCGGCTATGTAATCCCCGAGGTATCACCCAACCACCGCCTCGGCGCCAACAGCTTGATCCTCAACAACTACATCTACGATATCACCTATATCGAAGAGCGTAAGACCAGAAGAACGAACGGAAGTTTGGGGGGAATATTTCATCGGTAATTTAAAGGGCGAGCATCTCAATGCTGCGATGCAGTCAATGAGTTGGGGTGGATGGATGAGTATCATCATGACTGTATCGTGCGGGTTGTAGGCCAGCTCACCCAGAAATAAGGATACCAAAAACCAATTCGGGAATCAGGAATATCACTCTGGTCAACATCCGGGAGTATTACCACTCTGGTGTTGCTGGCGGCAAGCTGATGCCAGGCAAGAAGGTGAGCTGTGGACCCAGCCCGAGAGTAAGAGCAAGAAAAAGGCAAAAAGCTCGCGCCAAAAACAACCTCCAGGAGGACGATACAGCCGATGGTGAGCAGCCTTCCGACCTAAGCGACTTCCTGCAGCATAAGGTACCAGGACATGATGGACCATCATGTCGCTGTTCTTCACCATGGAGCACAGCAGGTGCCTCTTTCTGGACATGTTCCCGGCGTGAAGGGCCCGGCAGAGGACCATGGCCCGCCTACTCCCCATCCCGATGCAAACCATCCAGCCGTCCTGGCCCTTGGAGACATCGGGGATGACATGGCAGAAGGGGATGTTAAAAGTATTATCAGGGCCGCAGCGGACGTGCTATACGCCGGCAACGGGTGGTGTCAGCGAACCTCGCCCGACGATAACGGTGTCCAGTCGCGGTGCACCGCGCGCGCTTGGAAGGCGCCAGCAAGGCCAAGAGCCCAAATACCTTTGCGACATGTACGAGCGCGATGCCGACTGGAAGGGCGATGAGGAATTCGGTGACGACGCGGAAGATGATGCCGATGCCAGATCCACTGTCAGTCCAGCCACTTCTGCCGAAGACGAGACTATTGTCACCGTTGAGGAGGTTGATCTAAGCGTAGAGGAGGATTTTATGTAGAGAAGCCTGAGATCGAGGGTCAATGTCATCAATTGGGCCTGTGTGGCTTTGAACTCTTGGTTACCTGCACCTGTCTCTGAGCCTGGTAGTAGTGGCTTGTGAGGTTATGTGTTGTGTTCCATTGTTATAGAATCCCGTCCGCACTTGCGATGGAACGTGTCGATAGGATTGCTTTTCAGGTGCGGTAAAGTTTCGGTTTGGCTAGTCACTTGCTTGCCGAACAGTGTGTCGTCCGTAGTGGTGACAAGGCGACGGGGGTAGGTGGAAGGTGCTACCTTACTGCGGACTTGACGATGCTCGGCAGCTCGGACCGAGATGGGTCGCCATCAGATGCGACTCTACGATGTTTGGTCCTGGGGTTCGGCTGGGGTTCGGATGGGGCTTTTCGGAGGACCATGAACCGAGCCGCACCAAAACGGATGCCGGCCGATTCTAGCTCGATAACTTAAACAAAGCTCCCGCAATTCAGGACAGCAATTGAACATCGGCTAACTTGAGCCTTCGGTTGCGTACCGGCTTGCCCTTCCTGAAGTTTTCAAGGCTCCCCATCGCTCCTTCCTTAAAGCCCCACGAAGTTCAACTCCACTCATAGGATTCAAGCGAGAAGGAACGATGTTTGATGCCTTGTTGCTGCCTTTTCAGCCCATGCACTGTGATGTATGCCATCGGAAATTAAGGGAAGATACCATGGGCTGATGAAGCCACCAAATCACCATCACCGGATTTGGCTTGGCGTGGGATTCTCTTGCATCCTTCGCCAACAAGAGGTTCTCGTCAAGTTGAAGTGAATGACCTCCTCGTCTTTGGGAACTGGCGTAAAAGCAAGACGACGAAGAGCGTCTGATCAAGCCTGATTACTGAAGGTATCCTTCAACCGCAAAAAGACGAAGAACGCATTCCTCCCGTCCCGTCCCGTCCACGGTCTTGGTGAGAAGAGACAAAGAAGATCAGGTACACTAATACCAAAATTCACAAACAGCGACAACAACAATACCCTCTTTGCTCTTTGCCGCGCGGCAAGAATGACATGAACTAACAAAGAACATTATCCAGATCCCGTCCCATTGAGGATCCAGTCACCCCCGACACTCTCCAAATCCCGTCCAGTCTCTCGCTCCTTGCCTTTCTGCCCGCTCTTGACTCTTCTCCACGCAACGCAGTCTTCAGGTTTCCGCCTGCGAGTTTTGAAGCTCCGAGACATCGAGTCAAACACTCAGTCACCAGTCTCAACTCTTCAACTCTTCAACCAATGGTGTCTTCAGCCAAACCAAACAGGACAAAAGCGACCGTCAGTCACACCAGGAGCGCAACAAGAATAATGTCATCAACTAACAATGAGCAGACTACCTTACCTAATCACCTCCGCACCATCGGCGGTGTCGCTAGCATCTCCGTTCTACGTTCTACGGCGTCTACCTAATCAGACTCTTGAACTTTCCAAGGTTGACATCGAGTACTGCACTCTGATAGATACACTACCGGGTACCACCTTGACCTCTCTCTATCACGCTTTCTTACACACTGAGCCTGGGACGACTACCGAGCAAATCACTCTACTATACCTACTACCATTTATCACTCAAGTCGGTTGACTCTTCAGATCCAACCTCGCAGTTCAGTTTCAACAACCACGCACACTTCAAAATGCCCCCCCTAAACCTCACCACCCGCTCCGAAACCTCCCCCTCCCCCTCCTCCCCCACCGAACACGACCCCTATTACATCCCCGCCACCACCCTCTCCAACGTGCCCCCCCTCGGCTGGATCCTCATCGGCCTCCTCTGCTTCTGCTTCCTCATGAGCTGGGCCGTAGGGCAGTGTCTGACGTGGGGACAGCCGAAGTTGACGGAGAAGGAGTGGCGAAGGAGAAGGGAGGAGGAGATGGAGGAGATGGAGAGGGAGATGAAGGAGAGGGAAAGGAGGGAGTGGGAACGGCAGAATGCTTTGCCAAGGGGGTTGAGGGAGGAGGGGAGGGGGAATGTTCATGTTGGACGCGATGCTGGGAGGGGGAGTCGACTGAATACGTTGGTGGAATGAGAGTACCTAGGTGAGGAGGGGGTAAGAGGGGGAAGAGGACGTTGACTGGGTGAGGAGGATGCAGGGGAGGGGAGGGGAGTTATTCTTTTCGGATGTTGACTATTCGATTTACATTCGGTTCTTGGGTGATGTCTGGTGTTGGGGGAATGTTTAGCCGTGAGTTAGGTAGGGAAGCGATAAGAGGGGAGACGGGTGAATGAGGACGATGGAGAGGCAGCGGTGGGAAGTTATTCCATGTTAACTACTTCGATTCTCTCTCTGGTGATGTATCGGGATAACGTTTGAGGGTTGGGAAGTGATAAGAGGAGGAATGACTGGATGAGATAATGGAGGGAAGAGGGGTCAATGAGTCATGATGAGTCATGAGAGCAGAAGGGGAGAGAAGAAGAGATCTTCCGGTGTACGCGTTAAGAAGAGAAGAGTTTACCTAGGTATGCGAGAGGAGGTTCACGAGAGGAAAATCAAGAACCAAATCAAATTGTACACACAAAAAATTCCAAATTGTATTATTCGCTCCATCATCAATGCTTTACTCACTCCCATATTTTCTGCTGCTTGTAGCTACTGCTAAACTGTGTAAAAATAACCCTCAAGGTATAAGATATCCGCCCACTGTATGCTATAGATGCAATTTGATAGAAGAAAGAAACAAAAACCAAGGAAATGTTGTCAGGAGTGGGTGAGAAGAGAGTTGAGTATGGTAGTCAAGCACCCCGACTGGTATCATCCATCCATCCATCCGTCTGTCCATCCATCTATAGTGTCTTTCGCCTTTCGCCAGCCTTATGTAATTGTTTCGCCTCTGTCCTCTGTAGTTGTTGTGTATCGTGTCTTTTCGTTCGTAGTTTGGTCGTAACATCGTCATCAAAATCGTAAAATCATCACCTTGTCCCACCTCCTCGTCCTCTCCTCAATCAAACTTCACAGCACAAATCAATACCCCCTAGCAGTCACCGCCCCAACAGCCAACGTCTCAATTCTTCCTTTATACAGCTTCATAACATGCATCAACGGATCACCCCAAACCACCTCCCTCAGCATATCCTCGCTCGGCACCACATGCGCCACCACTCCCTCATTCAGTCTTTCCTCAACCGTCTTTCCCTTGCCCTTTAGCCTGGACTTCGGGTCGCCTGACCTTAGCACCACAAGGCGACCGGCGCAGGAGAGCGTGGAGGCGGGGAGTTTCCAGGTTGGTCCCGAGGAGGAAGAGGATGAAGAGGAGGTGTGGCTGCTGGAGACGGACGAGGCGGTTGTTGAGGTGGTGGTCAGCGCGGAGCTGGCGGAGGAGGTGGATGTGCGGGTGCGGGAGCTGCTGCGGTGGGAACTTCCCGAAGAAGAGGAGGAGGCGTGATGGCTGCTGCCGCTGCTACTTCGGCGCTCGGTATTCCTGGTGTCTGTTGATTTGCCGGATTTCGACGATTGCAGCGAGGACCGAGATGACTTTTGGCCGGCAGCCTTCATTCGCATGTTAAGATCCGAAGAACTGCTGGGTCCCTTCCTGCTCGTTGTCATCGAGAGCGTGTTCACCGAAGGCGCGGGCGAGGCGTACAACTCTAGCAAACTCTTCACGTAGGCCTTGTCTGCTCTCGCGACCGGATCACCCTCGTTTATGAAGGACAGGAACAAGCTCTTCTTCAGCTCTGGCCTCCTCTCATAGTCCTCTGGCTTCTTCAAGGGAATGATGCTAATAGGTGGAGTGCCGAACGTGACGCAGTGGACGCGCTTGAAGCACCCAGCCACCGCAGTCAACTCGCTTTGCGCCTCCTTTGTTGTCGAGAGGATATGGCTGTAAAGCAACGCAGCGACGGCGCCACCGGCACTGTGACCGGTAATGAGCAGCGAGTAGGATGATCGACTGGGATCCTCCTCAAGAAGCTGACGGAGACGGCGCGCAACAGGTTGGACCATACTTCGAGCGACATCGAGAAAGCCGGCGTGGCAGAGATTGCCAGGGTCGTCGAGGAATCCTTCGGGGGATGTGGGATTAGAATTGAGGTTGACGGCCCAGTCCATGAAAGTTGCTGTGCCGCGGATGGCGAAGACAATGGTGTTGACGTAATCCATTGGCACGGATTTGATGACCATGGCTTTGGCGCCGGTTCGCCAGTCGGCGTCGACGTGGGCGTCTCGTTCGGCGCCCTTGGGCTTTTCGTAAACTCGCTCGGAGTATTGGGCGGCGAGGCAGAGAAGAGGCCAGGTGGGGATGTATCTGTGAGTGTGAGTGAGAGAACACATCAGAAGTGACGGTCATGACCTACAGTCTCAAAGGAGCCAGGTCGGTAGGCAACCTCGAGTTGGCATAGAGGTCCACCTTTGCAAAGTAACCCCCCGAATTTGTTGACGACGAGTGCTCCCTATGTTCCCTATCCCTATGTTCCCTATCCCTGTGCTCCCTGTGATCCCTTGAATGCGAGCTGCTCCTCCGAATTCCTGACTTCACTACCGACCTCGACCCCACCATGCTCGACGAGGGCGGGTACGAGGTTTCCTGAACAGCCGGCTTCCAGGTGAAGTGTTCCTTCTCATTCCCACTAATCTGGTTCAGATCTATCCTCGTCAAGACGTCATTTAGTCGACCGGAGATTTGGTCGTAGAGGGCGGCACTCTGGTTGAGCAGCTGGGTCTTGTTGTCGGGCCAATGGGGAAGCATTTCCTCGAAACCGTGGACGAGGCTTGGCACTTGGGAGATATCCGATGCCACCTCCATCACCGTCCCCACGGGCATCTTGGTGAGAGACCCGGTGCTGTTCTTTGGTGGCGGAATCGGTGATATTGACTGGATAAGTTGTGGCGGTGGGGAATTTGGACCCGGAGTGCCGAGATAGTAGTGATGTTGGTTGACAATGATGGGTTGTGGTGAAGACGGACTCCATCCTGGCGGTGATGGGAGGAGGCCGGCGGGCTCGAAGGACTGAGCCTGATGCCAGTCATGCGGCGAGTAGGCTGGTGGCGGCGGAAGAGCGGCATAGTGATGTTTCGAGGACGAGCCGGAAACCTGCCGGTCACGTTGACCTCGACTTGAAAGCTGAGGAGGTGGTGTCGGTGTGTCTCTGTTGTCTTTTTTTGGTTTCTTTGACCGACCAAAGAAGAGGAAGCCCATGGTGAAGAGAGGAGTGGTAGTTTGCGGTTGCAGCTAAGGCACCCACATACAATAGATTGTAGTAGTGAAGACAAGTGATGAGTTGAAGGTCCAAGAAGTGAGAGATGATTTGGGAAAGGGAAGAAGCAGAAGCAAGAGTCAGAAAAGTGGATGGAGACTTTGGACGCTGCCATGTTAGGACAACACATGGTCAACCGAGGCGGGCCGTCAAATGTGGATGACCCTTCACCCACCACGCTAGAAAAGGCCAAAAACTGATACGACACTAGTGTAGAGGCAGTCGTCGTGAAGCTGTTTGGAGCTCATGAGGGTCCTCGATGTGAGCTGTGATTTGCTGGGTGCCTGTCCTTCACTCGAGAGACACAGGTCAATCCAAGGCGAGCATTCCCACAGTAGGGACGGGAGTGCCTTGCCGTTTTCATGAGGGGCCGCTGCAGCTTCCTATTCGCTGTCGTGGAACCACCAAGCCTCCAATCGCCGGCAGTGGTGGCGGTTTCGTGTGCCCCAGATCAGGCTTCTTGGGTGCCAGTGAGGGTTGGAGAGGGTTGGTGAAGGCTGGCGAGGGTTGATAGCCGCCCACGATAGAATGGAATCTGCATGGATTGCTCGATGTGAGCGGGGTGCCGCAGTCCGTCAAGATATTGATAGTATCAGGCCATGGGTACATTGTCCGTCTCTTTGTCAAAGGTCTGGAGAAAGGGAAGCTCTCGGGAGATGTGCATGCTGAAGGGCCGTTATCTGAGGTGCATAGAGCATCGCCAGTGTCAGTGTCAGTGTCAGTGTCAACGTCTGTTTGGCAAGTGTCCGTCTGGCTGTCTGCTGGCCCGGCCACGTCGTCGACATGTGTCCACTGTCCACACTGGGAGTGAAGCTTCGAGGTCCATTGCGGGGGAACAGTTCAACATCTGTAGTCTCGACCTTCACCCCGCTCCCATCCGGCCGAGACGACCTGGCTCGAATGTAAGGGGACGTAGGGGGTTGATAGGAGTCCAGTCATCAAGAGACAACAAAGAGTTGTGAAAGTGAAGAGAATTTTAGACTTGTTAGTGCTGGATGACTCGACCGAATTGGTTGGCTGTGGTTGACTTGTACAGCGTCGCATTGCAGCCATTGGCTCTTAACAAAGTCCTAACATGTCGGCGACATCGGAATGCCCTCAAGTGCTGGCACCTGTTCACATGCTTCTGGAATCCATCATTGTCAGAGAGTTTCGCAAGATCGATTGAGTGATGATGCCCGATTGTCAATGCAAGTTCGATGGCAGAAGATGAAGCAAAGATGATAACAGCTACAAGTGGAAGTATCTTTGGTGAGTGAGCTGTTAACGCGTTTCACGTTATTAATAGCATTCTGCTAACAGGGAGACACTTGTCAGTCATGGCAGTTTCACTTGTGTCTGAGGAGAGCTCTTACCCCACTCTTTTTGTCAGTCATCATGGTGGGGTTGATCTCAGGGTCCGTTGCCGGTGCGGTGAACGGTACAATGGTACATAGCTGACCTTAACTGACCCCTTTACGCCCCGTGCACCGACCACCCTGATGGCCAACTGAGAGTCTGAGAGCCACTGGACGCCGAGACGGTCAACAACACCCCAATCGTCCATCAGGAATACGACTTGACAAGGACCCGACACGAACACCGACACCGACCCAGACACCGAGACCACCGAACCCGACCCCGTCCACCCGTTCCCACCACCCACCGGCAACCCGACCACCGGCAGACAAAAACACTCCCCGGCCTGCTGTTCCCCCTCGAAATGCATCCAGAGTCGCCATGGACTTCTGGTCGCGCCTCATAGCACACACGCTCCCCTCGGCGGGCAACTCGCGGAACTGGAAGGAGTTCGCCAAGGATCCCGTCCGTCGACTCCAACGCTTCGAGAGGGAATACACGCAGCTCATCCAGGCATGGCGCAACTCGCCCAGCATTCAACACGATGACGAGGCTGCCGAGCGCATCGAGATCTGTCTCCAGGAGCTCACCAACATGCTCACCGACGAGAACCGACGCCCTCTCCCCCATCCGTGCATCACCTTCTGTGCCACCAAGCAGATATACATCCCCATAGCCAAGATCTCCACGAGCTCCTTCAACGAGTGGGTCATCAAGGAGGCCGTCCTCTTCTTTGCCACCCTGATCGAGAGTGAGGAGGAAGCCTTTGTCGAGAATGACCACTTCTCCGCCAGCCTTACCCACTTGATGGTGCGCATCACCGGCGCCAACGCCATCCGTCTGAGCGCCGACACCGAAGCCCGCGTTGTCGAGTTGGCCTTCAACATTACTACCAAGATCCGTCTCGATCCCGAGATCCTACCCGCCTGGTTCAAGTCACAGTCGCAGGATGGAGAGGAGAGGCAGCCCCTGGGCGAACATGAGCGGTTCACGGGGAGGACACAGAAGCAGGACTTCCCTCTCTTCTACCTGCTCATGGACTACATCCACCACGAAGGCAAGGTGGGCGACTTTGCCAGGACCGGCCTGTTGTACATCATCGAGGCTGCGTCGAGCTCCGTCGAGCTGGAGCAGTGGATTGTCGAGAGTGATCTTTCGACCTTGATGGCCACCGGTTTGGGTGCTCTGTATAGTCAACTGAGCCGCAAGCTGGTCATTGACCATCCGTCCAATGCTCTTCCCGCCATCCTCGCCCTTTCGGACTACGAACACCCGAAACCCAATTACGAAGTAATCAGTTCTTGTACTTTCGAATTCCAATCGCATCTAGACACCTTTCTGTCCCATCTCTTGTTCTGGCAAGATGTCTTGAACCACTGTCGGTCGGTAGAGGTCAAGTCTTCCTTGCTGGAGCACTTCCAGGTCATCTTTTTGCAGCAACTATTGTAAGTCAGTCTCTGACCATGGTAACACCGTTCCACACTAACTCTGCAGATACCCATCACTCCTCGAATCGTCGGATATTGACGGTGGTTCCTCGGTGGCTGTCTTGACTTATCTCCGTCATATCCTCCAATCTGTTGACCATCCCGACATGATCAACCTGATCCTGCACTACCTCCTGGGTCTGCCCGACATTGTAGGATCCGTCTCGTCCAACTCCAAGGACGGCGTAAGTGCCGCTCGAAAGCGCAAGTCTATGGATCTTGCTACCATGATGGCCTCCAAATCCGAAGCCGCAGCAGACCCCTTGCTCTTCAACTTGGTCGATCTCATCCTCGCCTGTCTCAGATCGCAAAGCCAACAAACCATCTACGTCACACTACAGCTGGTCTCGGTGATTCTTAAGAGACATCACCGCTACGCAGTAATCACCCTGCTCTACACCGAAGGCGTACTGGGCAACTCGTCTTTTAGGACCACGGGCGCCCACGAGCAGGAAGTCGAGTACCTGATGGGCCTAGCCCAGACCATCGGCGGCGAGGACAACTTCAACGAGATCTACGATAGCGTCATCAAGGACACCATGATCCGCGTCGAGAACCACCCCTGTTCCATGAAGTTGATCACCCCGAAAGCTCTAGCCAGCAACCACAAGCAGCCCGCCATCCCCGACAGCTTGCCCGGTGCGCCCAGAGACGTCCGCTCGCACGCGTTGCACCCCGACGATCCCCTGCTCACCATTGTCTTGGACCGGCTCGAGACATTCTTCATCAACCCCGTGGAAACCAACCTGTCGTTAACCGAAGTCATCTTCGACCTGGCCATCTGCGGGTACATGCATCTGGAAGGATGGTTCCTGAGGCATCCGACCAATTACACGTACGACGAGGACCCCGAAGCACCTGCGGCCGAACCACCAGCAGACATCGACCCCGAGTCCCCCGAATACGCCGAATACCAGCAACTCCTCTCCATGCACCACTGCCGGCGCCGGCCGCAATGGTCCCGCGATTCCCTGCCTCGTCTGCTCCGCATCTTGCAAACCCTTTGTGACGAAGTCGCCGCCTACAGGGATACCATCCCCCGCTTCAACGACCTGCTCCAACAACGTCGCGAAGCCTTCCAAACAGCCGACGGAGCCTCAATGCCACCTTCGGTTGCGCCCTCCGTCGTCCCATCAGCAGCTCCTTCGAGATCCCGAACCCCCTCAACACTGCAACCACCCGCCCAACTCACCCCCGGTCTGAGCGCCCCGGGTAACGCCGCGCCCGAACGACCAACCTCCGGCCTCGGCCTCGAGTCCTTCGCCCAGCGCATCTTCTCCGACCTCTCCTCCACCGTTTCGGTATCTCCCAACCGCACAGCGAACAACTCGCCCCGTCCTCGCTCCAACACCACCCGCACCGTGTCTGAGCGGTCTTCTTACTTCACAAGCAACGAAGCCCCGCCTCCTCTACCACCTAGGAACCGCACGCCAAGCATGCTCGTCACACCAGCAGCCATGGGAATGGGCGGCTTCGGCCTAGGAGCAAGCGGAAGCGCACTAGGAGGCGCTAGCGTGCCGGGAGCAGTAGCCAGTGATATTAGTGGCAGTGGGAAGATGGAGTTAGTCATGTCCCAGGCAAGAGCGTTTCAGGCAGTGGATCAAAGTATTTTGGCAAGGAGGGTGGGGATTCCGGATGTGATGGCGGTGAAGCATGTTGGTGTGGGACTTGATGAGCAGACCGAAAGCAAGGCTGGGGAGGAAGTGGAGTTCGGAGAGGTGACTGGGCAGGCCGGGGATGGAGAGGAGGGTAGTGGGACTGGGTTGCCGAGGGTGACTGTCCATCTGCCCCCGCCAAAGGGAGAAGATGGGGGATTGGATGCTTTGGAAGGGGATGAAGATGATGAGGAGGCGAAGCCGGCTGTTCCTCCCAAGGATGATCTGCCTTCTCCTGCTGCTGTCCCTGCCATCGATGAGGCTGACGCCGCTAAGCCCGGCGATGCTGAAACCACCGAAGCCGCTGCGCAAAACGACGGAACGGCAGAACAATCAAACCCCGACCAGCAGAAGTCTGAGGAGCAACAAGCGCAACACGCAGCCCAGGAAGCACAGGAAGCGGAAGCAGCAGCAGCAGCAGCGGAAGAAGAAGCAAGAAAGGCCTCAGTCTCCCACGTCCTCACAAACGTCATCATCCTGCAATCCTTCCTCTTCGAGCTGGCGAGCTTGGTGCAAGTTAGGGCGGGCGTGTTTGAGGAGGTTAGGTTCGTGTAGACAGTTATGTACTACCTATTACTCAGGTACCTATGTGTTAGATACAGTATATACTATAATGTTACCTCGTGTGGAAATTGCCCTGGAGAGGCTGGGGAGGACTGAATGTGGTGACTTGTGACTAATGATGGACAGGGATCGAATCATGCCTCCTGTCCAGTTCCGGTCATCTACATGTCTTGTTCAAGTTCCATTAAGCTCATGTATCATTGTCTAGCTTTGTTCGTTGCATTTTAACAATTCTACTCCCCTTCCTCCATGTTCAAGTAAGTAGAGGCATATGACATTGGCATAATACCTACCTCTACCTACCTACCGGTAGTTCAATTCTGTGTTTCGTGCGCATTAAATCACGCCTACCCCTTCTTCGTATCGGTATCGGAGCCCTTCTCATGCCATACTCGGATGATGAAATGAAGCTTTATTACCTACTAGAGATACCTAACGCTAATAACGTAGGTAGAAAAGCTTTCGCTGTACGTGTATCTGAATGGTAGCTACCCTTTGTATCCTTATTTCCAACCCTTGGCCCATCGAACCTTTTTTTTGTTGGGGTTTCTTAGCCCAGTACCTAGCTAAACCACTATAATACCCAGAGACTACCTAGGTAGGCTCGTCCGGGACAAGAAAAACGTAGGGTAGACTGTGCGCGGGCCGCACCACCCAAATTATAACATTGCCGAAGCCATCAAGACAACTAGGTACATGCAGTCGAGCGTTGTAGTTCGGAAGGGCCGTTACAAAATTGCCCGTATAATGTACTGACCGTGACGTGTTCGGTTTATTCTTACGACCATTCGGTAGTCCTCAAAATTCTTAGGTGTTTTGTCTGTTGCTGAGTCTACGTTTTTTTGTCCCTGGCGAGCTAGGTTTTTCAACGGAAGTTTGATTGCTCGTCCAACTACCATGGGATGTACCGCCATTCATGTATACTCCCTTGCATGCACATGTACAGATCAACCTCCGGTTCTAGTCCCAAGCCCGTCCGCTCCTCCTGTGTTCAAGGCCCTTTCACTGACCCCCCTCCTGTTGCCCCCATGTGACCCCCAGTTCCAAAATCAATCCCATTCCCTCCTCAACTGCGTCTATTCTAAGTCCAGATGCGGATCTTGCTCCCCCAATGCCTTCTTTTCCTTCAACTTCGTCTCCTCCATCAACTTCTCCCACTCCATCATCTCAGCCTCATTCCAGGCCTTCAACTGCTCCTCCTCCTCAGGGGTACGTTCCTTCTTCCCTCTCTTGTCAAACTCGTCATCCCACAACCTCAAATTCTGTCTAGTCTCCTTATCTGTCTCGCCCTGCACCTCTCGCAGTTCCGGGAACTCATTCATCACATATTTATACACCTCTTTCCATGCTTCTTGACTAAATAGATTGTGGTAGACGAGCAAGGCTCTGCTTCGTAGATAAGTGTCCCAAGTGGCGTTCATGAATTCCTCCTTCCAGATTCTCAGTCCCTCTGGATGTTTCTGGGCGTCCCATCTTAATATGTATGTTGCATTCATGTACGTTTTAACATCAGAAAACTCCCAAAGTCTCTTCATACCAGCCGCGACGATCATCTTGTCTGTAAAGCTGATGAAAGGGGGGCACCTTGATTCCGATGTCGATGTGGATGTGGCTGCCGATGTGCTTGCTTCCTCTGCGTTTTGCGTTGCCGGATTCTGGTTCTGAGGGTTTGCTGATTCGGTTTGCCTGGACGGAAACGTGCTTTTCATACCATCGGCTGTAAAGTTGATGAAAGGGGGGTGCCATGGTTCCGATGTCGATGTGGATGTGGCTGCCGATGTGGTTGCTTCCCCTGTGTCTTGCGTTGTCGGGTTCTGGTCCTGAGGGCTCGCTGACTCGGGATGCGTGGGCGGAGGATGCGCGGAATAAGTGGGCGCGGGCGTAGACCTGAGCAGAGAAGATATCGGAATTTGAGTTGCCTTTCCGGAGCTTGAGCCCCCGGTATCACCACCATGCTGGCCAGCTCCAAGATTACGGTCAGGGGCAGGGGCAGCCATGTCGATCTGGTGTTATGGAGGAGATGGATGCTGAGACTTGACGGAAATAAGGTCAACATCAGTTGTGAACAAGTGGTGGTGGATTGTGGCGAAGATGCACTTACCTCAAGATGGAGATGTTGAACGGATCCGGTGATATATATATGACCTATGAAAACGTCGGAGGTTATTGATGCCAAAATTTACGGATAGCCAGATATATGAACTTGTGACAGTTTTGTGACGAACCGTTACAAGCACAGGAGTATATCGATGGGAATAAGAACAACGGTAGTAGTAGCCAAAAGGTACTGATCGATTGTGAAAGCTATTGCTTGCTGAAGAGCCGTAATATAAGAGGCCTGGGGAGGCCGTCTTATATACCGACCTTCAGAAGGGCGCCGCTGCGCCGCTATTACGGTTGCGGCTCTGCGGCGCGCTCCTGATTGGTCTATCTAGCTGCTTACATAAGTGATCCCTTATTGGATCGTAACAAGTTTCTGGTTTTTGAAGGATGTGAGCCAGCCAGGCAAAGAAGTCTGTGGGAAGCACTCAATATATACAAGACCAGTTGCCCCTATCCTCATGTCCTCGTGACTTCCCGGTTGTCTTTCCCGGCCTGTCTTCCTTCCTTTTCGTCCTCAGTCGAGCGCCGTGACTTCCGTTCGCCGCGGTAATGCCTTCCTCTAACACAGGGACGCAGGGGGCGCCTTCTCGATAGAGGTGACTACAGGTCCACTGGCATTCGGTCCCATGACCTGTGGTTGTGCCAACCCCAAGGCCGGGAGCAGAGGACTGAAGGGGCAAGAGAAAGAAAAGGGAAGGAGTGTATTGTGGACGAGTGACATGAGGTCAAGACGGGAAGTGGGCATCTACCATGTGTCTAGAGAAATCGAACGGATCTTTGAACACCGGAGACAGTCTATGAACTGGACCTTTCAGACGCAACGTGTATCCGTAGGGCGTAGGTAAATAGTCTCAAGGACGCAATAAGCAAGATACGATCATTTACCTCGGCGCAAGAGAGTGGCCAGCTGGCTGTGAGATGATGAGGCTAGATTCTCTACCTAGGTACACTGATAGCAGGACCCCTAGCAAATGTCAACAAAACAACTTTTGCCGCCTTTTGTCCTCCATGTACCCTTTGTATCCATGTCCTAACCATACATATGCCCCTATGCCATCTAGAAAGATACAAAGTAGTTTACAAACAATACCAACGAGTCATAATCTTTACAAACCCATCTAAGCCGACAATAACATGACAACGACGACGAAGCAAAACAGTATACCAGGGGAGCAAAGCACCCAAGCACATCAGCAAGGGCACCCATTGTCATTAATCATCCACAAGTCACAACACTAACTTAAGCAACCACAACAACAACAAAAAAACAACCAACTGATACAAGCTGCTTGAGCCCTTCTGACTCACTCGCCAGGTCCACGTCCATGACCATATATGATGCTTAATTAAGTCTTGAAATGCTTTGGCAAAACCTTTGTGTTTCCATCATCGTCCAAGTCCAGCCCAGTCCAGTGGCCCAAGTCATCAGCCCCCGCTCCATCCAGCTTCCTCATCATCCCTTTCCTCCCTTGCCTTGCACATATCATGTACCAATCGCTTTTCCCCCTATTCTTCCTCTTGAAGATGTATCATGACAGTCCCGTATCCCTCTCTTTCTTTCTCAAGCCATTTGCATCAAGAACAGTTGCAGTTGCCAAAATCCATTTCGCCATATCGAAACAAGTCAAACTAACTCCCCCAACGCCATCCGCATGTGTCGCGTTCTATGACCGACCGAGCACGAAGGATATAAAATCATTTTAACGCCGTAACCGCTTGGAGGACCAAAAAGCAGGGCGGTTATGCAGCATGCCAAGAAACGGCAGACAAGAGACAAAGGAAAATGTCGGCAGGCTGTTGCGGGCCGGGCAGGGTATCAAACAGAGGGCTATTGGAAGCGCTCTCTCCGTGGTTGCGGCATCCTCATGATGCGCATGTTGGGCAATTGGCCGGACCCAACAAAATTGTTCGACGAGAAGGCGGCACCAACCCATGGCGAAGTTTTTACACCCGGCCACAGGGCGTGTCACCTGACAAAGGATATCCATCAAATGAAGGTGTCCCAGGGATGGCCCAGTTATCTTGAGTTCTGGCTCTCGCTCTTCCAGATCCCGGCACCGAGCGGCTTGCTGACGCCAAAGCCCACACCAACAGCAGCACCAATAACGAGCAAGCCAATCATGACCTTGACGATAATGCGGTTGCGTTTGCTCATTTGTGCCAGACAGTTGCAGGTATGACGGTTCATCTTAGCATCCTTCGCCTTTTGCTTCCAGTGGTCTTGGCCGGGCCAAACCTGGCAATCTGTTGTGCCCCCCTTTGCCGTTGTAGTCTTCGTGATGCAGGGTTCATTGGTGACCATGGCTTCGATGTCCGTCTCGAAGGGATTGGCACGAGCGCTGTTGGGAGTAGAGACGTCTGATGGGCGTGATAGTGTCATGTTCTTTTCGACCATGGGAGAGAGGCCGTCGGAGAGTAGGGTATCTCGGGAAGTCTTTGGCTCGAGGCGGGTCGTGGTAAGGTGCAGGCCGGCCTTGTTCCGCTCATGGTCGATGAGGGACGCCATGTCGAAAGTGAGAGTGGGTGGTGGCAAGGGTCAAGTAGACGAGAGGAAGGGCTGGGATGGTGGATGAAGCCTACTGGCTAACCGAGTAAAATCTAGCAGTCGGTTGGATTGGATGGTGCCGATGTTGGAGATGTGTTGTCGGCCGTGTTGTCCGCGAGCGTGATATGGATATATGACGGCGAAACGTTACCCGATATGGCGATCTGGAAGGAGTCAGCTACACGTCTTCAGCAGAGACGAAAGAGCAAGCACCAAAGGGCGACACAGGGGCGGTTCGTTGGGAAGGAGTGACGATGTTGGTGGTGGGCACGGGGTGCGTACAGCAATGGCCATGATCCATGATGCATCGGACAGAGAGAGTGTGCACAGACAGGAACGAAAGAAAAGAGACTCACCAAACAAGCCGTAATGTGGTAATCGAAGTAGCTGAATTAGATGTACACGACTAATATCTCGATATCTGGTTCGGCTCGAATATCGATCGACTGGCGTGTAATCAACTGAGAGCCGAAAAGAAGGATCCCCGGCAGAGAATTTCTACCACGTGTGGTCGTAGACGTAGGAAGATAGGACACGACGATGGGGAGATGAGAGACAGAAACGAAGACAAGGGAAGGAGGGACAGGGCGCGACCTTGGGATTTCCCGTATTAAGATCTGTGGTTGACCATGGAGACAAGGAAGACCGATTGACGAGAAGTTGCACGAGACCAGGCTCACTCCAGCCGAATGAAGTTAGGTTGATAGCGGTGAATCCAGAGAGTGGAATGGCGTCGTCGTCGTCGAACACCTGGTGAAATTATGGGGATGACGATACCTATCTCTCCAAGAATGAAGAAGGAGGAGAGGAAAGGTTTGGAGTTTCAAGAGCCAGTGGGGGAGCAGCAATGACAGCAATGGGCAGGTACCAGGCCAAGTTCACTGACCCAGCCGCAGGCATTGAACTCCCAATTGGTTCAAGCAAGGAGGGAAATGAGAAGGGGCAGGGGTACCTTACGTACTGGCACACAAATCAGCACATTTTCATTGCAATCACCAAAGTCACCTTATTTCAAGCGAAGAAAGAGGCACGCCATGCAGTTCAGGCAGTCTCTCTTTTCCCTTGCCTTTTTCTTCCTTTGCTCCTTCCCCTGGTCCGTCGTCCGCGTCGTTCAGAATCCATTCACCATTAGCCTCCTGACATGCGGGAGTAGCAGAGGCTTGGCGGGAGCTAGGGCCAAACAGGGGAAAGTTGCAAAAGGTACACCTTCCAAGGAACCCATGTGAACAGGGATCTGCCTGCCGAGCAGCTGTGCAAGCAGTCGCGGCGACTCTTGGCTAAAAGTCTTGGCTGCGCCGTTCGCTTGTGTGCAAAGCCAATGGCTGGCTCCAGACATGTGGGTCTTAGCCGGCGGTTCTAGACCCATTTAACTCCATTTCCCTTTCCAGTTACACGTCGCGGCTCTGATTGGCCCTGAAGAGGCTTTTGTGGTGGCACCCCCGGGCAAAGCTAAAGTAGGCCACCCCACCGTTTGGTGCCTTACTAAATTTAACCTTCCCCGTCGCTTGCTCTTCCCCTCGAGTGCAAAAAAAGGGGCAATCAGGCCAACACCGACTCGAGCATGTCGAGATGATCGTTGAACATCATTCCACTTGAACTTGCTCAACACCACAATGATTGACCGACAGAACCACCAAAAAGCACGCAACCGGCCGTGATGGGCTGCTGTGGACGATGTGCCGGCCTGTGCGACAAGTGGCTGCATCGACGGCCGGCGCAGTGCGCGCAGTGGCAGTGGCCCTAATCTTGCGTTGATATGACGCCCGCATAGCAAATTGCAATATTACCATGTTCACACAACGAAAAGCACGATTCAGGCACATGATTTCCGATATTTCAACACATAAAGCATTGGATGAAGCTTAATTCGAGCCTCCTTCAAGCCTCAACAATAGTCGATACCACCTTCCTTTACATCATACCGTCTATCTTGAGGCACTGTGAGATAAGTAGTTCAGCTGCAATGATCATCACCGGTGGACGATCGAGGTTCGAAGCCAATGACAGCTCAGCGCCAGACCCTCACACACGGGGCGTGCTCCGACATTCTGGCCATGGTTCTTTTGTTCTTCTCGTCCTCTTCCCCTCACTTTCTTACCTATCTTCTGGTGCGTTCTGGCGTTCTACTGTCTGTCTGTTGGTGTCTCATACGCACGATACTATGCCAACGGCATCAACAGCAAACCCAGGGATGTGGATGAGGACGGTTCATTCTCCTGGTAACGCCATTTCGGCCCATCTGTCCGAAAGTGGGATTGTATGCCATTCCCTGAGGATTAAACTTTGCCGTCACTGGTTCTGCCAAGGCCCGCTTCTTTTTTGTTGCGTTTCTTAAGTAACATCTCCACATTGTTCGTCAGATCCGTGTTTCTTTCTTTCACTCTTCACGTTTCACATCCAGGATCAAACTTGAACAATCAAGATCCATCCATTGTCTTCACCTTCAAATGGCTCCCAGAAAAATGACCAAATTCCAACACTTCATCCTGAACAATCAATGCTTCGCCGTCCAGTGTCAACAAATACCTAGGATAGGCTAGACGGCCCCAACTCCGGTGCCCCCTTCGGCTCCGTCCCCGGTCCCACCATTCTCAAAATGCCCGCACCCACCATACACACCAAAAAAGTCTGGGGCGGTCTGGGCGGGAGCTACCCCATGAGCTTAATTCCACCGATGCCGTCGGATCCTCTTCGCCACCGTAAAGTTTATCGCCCGCAACTCCTACGAGAACCACGCGGCGCAGTCCAGTCCAATATCACGGGCTGAGACTCTATCCACATGAGCGGGAATCGCTCCATGCGGGGAAAAAGAACGCTAGCATGAAGAACTTACGAGCGTGGCTTTTGCCGCCAGATAAGAAGCATTCCTCCTTCCTTATTCCTCAGGTCATCCCTTCGACAGCGAAAGACCCGAGTTCACACGGTTTGGGATGCGGCCTCTTCCCAAACGCCTCGAAGGCGAGGGAGCGTATGTACCGAGCTGAAGCAAGCCTGCCAGTGCACCAGTTTGACTCAGGTGAAAGCTCACATCCACAGACGCGACTCCGATCGAAAATCGGGTAGCCCAATTCATCACACGATATCAACATCGAACTCCAAACCGATTCGAACTTGTCGAACACAATCCACGTTGCGCAGAGCAGGTGTCATCTGTCATCCTCTGTCAAACTGCCAGCACGAAGGGTCTCACGTCGTCCGAAAGTTCGCACGCACACCTGCCTCATCGTCCCTTTCTGTAAAAGCCCGTTGGTGTTCCTGATCTCCACCGCATCTTCGTGCTACACACCATCATCATCGTCAGGTTCTCTTGTTATACCGTCGGAGATCTCCTCGTCGGTCAACGTTCGCCGTTTCACTTTGGTCCCAAGTTCACCTTTGTCCTTCTTCAAAAGCACATGTGTTTGTGTCTGTGGATTAGAAGATTCGTGATCTCGCCCCGCGATCTGATTCCGGATTTGTTCCGTGTTCGATCTTCATCATATTCAGGGGAGTTCTGGGGCGCTTCGTGCACCTGATGACGTTGCAGGGTCCTTTTCTGAGAATGAGAGCGGTTGAAGGATATGCTTTGCTTACTAAAAGGCAGTATCGTTGCTTGTATGCCTGACTTTCGTCGGCGGCGAGGGAAATCTTTCAGCAGAGATTCCGCTTCCACTTCCACTTCCATGTGGGGAAGCCCGTAGCTACGTAGGCAGAGTATGGAGGAAAATTCAGTATCACCAAGTGGTAATTACGCAATGAGTTCTTGGTCCCATAAACATGGAAGAATGCCCGTCTCACTCAAGGCTCACCCGGCCGGCATGAGAATTAAGATGAAAGCCCGGGCAAGTCTCTGCGGTCGAGTGTGTTCTATCCTCAAATTACCTTCACGGTTACATGTATGGAAGTTTTCATCTCAAAACTCCGCAACTGGTTTCCGGGAGCAAACTCCAGAATGGCGAGAAACGAAAAGGGAAAGTCTTCCTTTCAGGTACTTCTCTCTCCCTCCTTCCGGGTCTGGTAAGTGAGATGAAAGACTGTGATCCGGAGAAGGTTTGCTCGGTGTGCCTTGTTGCCTCTCTCATATTCACCTCGGGGCTCATGAGAAGAAATATGGCGACCGAGGGCATGCTTCATCGCCGATGGTTACTTGCTTGCTCGCTCGTGTTCATTCGTCTCACTCTATGTGGACCGAATTCCACGTAAGACCTTCATCCTCGTGAAAAGAAGCTAGATGAACCCGGACAAGTGCTCGAGCGAGAGCTGGGGGTCAAAAGAGACCCATCTTGTGAAACAAGACAATGACGACCTGAGTTCAAGAGATGAAAGTTCACATGTCATTCAATGGATTTCCAGCCAAGAAAGAGAAAAAGTGTGAACAAACTTCTGTCGAGTCTCCGCCAAATGATGGTTCTGGCCTCAAGATCTGTTATCTGACGGCTTAGTTTGCTTTCATTTTCATGCTCGAGATCGCCGGATCTTTCCGTTTCGGGAGCTCATCAAGTTCATGGCGATGTGGTGGGTATTTTTTCTCCTGCTGAAGTCCGTGGAAAGTGCTGTTGCCTGCTGTACGATGCTTGGAACGAGTAGTTGCTGTCATCGAGTGTCCCAACTCTACCAAGGGGGAGAAGCCAAAACTTGCTAGCGAAGACTATCTTGTCGGCGTTAAGATACATCGACAGTACATCGCGATGCTTTCGGATGGAATGGTCTGAGCGAGAAGTAAGTGCTTTCTTCGTATTGAGCAAAATCTCCAAGGCCTCTTTCGTCTCATGATATCGGCTCACCCATCAAGGTGTTTGGTTGTTTGCTTCTAGGCTGCCTTTTCAGTTTTCTCACATGAGAACTCACCCAATGACGGTTTTTCATCTCAACACCCTGTTGTTTACTCCCAGGCAGCCTTTCCTCACACGAGCTCTCTCATGACGAGGTTGTTCATCTCAATATCCTGTTGTTTGCCTCTAGGCTGCCGCACATGATGAGGAAATCGAATGACGAGAAGGCTATCATCCAAACCTCCAGCCAGGAGGGTTCTCACGAAGACCGCGAGGATCATCCTCCAGACAAGTATAAGAAACCCCCTTTCCACCCGTCAACGAAGACGAGATTCTTTCCTCCTTTCAACACAACCACATCTATCTCACGAAGCTGTCTCTCAGTTCACCATCAACTTCAAGTTTCACATCTGTCAACAGCTTCTACCATCCCTAAAGATGCGCACCTCACGCATCGCCACCGTCCTTCTGGCGTTGGCGCCCACTGCCATCCTCGGCAACCCCGTGCCCATCCTCAAGGCAGGCGTCATCACCAATGACCACAGTCTCGCTGGTTCCGAGGTAAGTTTCCACCTCTCAACCGCCCCTCACCATCAAATCAAGCCAACTAACACTTACCTTAAGAAGAACACCAACCATGGCCTCTGCAACCGAGACGACCACGACTGCCCGACCAAAACCGTCGATCCCGGCGACTTGTGCATCAACGCCCATGCCACCATGATCTGCACCCCCGGCGGAGAGGGTAATCCCAACTTCAACCAGAACACCAAGCGCTCCGAGTCTGCCGACTCCATCAATCTCGAGGCCACCGTCGTCGAGGCAGCTGCCAAAGTCGAAGCCAGAGATGACACCGATCCCGACAACGATCCCGACGTCGCTATCTGGAACTGCAGCCAGACCTCCCTCAGACAGTACACGTGCACCGGCGGCCCCGACAACGAGACCTGCATATTCGACGATGGTCGCCAGGTTTCTTGCACCAGCAACCAGAAGACTGCTGCCCTCCAGACCAACACCAGAGACGGCGGTGATCCCGATTTCACCTGCGACACCGACGTGACTGGAGACTACGTCTGCACTGGTGCTGATGTCCGCTGCATCATTGGGAAGCAGGGTGATGCTACTTGCAGCTTTAACGGCCCTGATGGTTCCGACGGTGATGCCAGCAAGTTCAAGGTCAACACCGACCGTCTCGCGCTGGTTCTTTCCCCGGTTGCGCCCAAGCCCAAAGACGACTCTGACCCCTTCGACGCTAACCCTAACTACTCTTGCGCCCAAATTTCGGATTGGACTTGGTCTTGCGGTCCGAACGGGGTCGGTCCCGGTTCTGGCAACGAAAAGGGCAAGAGTCTCGACATTCGTGGCTCGGATGATGAGCATTATGATCCTGGTCAGGGATGTAACCAGCCGCAAGGCTTTTTCGGTGGCTGTAACGGTAAACGTGCCTCTAACGAGAAGCGCGAGGTTGAGCAGAACACACAGCTGGCTGTCCCTGAGGAGGAGGACAAAAAAGTGGTCAACGTCGAAGGCCCGGCTGCTGGACATTACGATCCCGGCCAGGGTTGCAACCAGCCGCAAGGCGTCTTTGGCGGTTGTGATGGAAAGGGCGCCTCTGCCGAGAAACGGGATGCGGATGAGAAGCTGGCTGTCGGTGAGGGAGATGAGAAGTACGACAACGATGAAAGCCCGGACAATGACAACTTTCCTGGTCAGGGTTGGCAGCCGTCATGCTTTTTCGGGGGTTGTAATGGAAAATAATGGAAAGAATGCCTCTTAGGCGGAAGGTGGAGGAGCTGCTTCTTAACCAACCACGGTTGAAGCTAGGGCAAATGGAAATCGGGGTTTTAGGTCGGAGGATCTGATCAAGATACCGATGTCTCATGGCTCAACGCCTTGATGATGGAGGCATATCAGACAGTTATTGGCGTGAACGAGATAGCTCACATATATAGTCGCTCGCTGTCTTCTCAAAACAGACCGTGTCAAGGTTTGACTTGACGACGATCAAGTTGCCAGATACTCTCCATTTCCCTCCGAGATCCCAGTGAGTTGATGAACATGTCTGCTTGTCGATGTGTTCTCTCACCGAATCCACCCACGAGAGCTTGTAGTGAACAGCAAACTTCTTCGAGGTCGAATTACTCACGGTAGACACTCATGTATTCCCGATCTCTGTCGACAGTTGTAGGTAGCAGGAGGTGTGATGCATGCCATACTGGTTGGAATGAGCTGACAGGAATTCTCGTTAAATTTTGAAGTCTGCGAGGAGAATGGTCGAGGGCAACTTGGAAGCCCGAGGAGGTGATAGAGATCTTGTGAGAGCCAGAACTCGTAAGCACTTGAACTCTGGATCCCAGTAATGAGGTGGTTCGAGTCTGTGTGGGATGATGCTCGCCTCTGATTTCCTCCCAACAAACGTAGGCGTTGGAAAAGTGAGAGCCGCCGTGTTCTTGTGACAATCCAGACCGCGGTGTACCTCAACGCCCCCCCCTCCGTTGCAGGTTATCGCGATGTCAGATGCTAGAGGTTTGATAACCGCAACGGAATCTTCCCACAGGGAGGAGATGACCTGCCAGCCCATTTCGCGCAGCGGTTTGGTTCTTTCACTTGGCCCTCAGTTTCGTTCATTGTTCAACTGAAAACGAAAACGGAAGGCACGCGTGAATGGAACTTCTCTCATCTGAACCTTTCATTTCGGCGCCCGCGAAATCGGGTCCCAAGCAAATGGACGGGAAAACAACAAACTTCTTCCGTTCTCCCTTCTCTCCTTAACTTCTCCTCAACACCAACTTTTATCACCAACAAGTTTTTGGTGTTTTGGTTTTGGCAACTTCTATAGCGCTACAGTACCTAACCACGCTAACGAAAGTACCTCTACGTCCCACCTACTTGCACCAGCCACACCTCCTTATCGTCCTTTCCAAGCCCCGCGATAAGCCCTGCAGCGCACCCCCGCCGGCACCCGCAGCGTCACCATCACAATGTCTCACCACCACTCAGCCTGGACCGCGAACCGGTTCGGATCTCGTCCAGGCCACCCTACCGATCCGCGCCGCCATCACTGGAACGCCATCCAGGATTCTCTGCACCCCATTTACCCGCGTCAGCGTTCCAACATCCAGCTCGATTATCACGGCGATATTCTGCCGGCGCCGAGGCTGAAGGATAACGTTGATACCTTTTTTGGTCCGGTTAGTGAGGGTGGAAGTATGGTATGTTTTTGTTCTGTTCCTTTCCCTGCCCCCTCTCCCTTTTTCTTTTTTCTTCTTTTTCTTCTTTCTCTAATATCATTACGTTTGACAACAGAACAAAGACGCCCACTTCACCCCCCTCCACCTCCACGCCTCCCACCACGCCGATCTCTTCGACGACTTCACGCGCGACCGCCTCCCTTCCTCAGAAGACATCTACGTGCCTCCGCACCTACAGCCCCTCAACCCCGAAGACGAAGACGACGTGGTCCCCGACCAACACGCTGCTTTCGGCATCCAAAAGGCTACGCAAAAGACGCGCGAGCCGGCCTGGAGGGATCTAGGACTGGATGAGCTGATGCAGCAGGGCCCCGGGGCGCCGGGGGCAGGATTGGGATTGGGAAATGGAGGGGTGGGTGGTGGGAGTACGGCGGGTGTCGCGGGAGGTGGACCAGGGGCGGGGAATGGAGGGAGGAGGGTAGCTAGGAAGAAGAAGACGAGGGCTGGCGGGTATGGGGGGTTGCCGAGGTAATGTATGATGGGCGAAGGGAGAGGGGCGGGATGGTGACGATGATGCTGCAGAGAGAGAGCTCCAAGACGACACAAAAGCTGAAGGAGCATGATCATAATTTGCCCAGACGAACGGACAGGAGGAGATGGGCGGAGACACATGACGACGGCAGCGCATGAGCTACGCGACACAGCGCTGTCGTAGTTATGGCGAGTGGACAGCCACGGGACATTTGTGGTTATAGCATGGGCAGGAGTTCGGGTTTTCTCTTTTGCGACTCTGCGATGGAGCTTACGCACGGAGTTGGAGGTTGAACATTATATGGGCTAAGTTGACGGGCCCCGGATCACGGCACAACACATGACGGGCAGCGCCTCCAACATCATCACAATGGCAGGTTGAGAGCGGCGTAAGGTGGCATAGCTAGGACGGCGCAAGGTTGCTTAACATAGATATCCCATGGGCTTTTTGATGTCGAGAGTAGTGCACCGCAGAAAGAATCAGCTTTTTTCTTCCCAAAATCCTGCCGTCACCTCAAAACATGATAAATGTTCCACCCATGTTGTTCGGGAAACGCGCCTCTCTCATTAGCTGGTCCTCATGGACCTGTGATAATATTCACAAACAATGCCGTCCCGTCATAACCGCTTTAAACGCCATGCTAATGCCCAGTTCCAAAACCCAAAAACCCAAACAAGACATATACCTCCCCTCAGCAACTCTCCCTTTCTTTCAACCCACTCTTGTATCCATCCCCTTTTCCCCACCTCTTCTCCGCATCATCATCAACTCTTAGCCCCAATCAACGCCTCCCGCTCCAACACCTCCGGCTGGAACTTGACCAAGAAAACCGTTCTACCCGGCCACATCTCCCCACCCTCCCCTCTCCCACCATCCGTCCCCGTCCCCCCACTCCCATTATTCGCACCCGCCGTATCCCCAACCGTATGCGCCGTCACCCTCGCCGGAAACCCAGCACCATCACAAACCCCCTCTATTATCCCCGCCGCAAACGCCGCGCAATTCAACTGGCTCATCTCCTTCGGCACACTGATGTACGCATTAACCAGCGGCTCGTTGTCGATGATCATGAACTCGTCGGGGGTATCCGGGTTGGAGGATTTCTCCAGTCGGTCGGCTTGTCGCCCGAAGAGGTGCGTCCAGACGTTGATTTTGATGAAATGTAGGAGGGCGATGATGTTCAGTGGACGGAGTTGCGAGCGAGGGGGCTCGCGGAAGAGGAGGAGGTCGAGGAGCTTGAGGCCGATGGGGTGGCCTTGGAGGTTGAGGCTGCGGCGAGTGAAGCGAGCGTTAGTTTTAACTGATACAATGGGGGACTGACTGGCTAGACAACGGGACCTGGAACTGTCGCAGACATTGTGGCCGGGCCGGGACTAGAAGGTCTTGGACAGAAACATAACAGGAGTAAGGAAGGACAGCTATGATAGCAAGAGGGGGGCATACCGTTTCTCCAACTCCTGAATCCCCGTCACCCTCCTCTGCGCATACGACACCATCTCCGCAAACAAATACGCAAAAGCCGCCTTGCTCAGCTCCGCAGTCTTAGTGCGGTTGAGCGGCCGGTGATAAATCGTCTTGCCGTTCGACGGGTATCGGAGTCCGGAATCCCCTGCGCGCCCGCCGCCGCCGTTGCCTCCGGCTGGTAGGTGGTTGGACATTGCTGCTGTGGCGCTTGTCTTGAGGATGTGGTGAGTGGGTGGTCTGTTGTGTTTGGTAGGTGGGGGAGCGAGCGATGGGCGGTAAGTGGTAAGTAGCTATGTGCGCGCCGGTTATAGTTTTGTGTGTGGTGTCGCGGTGCTCGTAGACAGCTGTGCTTGGTAGGATGGACGTGGGCTGGATTGGATGTTTGGGATCGTGGGAGCGGAACTCGGGAGCTTCAGGTGTCAGTGGTGAACGAAGCTACGGTAGCCGCGATTGAATGTGGCTTGACGGGTAGGTGGGTCCGATGACTAGCAGGTACCTTGGAAGTACCGGTACTGTCCCTGCTTGCACGCCCCGCGACAATATGTACCATGGGCGTGCTTGGGCCAAGTTCAAATGCCAACACTGCGTAGTTTTCGCATCTAGACATCGCCGAACGACCTTCGAAATGATGGAATAGAAGCATAGTCTTTATATCGCTCGTTGTTCTCGAACCAACACAACAACCCATTGCTTCAACCTTCGCACCATTCCATCACGCCAACTCTCGGCAAGCGTAGCAATGAGATAGGCAGCTATCATATGTATTGTATTTTGTTGTCCCGCCGCTAAAACTCAACAACTTCTTCTATCGTGCTGGAATAAAACTATAGGCACTTCCAACCATCACATACTCCCTCCCCCTCTATTCCCAGTCGTCCTTCCACCACGAAAAACCGCAACCAACGATGCTTTCAATGCCGCCCTGTTTACCCCCATCATAGCGCCATCATTCCCCTTCCAATACCATCCACCCCATCACTAAAGGTAGGTCGAAACTTGTTCATCAACACCACCCTTTTCCTTCAACAACCTCCCATCTCATCCTCACTGTCGCTTTCCCTGGTTCTTTTTTTCCCAGCCATGGATGTAATGACATCCGGCCAGTCACACTAAATCACGCCGGCACCTTTACTATCCTCATCCCTGAGGATCTGAAGTTGTGTCTTACACTCCTTCGATACCCATTCCCAATAGCTGTGCCAGACCTGGTTAGTGCCCGCCACCGCAGCCGAACCCCCGGGAACTGCCGCTCCGACCGCGCCGCCCGTGCTGAGAAAAGCCTTGAGTTTCTCCCCGAGCAGGAGCGTGACCCTAAGTGCTGCCCGGTTGGCCTCGGCTTGCTTCTCGAGCTCCTGCTTGACCGCCGTGTCCTTCAGCTTGGTCGACAGCGTCTTACGGAAGGCCTCTGCGATGGAGTCGAGGCGGCGAATGGTCTCGTCGGGGTCGATGTAGGCGAGCTTGGAGACCATGAGGTTGCAGAGAGCTTTGATGTCATTGTCGTCCGACAGGCCGGCGACAATACGGTCGTAAAGATCGATGATGCTGATGCGGGAAAAGGCGGTTTCCATAAGGGCGTAGAGGGTTTCGTATGCGGCCTAGGAATGTTAGTCTCGGGTAGCCTTGTACACAAGAATCATGTACTCACCTTGCGAAGTTCCAAACCATCATCAATGATATGCTTGAACGGACCCATCTGCACCTCTCTGATGAGCTCCGGCTTGATCACCGTCTCCCTCATGACATAAGGCATCAGCTTGTTAAGATGGCCAAGGATGATGTCCGCCTTGTTGTGCGCCGCCGAGTTGAGGGTCGACATGGCATGACGACGGTTCTCCATCTCAGAATCTTCCAGCATCGTCTTGAGCATGTCAACCAGGTGGCTCTTGAGCATGCTGTCAAAGACCTCGTTCTCATCGGGGAGAGTGTAGCGAAGGGCCTGAATGGCGATGGCCCTCAACAAAGGCGACTGGTCGTTGAGTAGGGACTATGGAAGTTAGCGCCGGAAAATTTTACAACAGACAGGGTAGGTCCCAACTTACCACAAGCTTCAACATGTACGTCTTGGGATCAATGATGACCAACCGACCAATACACTCTGCACAAACCGCCTTGTTATCCTCCGACCCCGACGCAGCAAGGATCTGGTCCCAGATTGGCGTCGATAACTGACCAAGGTCGGTCGAAGAAATAGCAACCTGCTGGAGAACCTCCTTGATAGACTGAAGGAGCAAGTACTGCGTGTTACCCCCTTGATGCATCGACTGGAGGATGACGGGGACATAAGCAGCTACATTGCCCGCTCCAGCACGACCCAAAGCAACGGCAGCAGAAAGCGACGTCTTGTCGTATTCGCTATGGAACTGCTCGAGGAAGAGGCTGGGAGAGTACGGGAACTTGTCCCCAAGACGAAGTCCAGCCTCACCCAGAATGGTAAGCGCAAGGCTGGCTCTTTCACCTTTCTGCTTCTGGATCTCCTGGACGAAAAGCTCGGCCGTGTAGGTGCCCTTGTTACCACTCGCCACAAGAAGGGTACCGATAACCTTGCCGACCACCGATGGGTCACCGCTCAGGGCAACCTCGTTGAGCAGGCGCTGCATAAGAACCTCTCCCTTCCCAGTCTGGCCGATGCTATGGACAAGCACTAGAAGAGAGTCGAGGACCGTGCCTGTAACTGTCGACTCCATAAGTAGTTTACACAGCGCGGTCATGAGCTCCTCAGTGATGACGATTTGCGGCTTCTCTTGGGCCAGGTGTGCCAGCACGAGAAGACCGGGGCCAAGAAGTTGGGCATCATAGTGGGTGATGACTGTGACCAGCGCGGTCACCACCCTCTGGACAGTCGCATCATCCAGAGTGTTCTTGGTAGCCGGCGAGAGGACCAAATGCTTGAGAGCCATGACGCTGGAACCCCTCAAGGAACGGTTGGCCTTGCGCAACTGAGCGGCAAGTTCAACAACAACTTCTTGGGTCCATGGCGCGTCGAAAGAGTCTACAGACGACGAGAGAGCGGCAACAGTGTCAATTGCCCGAACGGCGGCGAGACGCGTGGTTTCGTTGAAGAGCCTTTCCTTGAGGTGACCGAGAGCAGTCTTCCGGTCCTCGTCCGAGAGCAAGGCAGCGCCCTCGGTACCCGATGTTCGAGAGAGGAGGGTCCCAAGGGCATGGATGGCCTTCTGGCGAACTTCAGCGTCAGCGTCATTATCCGTGGTGCGGTCAACCATCACACTATAAAGCTTCTGCAGCTCTCCCTTGAACTTTTGCGCGGTCATACGAGCACGCGGGGGCGTGATGGTCTTGGAGACTTCCTCGGCGGTTTGGACAGCCTCAGCGGCGATCTTGTAGACTCGGTCATGAACAACTGAAACAACGCCGGCAACGATCTTTGGTAAGTAAGGCTGCAGGTCATTTGAAGAGTGGTTTCTGGCGAAGCTGCTAATCAGGCGAAGCGCCGCAATGCGAAGAGTGTTAGTCGTAGCAGAGGCGCTGCCACCAGCAAAGGAAACCTGCGCTGATGAAGTGCTTAAACCGGTCAGCTTGATGGCATCCAGGATAAGATCCGTGATCTGGTCGAGATACGGTGCGAGGCCACCCTTTTGAACAGAAATCAGATCATCAAGAATATTGATTGTGGCCTGCTTCGTGGGAATGAGCTTGCCCTTGAGCAACTTGGTAGCCGACTTGACGATAGCAGGAGTGAGGGCGGCAAGATCGGCACGGGGTCCTGTTGCTGGGATCTTTTCGGCCTTTGGCGACGTAAGTCCGGTGCCGGAGAGGTTGACGGGCATCCCAGCTTGACCAGCTGCGCTGCTCTGACGTCTGCGCTTCCGACTTTGAGGAGCTTGGCCAATGCTATCGCCAGAGGCGCTGTCGATGGTAAAGTCAGGAATAACGCCTTCTCCCGTCTTGCGAATGAGCAGGGAAGTGGCAGAAAGAACTTCAAGACGAACGTTCTCCTCGCGCTCGTCGAACCTCTTGATCAATGCCGGAGCAACCTTTTGGTAGAGAACACCGCTCTCCAGGAGGTCGCCGCTGGTTCTTGTGGAGATGATGGTGTGAAGAGCCTTCGCAGCACACCGCCTGACCTTCCAGCTGGCATCGTCGTCGTCGTCAAAGGTGCCGTCAGCCTCAAACTCGTCGTCATCGTCGAAATCGTCATCCTCCTCCTCCTCTTCCTCCTCCATTTCCTCGTCCTCGTCGGCGGCGTAGTTGGGGTCAAACTTGAGGTACCGCAGACACGCCTCGATGGCATCATTCGTGTACGGGCGCATCTGGTTTGGGCAGGAGGAGAGGAATGCGTCCAGCGCAACAAGAGCGGCTTCTCGAACATCGCTCCATTCCGAAGTAGTCTCGCTGCCTTCTTGGATCGCTTCGAGTTGTGTCTGCAACTCCTCCTCGTTAAGGGCATCGAGAACGAAACTGACCACCTCTGGCAGATATCGGCCAAACCGGTGAGGAATGGAGCGGGCCATGGAACCCAGGATTGTGATGTAGAGACGGCGGGTGGCGGGTGGCATGCTAGACTTGCGCAACAGAGTAACAGTGCGCTTAACAAAAGCAGCCAAGAGATCGTCCGACAAATAATGAGCCAGCATGGACACGGCGGCAACGGCCCTCTTCTTGACGACCGAAGTGCACTTCTCCTGGGCCAAGAGGTTGACAACGGCATCGTGGAGAGCCTCGATCTCGACAAGGGTAAGCACTGGGCCGAAGCATCTGACAACTTCTATGAGAACGTCGACAGAGTCCGAAGTGACGTGGCCTCCCTGAAGCAGACCGGGCACCTGCTTGGCGGTAGTCTGACCGAGGAAGCGAGGAATAAGCAACTTGTTGATGCTGTCATAAGCCTCTTGCGCTTCCTTAGTCGGCACAAGGCCAGGCACAGGACGCGGAAGGGCTTCGACGACAGCTTTGAGGGCCATGGCAGGAACCGAGTTGACATCTGAGTTTTGGCTTTGCAACTCGATAAGCTTCTGTATGGCCGTGGTGTAGAGCGGAGATGGGAGCTTCTTGACTAGGGGACCTAGCACCTTGATGGCCTGGTTCTGGACCTCGCCATTCTGGTCACTCAAAGCCTTGATGACCTCGTCGAGAGTGCGATTTGATGTGTTGAAGTCGTGTTGGAGGATGTCTGGCTTGGCAATGTTGAAGGTGGCCAACAGATCGTTGAGGGCCATGTAGCGGAAATCGGGGTCGGCATCACTGATCTTGGTGAGGAGGAGGCCGACCGTGTGGGAGGTCGGGTTGGCCGGGACCGTCGTCGCCATGATGGATGTATTATTGTGGGATCAACCGCACATTCGATAATGGTAGTAGATGTGGCAAACACTGGGATCTCTATGGCGATGTTAGCTTCCGCGCGTAAGATGTTGCGCCGTGTAGTATGGTGCTAGCAGTAAACAGTTGTTGATGCTGGCGACTTGATGGTGTGATGTCGCGAGGTCAAGTGGAGATGGGCCAGCAAGGTGACGGCAGCAGGGCCATTTGAGAGCTACCACCTACATATAAACAGACTCTCTGAAGGAGCTACTCTTTGCTTTGTGGACGGGACTGGACTGGTGCGATCCAAGAGTCGTCGTTGTTTCGTTCGTCGGGGAGCTGGATGGAAATGCGCAGGAAAGGACGGAAGCTGCAGGAACTTTGTTGTTGCGGGAGGAAAAGTCGAATGTATGTTTGCCTCTCTCAATGTCAGGTCAACAACACGCAGGCACCAGGCATGAACTGGAGAATAAAGTTGCAGTCTGGACGGCGACCCAAGTGGGAGCTCATGCCCGCCGCTGCTGTCAAGTGGTGGGGTAATGACAGGGGTAACCTGCCAAGGTACGTATGTACCGCCAGGCTCCAGGGCTCGCGGCAGGCAAGTGGAGTCACTTCTTCTGGCATCATCGTCGGCAAGCTCGGACCACCTGGTGTTGCTGCACCAGCACAGTTCATAGGACAAGAGCTCCCGATCAACAACACTGCAACCACGGATGCCAAATTTCACGATCTCCATCAGTTGGTCTTGAATGGAGTTATTTGGAGAGATCTGGCAAGATAAAAAGAATTAGTTACGACGGTGTGTCCCAAGACGACGGACAAAGAGCCCATCGATGGGTTTATCCGTTGCATCGCTGGCGCCAAGACTCCCGTGTAAGTCGTCGACGACATCATTGATGGTATCGTCCAATGGCAACAGGTCAGGATCGGGAAAGGCGCTCGAAAAGATCAGGGAGGGGAGCTCCTATCCCGTTGGGCAGAGGACATCAGGGACATAACCCGTGTGTGACATAATGAAATCGATTTGGGGGTAACACAAGACCCTATTTATGATGGAGTGATTCCCTCTAGCTACCCTTTAACCGTGTCAACAAACGACTTTGACCGATTTGCCTCTACACTTGAAGTGCAAGATACAAACAACATATAGACACCCATTGTTATATCAATCTTCACAATGCTAGCCTCAAGAACCGGAGCTTCCATCCTGCGATCAGCAGTCCGCCAGCCCATGGGCAACCAACTGGCTTTGACACGCTCCGTTGGCCAAAGAGGATACGCAACTTTGGGCAATGTTCACAAGGCAAGCGACCGTACATGGTATGTTTTTCTTCTCTGTCTCCTAGTGTCAACATGACCATGAGTAGTACGCACGCAGCTAACAATTCCCTAGGCTGCTCACCTCCCTCGGAATCTCTCTCCCTATCGGCTTCTACCTAGTGACAAACGGATCAGCAAAGAAGAAATCTGTCGGTCACGGAAAGGAACACGAAGGATACAAGAGCCACGACGAACACAAAGAAGAACAGGCAAGCGGGAACCAAACAGACGACAAGGAGAAGCTGAAAGAGACCAGTTCGGACAATAAGAACACGGAGTTCAAGACGGATGATGAAAGCAGCCCCAAGCAGTCAAATCAAAGGGACAGGTTGAAGGATGACGAGGTGAGTGAACCCAAAGCCAATCGCTTGTAAGTGATGAGAACTCATGCTGACTGGTATGGCCATCTTGCAGTCGGCCGGGGACATGGGAACCGTCTCGGAAGGTTCATCTGACGCAGGACCAAGTAAGCCCGCTGCACCATCGGCAGAGTCGTCGTCGGAGCCAAAAGATTCTAAAAGCAGCAAGTCCGGCCTACCCGATTCACTACCCGGTGCCAGCTCGACCGAAAAGGCCATCGGCAGGGAATGAAGTGGAGCATGTTGAGCTATCTGGGCGTGGACGAGGGGAAGCATGATTTGCCCTTGTGCAAGAAGGAATGAGTGAGTGTGTATGTTATAATTGTCAAATTTATTCTGTTATTCTGGCGACCGCGATCAATCAAAAACACATCACGGTTGTTACTTACTGAGCATATCCTGGACAAGCTTCGATGACGCAATGCCATTTGAACCTGAAGGAGAGTTCGGCATGTCGCGGAGTCGAAGCAGGCACAGCTCGATGCCGACACCTACTCTCACGAACCAAAACACCAAGTACGAGGAAAGACCACATGGCAAGCAAACAAAGCGTGCGTGCTTGAAATAGGAACTTAGCAGACTTCAGTTTCACCTCGCCCTGTAAAACCGCCATCTTCCTTCGCGGAACACTTCTCCAGTTCATCCCAGCCACTCATTTGCCCTCGGCCATCATCCCAGCATAATCCCTTCACAAAACTAGCATCATTATTTTCCGCACATCCAGTCGTTTCCCCCATCATCGTCCACACTCGCAATGGCGGACCGAGAGATGTCGACCAAAACAGAAAGTACATCCTCCAGGCTGCCGGAAATCCCAGAAAATGACTGGAAAATCAGTCTCTATGACGCCGGCGACGATATGGACTGTCCCCGAGCATGTTTCCTTCCCTGTGATATGTTCGGCCGCACCCGCTATCGATTGAACTTGATTAGACAGGGCCACGATCCTCTCGATCTCACCGATTACAAAGACTTCAATCCCACGTGTTGGAAGTTTTTCGGGCTGTGCACTGGGGGTTTCTGTACGTCTTGCACTCCCTCTTCTTTTCCCGCGCTCGACCTGTGACCGTTGGTTAACAATAACAAGATATCGGCAGCGGCATCTACACCGGCAGAGAGACGACCAGGATCCGTCAAAAGTACGGCATCAAGGGCACAGCAGGAGACGACATAACGACAGGGATTCTCTGCCAGCCATGTTCCTTGATTCGGAATGACCTCGAGATCCGCCAGCGTGAGAGCATGAAACAAGAGGCCGATCTCCCACCTCCGAGGCCTCTTGGCGAGGACTACCAGCCCATCTTTGCCATTAAGCCTGATGGCTACAAGTCGGAGCCGCGGATGACTACTCCAAGAGGCATTTTGAAGCCAATCACGTCTCCGGAAACCTCATCGCCGCCGGACGGACAACCCGCTCTGCGAGAAGTACGCTTCCACGAACCAGGGCAGGGAAATGCACCCAATGTGGCTGCGTCGTACCCTACTGAAGTCGGCCATGTCTCTCAGTCTCCCATCAGCACTAGGACCGAGGCTGGCCCTTCGAATGTCAACCAACGACGCAGCAGAGAGGGAACTCTGACTCCTATCGATGAAGGAGACAGCCAAGCTGCGGAAGAAAGGAAGAAGAGCACCATCTTGGGCCCAGCAATGAATACCTTCCAGAGAACGACAAGTCCGCCTGTCATGCACGTCACCACCAGTAACGCCCCTATCCAGGCGCCGGTCCCCACGCGCGACCACGACAGATCTGCACCTGCACAATTTCCAGTGATAGAAGCGCGCGTACCATCCCCTGAACTCTCTCGAAAAGCACCCAACACCGGAAAGCCCCGCACTCCGGTCCGCAAGTCCCGCTTCTCCGAGGACTTCGAGGCGCCCTCCGCCGACGTGATGTTCTCCAATATTCCAGACGCTGCCCCAAGCAGTTCACTCAATGCTCCCCCACGCCTTCCGCAACTGCCTGGCGCATTCGACACTCCAGCTATGCCACCCGCAACCGTTCCCGCAGGCTCCCCTAAAGTTCCTACTCAGCTTCCCCAACTCCCTGGCGCATTCCCTTCATCTTCACACTCCGATACACCAAATATGAAGCCACCCGCTCTTGAACAGCTTCCCGCCCTTCGTGACGTGGCGAACCAGTCACCCAAGGTGTTCACCATTGAGCAGGCGGAGGCTTCGATTCCAGAAACGATCCAGGACCGGGTGGACGAAGCGCGAGTCGGTAATCATCCTCATCATGACATCGCCCAAGACCCTCAACTCGAGACCCTCCCTCCTAGAGATACCCGCCACCACCTCAACATCGACGAGCAATTAGCGTAGGACGTCGCTCGTTCGCAACCTCATGATCTGGGCACCGATACAGTCGTCGGAGTACCTCCTCAGGGAGGAGCTCACGATATCGGCGCCGATACCGTTGTCCCCTTGCCGGATCAACCAGAAGCCCATGGTCTGCATATGGATCCCAAGGTTGCTCTAGCCGCCGCCAGGGTCAGAGACCACCCCATCGAGTCAGATCCCCGCATCAATTCGCCCAAACCGACCTCATTCTGCGACCACAAAATTGCCGAGGACAAGCACCTTAGGATTCTCAGGACGGGGAGCCCGTTCAAACATGGGATTCATCTCGACCAGCGCGTCGCAACTCCTCCAGCTTTGGTGCGACCGCATGATCTCCTTGAAGACTGGCAAATCGCCACGCCCAGTCCCAACCCGGGTCGCGAGAACCACAACCTGGCCGCTGACGCCAGGATTGCGAGTCCGGGTCTGGGCTCAAGGTTGGGTCTAGCAGGTGGAAGACCGCATTCCCTTCGCCACGACAGTCGCGTTGGAACGCCGAAGCATTCAGGAGAAAATGTTCATGATTTGACAGCGGATGCCAGAGTGCCGTCTCGTGATCTCCCGGCGGCTGATGTGAGGGCTGATGTGAGGGTGCCAACCGGGACCGAGCCGGTAAGTCCAATGGCAAAGAGTCCGGAACCGAGGAGTCCTTCGCCCAAGAGACCGGCTGCTGCTAGTCCGGCGTTGAGCGCGTCCAGTATCAGCATTGGCATGAGGGCGCATCAATTGCTGGAACACTTTTTGGAGAGAGATCGGAAGGGTGCGGAGCGGAGGAGTGGGAATAAGTCGTGAGCTGGTGGTTGTCTGACGGAGTGAAAAACAGCAATTGGAGGTTTGGCGGTGTTGAGCTTCGAAGCCGCAGGGAGCTGGCAAAAGAACTTGGGGTGAGAACGCCCGGCAACAGAATTGAGCATGACCTAGGATAATAACGGGATTGATGGCCGAGATGGGTCGGTTGGAAAACAAACGGATACCTGCAAACAAAAGCTTTAATCATTAGTCTTAATCATTAGCATCAGATACCTAAAATTCGAGTAATCGGTATTTCTCTAGTTGACGGGTTGGTAGTAATTGTGAGGTGGGTCGGGTGGAAGTGACCCATGTGTCGTGAACACGGGCACAGAATGGCCGGCGTTGTGCGCGGAATGCTCTGTTTCGCGATTTTGCTCACCTACCCTCCAGTTTCTGACCTACCCTCTCGACCGGTCGGGGTGTGGCTCGTGCCAACCGATGCCGCCCGGCAGTGAGGGCGGAGAAGCCTTGTTCTGTATCGGTGCCGGAGGCAGCGGACCCGACCCCGCCGGCTCCGTCTCACAAAGTGGGTCCGCCCGCGACATCTGAACTTTCCCCTGTCCGAGGTCTTGGCGGCGGGGTGGTCCCCGCTGTCCCCGGCTCCAGATTGCGAAGTTGCCCCTCTGTTACAATTCCTGAGACGGCTTCCTTCCCCAGACTTTCACAGCTGACTCGACTCATTCAAGAAAGGACGTTTTGAGTTATCGAAACCGCAGGATTTCCCAGAATCCGTTTTCTTCCAACAAACAACTTTCACAAAAGCTAAGGCAGCAGAACCGTCTTGCGACCATTCGCGATACTCACCTTCGCAACACCATCTGTCACTCCTCACCAACACATTCACACATACACTCAAACACACTCAACCACACCACCACAACCATAGCCAAAATGTCCGAACAAAAACAAACAGTCCACATCGGCACCCGCCGCTCCGCCCTCGCCCTCCGACAAGTCGACCTCGTCATCGCCGCCCTCCAGCCTCACCACCCCAACGTCCACTTCCAAGTGCACGCCCTCGCCACCCTCGGCGACAAGAACCAAACCGCTTCCCTCCCCTCCCTCGGCAAGGGCCTCTGGACCAACGAACTCGAAGCCAAGTTATTCAACAACGAAGTCGACTTCATCGTGCACTGCCTCAAGGACGTCCCCACTACTCTCCCCGAGGGCGGCAAGATTGGCGTTGTGACGGAGCGCGAGGACCCAAGGGATGTGGTGGTCATGAAGAAGAAGTGGGCGGAGCAGGGCAAGTACAAGACCCTGTCTGACCTGCCCGAGGGCGCCATCGTGGGAACCAGCTCCGTGCGCCGCGCGGCGCAACTGCGCAGACGGTACCCCGGGTTGGTGTTTAAGGATGTGCGAGGCAACATCGAGACGAGAATGAGGAAGTGCGACGAGGAGGATTACGATTGCACCATTCTCGCCGCGGCGGGTTTGTTGAGGATGGGGTACGATGAGCGCATTGCGCAGTGGTTGGATTCGACGACGGAGGGTGGAGGCATGTTGCATGCGGTTGGACAGGGCGCGCTGGCGATGGAGATCAGGGAGGGCGACGAGAAGACGCTGGAGATTATTAAGCCGTTGTGTCATGAGAAGACCATGCTGGCGACGTTTGCGGAGCGCGCGGTCATGAGGAGCTTGGAGGGCGGGTGCAGTGTGCCGATTGGTGTTGAGACGAAGTGGGTGGGTGAGGATCAGTTGCAGCTTAAGGTGACGGTGGTGAGCTTGGATGGAAAGGAGAGTGTGGATGGGCAGAGCGTGGAGGTGATCAAGACGATTGAGGAGGCCGAAGAGATGGGTAAGAAGCTGGCGGAGGACCTGGCGAAGAGGGGCGCGCAGAAGATCTTGGACTTTGTCAACCAGGGTCGTGCCTCGGGTGGTGCGCTCAAGGTTGGCGATCTCTGAGTCCGTTCTCTGATGTTTTTGTACGATAAAGAGGGACGAAAAGTTGGCGCGATGTTTTTGCGGGCGAACCAAAAGCTAGAGGTATGCGAGGCGCAACCCCGGGAATCTACGATCTGCTCGATGTTATCCATGCATGCACATATTCCGGTATGACACTTCGATGGGTTCTGTTTCATGCATGCTTGTCCGATGAACTCCAATTCGATGTATGCATAAACTACCAAACACCGCCCTTCGCCTTCCGATGATACAAGTACTTCTTTGGGCGTACTTCTTAGGCCCCCCCATGTTGTCTAAAAGCAGGTTGAACTGTCCGAAATTGAGTTGATCCCCGTAACCATTTCCCCGGGTTCCGTCATAAATAGCCAAATATACACCAAGCATCATTAATCTTTTTCCGTCAAGCGCCCCCTGTTTTGTTATCTCTTGCGTAGTAAAGAATTGTTTAGTGGTCCTCGGCGGCAGTGAACTCCTTGTAGGCCTCCTCGTCCATGAGCTTCTCGAGATCCTTGATGCCCTCCTCGCTAACCTGAACCTTAGCGACCCAACCGCCGCTGGCAGAGTGGTCCTCGGGAACCTTGTTGATCGTGGAGGGGCTCTCCTCGAGGGTTAAGTTAGAGGCGATGACCTTGCAGCTGATGGGAGCGTTGATGTCGGCAGCAGACTTGACGGACTCGACGGCGCCAAGGGCATCGCCGGCCTGGACCTCCTTGCCCTCCTCGGGGAGCTCGACGAAGACGACGTCGCCGAGGGCCTTGGCGGCGTAGCTGCTGATGCCGACGTAACCGGTCTTCTTGTCGTCGGAGAGCTCGATCCACTCGTGCTCGCGGGTGTACTTCCTTAGCTCATCTGTTGTTGTGGTTGTGCTGGTTAGCATGTTGTTGCGATTGCGCGCGCATGTGTTGTGTGAATCATGGCGCAAATGAGAGACTCCGCTATCGGGAAGCGCATCGGCTGATGGAGACGGGAACGGGTAGCTCACTGTTGGCAGTAACGGAGAAGGGGCGCGCAATGCGGACGGAGCTCTGGGCGAAAGCAGAGACGACGGAAGGACGAGCAATCCTGAGGCAGCGAGCAATTGAGGCCATTGTGACGGTTGGTGGTTGAGAGGAGGGGGTGGACTAGGGTGGACGGAGGGCGTGTATATCGGCTGGGCTTGGTGGTGTAGTTGTTAGTGTTCAATCAATGCACCGGCCAGAAGTTCAGAAAAAGGCACAGACGGGACCCGGGGTGCATCCGTGCCAGAGGTCGAATGACGACAAAAACGGGCTGCCGGCCACCCGACAAACGGCTAGACTCGGGGCCAGCAGCTGTCAAGCCCGGCTTGCCAAGACCACGGAACCGAGCAGCGGGAGTCACAGTCACGATGGTACTTCGGCAGTCGAATGCAACCCAGATTATGTAAGCCACCAGGAAAGCATGGCGAGGCATGGCTGGCCGGGCCATCAAGGTGGAACGGGCCGGATCTGGGGAAGATCAATAAAACAAAAGCACGTCACCGGTCAACACATGGCAGACTTGCAAATGGAGTGTCCACTGTTGACTGTCCACCCCCCGGGACATTGGACGGCACTCGGCGCGTGGGTGGGCTCAATGGGCAATGGGCAATTGGCAACGGGAAAGACGGTGGAAAGTCGCAAGTGAGCGATGCACGATGCTATGGCTTGCTCTGACATGCAGCCTGCCATAGGTTGATTCATCCGATGAGGTTCAGACGCTGCAAGGGCCCGAGTGTGGATGTCTTGTTAACGTATTGGTCTTGGAGTTATCGCTATCTCTGGTCTTCAACGGTTGATGTGCAACACAACCGAATAAGCCCCTCGGTCGGTGTCACCATGCCCTTCTGCCACTGCATATCTGACTGCCGTGTCATGTCAATGTGAGACGAGAGAGTTAGACGAGGAGGGTTGCCTTGATATTGCCGGGTGCCAAATCCCCTTTCAGCTGTCAAAGACTTGTTGTTTCGGCGCGGGGTTCGTCTTATCGTGATTGTCATGGCAATATCTCCTGGCCCAAATTGGAGACCCAAAACATTCGACATGGTACTAACTGCCTATCGCCACATGCTCGTTCGGGCTTGTCGTCAACACAGCTGAATATTTTCACAGTTTGATTAAAAAGGAGCCACCCATGCAAACGGAGAACGGAGCAGCCGCAAGCGCGCACACATGAGGATTGAGATCTTTTGACGCCAACGACTCCAGCGTGAGAGGAACAGGCGCCCAGCCAAGCCAAGCCAGCCAGCGGATCCACGTTCTGCGATTCTCAAGTGGAGTCTTCGTCTGATCGATTCGACGAGATTCACCCGAAGCGGATTGGAGCTCCTCCCCCTTGGTCCGTGCGTACCTAGCAAGTTGCAACTCCATTTCCCGTCATCGTCCTGTCCGTCACTCTGCTGCCCGTCAGCGCCGCCAGCCCTGCACAGCGGCAGCACCAAAGCAGCCTTCAAGCACCAACGACCAGGTCCCGCCCTTGCGGGAGTGTCTAGCTTCTAGCCAAAGCCAACATCAATCGCGCCGGTCCAACTCCTTGCATGGCATCTCGCAGCATTTGAATCCACTTCCATTCATTCTATCGATTCATTCCATCTCCATTCCCACTTCCATCTTCCACTGTTGCTGCAGCATCACTACTCCGCCCGCACTCAGCTGCCATCATCCATTCGTCGCCGTCCGCAGTCCGCAGTCCCCAGAGCCTCGTGAAAGCCACAAGGTGCCCAGGCAGTTGTCGACTATTGCACCATCCCCGATTGCGTTGCATCTTCCACGACCGACCAGGCGAACCATAGCTGTCTGCCTCCAGGTAGCAAGCAAGAAACGAGCAGCATACAAGCAAGCAATTAAGCCGAACACCAACCACACCACAAACGGACGACGACAAACCGATCGCTTAATCCCTCCCGTCCGACCCCTTTGGGCTTGTCTTACTCTCGTCCGCACAGACAACCCATCTCGACGGCCGAGCCTCCCTGCCTACCCCTCCCTCTCATCCACTGTCAAGCTGGACCTCTCGCCCTTCTCCGCGGGGTCCCCGGGCCAGTTCCTCGATAACAACAACAGCAACATGGACACCGTGGTGATGGATCACGATCAAACCATTAGCCCAAAGGAGGCTCAGCTTCCCCATAACAACATTCCAGATGACAACATGGGTGGCCTCGAGGATTCACCCCAGATAACACCCGACCAAAACGGCTTCCCAGATCGCCATTATCAACAAAACTTCGACCAGAACCTCAACAGCTCACCACGGTCATATTCGCAACACGACAACTTCGACACAGACCGATATGCCACACCACCAGCACCACAGGCCTCGATATCACGACCGCCCTCGGGTCTCGGAGGCCAGAACCCATCCCAATCCGCAGAACACGGCTCTAGGACAGCCGCCGGTGGGAGTTCGAGCGAGCAGGCCAACGGGCGCAATCATGTCGTGATCAAGGTCGGCATGGTCGGTGATGCGCAGATTGGCAAGACAAGTTTGATGGTCAAATACGTCGAAGGGAGCTGGGACGAGGACTACATCCAGACTCTGGGCGTCAACTTCATGGAAAAGACCATTAGCATCCGCAACACCGAGATTACCTTCAGCATCTGGGATCTTGGCGGCCAACGCGAGTTCGTCAATATGTTGCCGCTCGTGTGCAACGATGCTGTGGCCATCCTGTTCATGTTCGACCTGACCCGCAAGAGCACGTTGAACAGCATCAAGGAGTGGTATCGCCAGGGGCGAGGATTCAACAAGACGGCCATTCCCGTCCTGGTAGGCACAAAGTACGATCACTTTGTGAACCTGTCGCGGGAGGAGCAGGAAGAAATTTCCAACCAGGTAGGATGAGGTGTCCGTATACGGCAAAGTTCCTGCTTGCTGACATTACTTTTCCAGGCTCGGCGATTCGCCAAGGCGATGCGTGCGGCACTGATCTTTAGCAGCACGAGTCACAGCATCAATGTCCAAAAGGTAGGTCGCACTTCGCTTGCCGTAATTGGTGCAGAGTCTGACTGTTTCGCAGATCTTCAAGATCGTGCTATCCAAAGCCTTCGATCTAAAATGCACAATTCCCGAAATTAGCAACGTTGGCGAACCACTTCTCCTGTATCAGTCTGTATAGGTCGATGAGTAAGCTTGACCTTGTCAACAGCCTTTGCGACAACCGTGCGAGCGGCCTCCTCCGACGATCTGCAATTTGCATTAATACCCCTGGCTGGCGACGGAGCGATGGCACACGTCGAGTACTTGTAAGGGTCACTCGACCACGACAGAGGACACCAGAGCAACGGACTACCGAAGCGCCGTCCTCGATGCACATATTCGCCTCATAACCCCCATGCCCACACTTCCTCAAGGCAACTCCACACAACGGGGCAGTAGCATTTTGTGACCTTTCGGGTTGTTATTGAGCAAATCAAGCACAATGGAGGAGAATGAGCGTGTGTGGCGCTAAAAATAAGACATTTGTAGTCTTTGGAGTCTGTTGTAAGAAATGGTTGGTTCGGGACAGATGATACGAAATGGGCATCTCGATCCGATATAAGATGGGGAAGGGCATTCTATACCAGGCACACGGAGCACAAGGAATACGTGGGGTGTCCCCTTGGTCGTTCAGGCGTGGAACCGTCCCCGGTACAGGTAAAAAGGGACTGGATGTTTAGAGGTATTCTTTGGTTGTATGTGTTTTAATTCCTTGTTGGCAGTCAACATATCGGTATTTCCCTATATCTTCTTGGCATTCTCCTTTTCCTCTGCACGTATCCATCTATTCATCCTTAAGTGTAATACCAACGGCAGAAGAACAGTCCACAACAACAGTCAGTCAAGCTCATGCCTAAAAACGATCAAAGTGAAGACGACGACCAAAAAGACTACTACTCGCTCATCCATGCATCATCTATGCCTCTTGTTTTTCGTCACCATTCTCCCCGTTCTCGGCAAGAGGAATCAACCAAAATGCACATCGCTCATAACCAGAGGGCGGGGGCGATTGCCAGTCCAAGAATTGAAAAACGGAGATTAAGGCCATTGCGTGTATGAATACAGGCAGCAGGAACAGGCTCACGATGTTGATAATCGGTATAGCGATGATGAAGAAAAGCATCTTTATAGCGAAGGGTACCTTTCGTTGGACCATTTTGATGAATGTAGCGATACGGTATAATTACGGTGATGTTTGTTTGTTTCTGTTGGTGGTTGTCGATAGCCTTTATAGTAGTGTTGATAGTTGGGATGTAAGAAGTTGATGTTGGTGTCGATTGAAATAGAATGGGGAAAAGAAAAAGAGAACGGGACGGGAAATTATACTTGTTGAGGTGGCCTCCGGTTGTACCGTAGAAATTCGGGAAATCCGGACATGAGGGCCTCCAATAATTCCCTTCTTGCGCGCAGATATGACTGTACCAACTTGCATGCGTTCAAATGCACAGAGTCGGACATGACCCATATAGGACTGCTGGCATATCGGCGTCCAAGACCGATGGCATGGAACACTACCCGCCTTTTCCCAGCAGAAGTCCAGAGACATCAGCCATTCCTCGGGTTTGCCTCGGAACTGACAGCACGTATCTTCCGGCATATTGCTCAGTCAGTCTACCACACAATTAACTACTTGCCAGAAGCAAATGGCTACGGCGGCTGTATATCCGAACTTCGCACCCGCGTTCCCAAAACATATCGCTGAACGAAGTGTCACCGGAATTGAGACATGAAATCGCAAAGGTGAGCTTCATCTCCCATGACCGGAAAGAGCGCGAAGGCCAGAACCAAGAAATGACGTACATTGCATATTTGTGACCTGACACGGTCGGTTTTCCCAAATGTTGTTGTTCTTCCCAATATGGTTCCCGTACTCCCACCTGCGGATGTCGCAGTAGACAACGGAACAAGCATACGCAAACCTCGAGAACCGTACTCGAACCTCATCCCCGGATGCCAGAGGCTAGTCAGACATTTTCACCCTTCCCCTTGCGGCTGACACATTGCACGCGAGGACAATGCGAGGTTGTCAGAAGTTCGTCCCTCCCTGCCCTGCCCGTGATCTGTTACCTCGTGCCCGGCCAACTCAGATGCCGCGCAATCGCTGACCGAGGATAGTCGTTCACGTCCAACCCTTTCATCGTCTCTTGGGACTGGAGCTCCTCGTACGCGTGCCACATCAACAAGCATGGTGCTTTATTTGTCAAGTAATCACGATCCACCCATCCGTCACCAACAAATGCCCGGCAGCCAACAACCATGCCCCATTTCATCACCGAGAACATCAAGTCTGCCGGCACATCGAGCTCGTCCAATGGGTTCCCGACACTGTGGATTACGTCCGGAAATTCGGCGCTTTGGAAACAGTCTCTTTGGCCGCCCAAGGCGTGGGACTACGACGTGACCAAGGTATCGTCGTCTGTGGTTGGGGAGGCACCGCAACTCGAAGACGTCGGACAACTAGAGGGACTTTGACATGAATTCGCAAACGAAGCTCTCCAAACGGTCTTTCCTTCCGGCCTGACGAATCTCAATCTGCAGCCAGAGAGAGAAAAAAGGATGGAGGAGGTTAAAAGCATCCACGATCACATCATCACATCCATTGAGACATTCCCCTTTTCCAAAACCACGGCCATCTCGACCAGCAAAGGAAGACACAAGGCCTCAGCTAACTTACCACACCAACCGAGACCATGAAGTCCTCCATCGCCTTCTACTCCGCAGCCCTCTTCCGCCTGGCACTAGGCCAGAGCACCGCAGGATCGGGCACGACGTTCTGGCAAGCCGCGGCGCCGTCGAGCACCGCCCCGAGCACTTGGACCCCGAGCACGCCGGCTCCTCCTGGTCAAGCGCTGTGTGGGCAAGGGTTCACTTATTGCGGGTATATCCTCAGGGATCATCAAAGTAAGTCTTCGGCCCCGAAGTGACCTCGTATTTTATTCGCTTTCTACTCGCTCTCTTCTCGCTTTATTCTTCCAGTTTTCCTCGCCGTCTTCTCATCTAACTCTTAATTTATTTATATTATTCTCTTCACTTCATTATTAACAGCTTTTCACTCTCTCTTCACTCTCTCTTCACCCTCTCTTCACCCTCTCTTCACCCTCTCTTTACCCTTTCTTTACCCTTTCTTTACCTTTTTCTTACCCTCTCTTTACCCTTTCTTTACCCTCTCTTTACCTTTTTCTTACCTTCTTCTTACCTTCTTTTTACCTTCTCTTTACCTTTTCCTTACCTTCTTCTTACCTTCTTTTTATTATAAATTTACCTTAAATTCACCCCAAGTTCACCTTGAGTTCACCTTCCTTTCACTTTTCCTTTACTTTATATTCCCCGTATTCCGGTCTTCCCTTTTTCTTTCTCTCTCCCTTTCTTGTTCTTCCCTTTCCCGCCCTCCTCCCGGCCGTCGCTACATCCCGTCTTCGGACAACCGCTTCAGCGTCCAAGAAATTTCTGTGCCCCAATCGCTCCCACCCACATTTCCCACTCCTCCTTACAGCCACCGACATCCCGTGTAGCACCTAGGCTCCGACCCCAACTAACATCTCCCTCCTCAGACTTCAAAGAAGAAGACGTAGTTAAAGCCTACTGCGCCGCCTCCAAGGGTAACTGCGCCAACGGCAAAACCAAAACCGACCCAATCCAAGGCCTCTACGTCTGCCTCCCCGCCAACGCCAACCCGAAGGAAGATGCCTCTGCCATGTCCCAATCCCAATCCCCGAACCCGCACTACGACTCCTCTTCCGCCCCTATGTTATCCGGCAAATCCATCTCCGGTCTCTCCCGCTTCTTCAGCATCCTGTCCTCGCGCACGCATATGAACCATGCCGTTCATGAGAACATGGATGGGAATGGCAAGGGGATGATGCATGCCAGACAGGCGCCGGCATCGTCAAACACGACGAATGCGGGGAATGATGGTGGTAGTTGCAATACGTTGGCTACGGCGGGGAATAGGATTGAGTTGTTGTGTGCTTGTGGAGGAAATTGTTTGAACCCGGTGTCGGATCATATTGGGAGGTGTGATCAGTCCTGCTAGTTAGTGTCGGTGTTAGCATCTAAAGAAGTAATCTCGGGGGGATAATGGGAAATGCAGAGATTGGGGATCGAGAAAAGATGGCGGAGATCAAAAATGTCTTGTTTTCCTTACTGGTTCAAGTTTTTTCTTGTCCAGTTGTCTCATTGCGAGGCGGCTGTCTATAGATTAGTCAATCGAACAGTCATTTCATGCTTGACATCTATACTAGATATGATAGCTGTACAGTATTGACGATGCCGGCGACATGTTGTGATGACTTCGACCGATGAAATTCGCATGTTCTGAGGGTTTGGCTGCAATTTGACCATGAATCTCCGATGTCCACATCGTGATAGACATCTTGACCAAACAAACTGACCGTCATCACGTTCGCCCCACGGGATGTAGTGCAGCAGAGTCGGGGAAACAGACAGGAACTGACCTCCACTCCCCAACGGGTATCTTCTTTTCCAACAAGAGAACGGCAGCAACCCACATCGAAGTAGCGAGAAACCTTGGTCATATGCGGTATCGCCATTTCCACGTTTTATCAAAGTCGCTAACGACAACTGGGGAACTCATGCTCCTCTCTACAGCAACTCATTCTCGCATGCATGATGCAAGCCCGCCTTGAATGTTCAAAGCACACGTCAAAGGTGACAACTTCCAAGATGAGCAATCAGGAGTCAAAGCCACCACCAAGATTCAACCGACCAACATTGTGTTTCACCACTCACAGGAATACTCATATGGGTCTCTGACACCTCCGAGCTCCTGACAGAATCCAAGCAAGCATCGTACCTTTCCTTTTACCAAGGGAACTGATGGCCATGGCAAGGAACACCAACAGAGCGAGAGAGCAGGTAAGATTCAAGGTGACAAAATCAGGACATAAATGGACGAGTGAATCCCTTGATGGTACTGAATAAGTCAAGCAGTTTTCGCGATGTCATGATGCCTTCATACCAGACAACACCATACCAGACAACACCATGACACACTTCTTCAACGTTTTCCCAGAACAAGCGTACAGTTTTGCCAACCTTACTAACAACTAATTTCCCGCCCAAGCAAGCTCTGTGTTGTCATCTCCCAGTTTGGCAAGAACTCCCAACGTGACTGTCCATCCAGGGACATCATCATGAACACACAAAAGCAATCTTATGAAAGCCACCATTGTATAAGGTACTAACTGTCATCTGGCTGTTTTCCATGATCGCTTGTGCTCGTGACTGATGTCAATGTCCATCATGTAAATCTGTACACTATGTACAACGACAACGACGGCAAGCCTAATACCATTTTCCCAACCACCAGAAGCAAGGGGCCCAAGCACGAAAGAAGCAAAGAACCAGAAGCCAGATAGGAAATCAAGCAACAAAAAGCTGAGACATTACAAAATTTTCATACCAGCCAAACTAGTTGTCCTCTTGTTTTCATGAAGTGACTGACTGCCCAGAAACAAAACCCTCAACGCCGCCAAACCATGTCCCATGTTTTCCCAAACTCGTACAACCAGGAAGTATCCGTATTATACTCTAACAGATTTCCCTTTCCAGGTCGCCCTTCAGATACTCCCAAACTCCTCCTCATCAATCATCCTCCCCAGAATCAAACTCTGAATAACCAACTCATCACTCAACGCCCTGATCTTCTTCAACGGCGGCTGCTTCTCCGCCTCGGTCGGCTCATACACGTACCCAACGCTCTGCCTCTTCCTCTTCTTGCTCTTTGTGCTCTTCCCGCCGCCACCAGCACCGACACCACTCGCACTGGCACTGGCACTGGCACTAGCATTGCCGGCATCACTTTCCCCTACCATAGCAGCAGGACTCGTGAACAACTCAGCCCCATCCGTCTTCCCATCAACATAGACCCAATCATACGGTTTCCCCTTTCCACCTTCCGCCTCCTTCTCCGCCCTCTCCAGCTCCATTTTCGCCTCCTCCACGCCCCCTACCCGCCTCAACTCCGCCCCAAGCACTCTCGCCAAGAAGACATAAGCCATCTTCCTCCCTTCCTCTTGCTTCTCCTTCTCCTTCTCCTTCTGAGTCTTCCTCCCTTTCTTATCTCCCCCGCCCGTGCTCATGACAAGGAGTATCCTACTTCCTCCTAGCCACCTTCCTCTTCTCCCCACCGTTTCCACGAGCTCTGCTGTCCTGGCATCATAGGGCTGCAAGTTGCGTGAAAGGATGGCATCTCCCAAGAAGGCAGACTGTCCTGCGGCAAGAAGGTAGGGCGACCAGTCGATTATTGAGTTGGAAGAGAGGCAGGTGAGAACCCAACGGGAAGCGAGAATGGGAAGCCCGAGAGCGAGGGCTTGCATGTACTTGACTTTGCGGGAGTGGCCATCGGCTATCAGGGCTGTGAAGCCGGTAGAGTTGCCGCTGCTGTTCAGGAGGAGGTCGTTTGTTCCGTCCGAGGGTGGCGAGGAGTGGGTTTTGTCTGTGGATGCGGCTGGCTGGACGGGGATGGGCTCGAATAACTCGTCGAATCCGTTGTCGAGGATACGGCCACCTGCTTGCTTGATGCGTCTCTCGATGTTGGACGCGGTTTCCATGCGTGCCTTGTACTGGTCCGCGCTCTCGCCTGTTCGCCTAGACTGGAAGGATATTGCAAACGCCATGCCTTCAAAGATCTTCGACCCACGCTGAGCGGGAGCGGTCATGGATGATGCTCTGCTGGGTTTAAGCAAGGAACTGCGAGACATGCGAACGCTATGATCCAACGTGGGTATTGTGGCTCCAGAGACGGACAACTCATCGGCAGAACTGGACAGCCGTCTCTCGACCCGTGCCGAATGGCGCAGGCTCTCTGTTGAACCAGTTTTCGGGTGTTTGGGCAGGCGCCCAGCAGCGTCACGCCGAAGGTTGTTCACAGGCGCTGGGGACGAGCTACCAAGATCAGGCCTGGTAAAACTGGTCGAAGCATCTCTTGCCGGCACAGCACTTGACGGAATGACGGGCGTGGAAGATAAATTCGATAGATCCGAGGTTGTCTGAACAGCATCATCGACGGCAGACGACGACACTCTGGCCTTGGTTGTTCTCACCGTGCTCGATGTCGGTATTTTTGCTACCTGATCTGCAGCGGACGAGACCCTCTTCTTTCTACTTCTTCTTTCGAACATCGGCGGCGACGAAGAGGGAATGTTATTGGAGGGTGCTGGTAAGGTCGGGAGTTGAGAAGACGAAGGAGGTTCATGCGCGGATTCCTCCTCAAGCAGGTTCTCAGCTGGACTCGTTTTTGGATCCGCACCCGCACCGGAAGTATCAGCTGGCGGTTTCTCGTGAACTGGCGAAAGAGGTCTGGGTGCTGGACGTTGGCTCGGTCGTGGGATCTTGAAGACGGCGTCTGGCTTCGGTGCCGGATCCTCATCTGGCCCAGACTGCGTAGACTCGTCATCGACCGCATGCGCCGCAGCAGGCTTGGCCCCCTGTCCCTGAGAATCTTCTACCGTATTTGGTATTGCTGGTTCCTCATCCCCATGCTCCGGCTCTTGCGTCGCCAGTTTCGCTTTGCCACGCCTGTTCTTATTGGATGACGGGATCTCAACATCATCTGACTTGGCCACCCGCGGAAACCGGATCTCAGTAAGCTGTTCCAAGGCAGCCTTTTTCTTCAACTTTGCCTTTCTGCGCCTGACTATGGATGTTTCTGTATCTTCATCGTTCGGAGGGCCTGGGGGATCTGATCCCGCTATCGAACTTGACCACCGCTCCTGCGATTTATCCGTCGGCTCATAGCTGGCAAAGGGACGTTGTGCAGCCTCCTTATTTTTCTTGGGCGGCTTTGTTTGCGGCGATTCCGGAATCACCATGTCGTCTTCCAAGGCACCAGGGCCAGGGCTTGTGAGCCTTCGTTGCGTTGCCCTGGGTGGAGGTACATCAGGTAAGGCAGCTGGGCTTGATAGTGCATTATGCGCTGGCGATGAACGCAGACCCCGGGCTCGCAGTGGCGACGACACAGCCAAGTTCGGTGATACTGTGTGATGCATGAAATCTGAGGGGGAAGGGCGCGAAGAGGTCGGACTGGCGAAGGCTTTTGCGGCAGAAGAGAATTGGGTGGCTCCGAATAGCTGCGAAGGGCCAAGTAGTTGCGATTTGCCTTGGCGGAACGGATTGTTCTCTGAGACGGGAGTCTCAGGCACCTGCCGGGCAGGCGAGGCCTGTTGTTTCTGCGAGTGTATGTTCCGCAGGCACGCGATGCTGCCAAAGTCAACGCGGCCAGACCCATCCTGTGTCCTTGAGGTGGTTTTGTTCGTGGCGGGAGTGTCGAGAAGTCGTGATCCTCGTGGTTCGGGAACTGTTGTCGTAACAGAGGCTGGCTCCAGAGAAGGGCTGCTTGCGCCAAGTTTTGGCGAGCTTCGAAGAGTATCTCTGGTTTTCGCTTGTGACGCTGAAGCAACATATCTCTCGTAGCTCCTTCCGCCGTTCGATTGTGTCGTCTCGTTGGAATGGGCGGAAGGCTGCGTTTCGGCCTGCTTGTGTTCCTCTGCCCTTTCGGCCTCTTCCGTTCGCAGCTGTTCCTCCTTATCCAGCTTCTCCTGAGCTTCTTGGCGCGCCTTTTCTTCCGCTTCTCGCTTCTCCTGCTCTTCTTTCTTTTTATTTTGCCTTTCCTTTTCCTCCTGCTCCCACTGAGCGGCTATCGAAAAGAGTTGGGACGGCTTGAACCATGAAAGCTTTGGCTTTTTTGCCTCTTCCCGTTCTCGTTTGCGTTCTGCAGCCTGTCGGGCCTTCCATGCGCGGTACGCCTCCATATCGATCGGTTTGTTTTCGGTGAGGTCGTCGGCGGGGCGAGAGTTGCGGATCTGTGAATTTGTTCATGTTAGCCCAGCCATCGCCACGGCACAATCGTGTTAGCATTCCGAGGAGAGTTGCGTACCCTGTCCTCCTCTGATTGTGTCAGGGGAGGGAACAGATCCACATCCCTTTGTTTTCTCGGTTTACTCATGGTCGGAAGATGCGCTGAGGATGGTTTCGAGGACGATGACGGATTCGAGATTGTTGGCGGCGGGCGGATGTTGCTTGTCTGAGAAGCGCCAAGACGCCATGCGGTTAGCAGGTCGTCGAAATTGCGGTAACTGGGAAGTGAGAAGTAGGTGATGACATACTTGGCCGGCGCCGTAGGTTTTCATGTAATCATCGAGGACAGCTTGGGTGTCGAGTGATTCGGTCGCGTCGTGGTCGCGGTTGTTCTTGAGCGCGTTGGACATGGTGACGTTTCAGTGGCCCAAGGCTCGACGCTAGTGTCTGTAGGTGCCGACGGATGCATGCGACCCTAGGCATTCGTATCCGATTCGAGCGCACTGTGTCCGGACAGGCGAAAGTTGCGTGAGCGGTCTGGACAGTTTCGACTCTTGCCGCGCAAACATTTCAGGATGTACTCTGCTCAATCGGAATCATGGCTTGCTGGTTTGCCGACTCGCCGTCAAGGTTGTTGGTTCGGCTAAAGAGGGATTGCATCAAGGGAAGGTCGAGAAGCACGGTGCGGCGGCGCGACGAGAGCGCGCTGTCACGTGCACGTACAGTCGTGAAACCACCGGCTTCTGATAAGATAAAGCATGCACGTCATTGATCTTGCCCCACACCTCAGCCACAGCTCCAGCCACATCTCCAGCCACCCCCATGCTCGACCCCACTTGCGTCTGTGCCGTTGCCCGCCGCGGAGGGTTCGTCCCACTTGGATTCGTCTTGGCAAGGGACCCTTCCTCAGTCGGACTTCCGTAACCAAACTCGGACTTGATCAACGAAGCTCAAAACATAAGCACATGTTGTGACACTCGCTCACCTACCATTCAAAAAGCGCGCCCAAGTGACACAAACCGAAAGGATATACAGCTTCACCGCTACCGCATTCTCAACCTCAAACGAAGTGCCATATTTCTTCGTCTTCCAACGCGGGTGGGCGTATTTGTCAATGGAAACTGTAATGCTGCGGATCTGTGATGACATGGGTATGATTGCGTCATTCAGCCACGGGAACGCGTGCATGTCAACATTGATGTTTCCGGACAAAAGAACCCTTTCTCGGCTCCCTTGTGCTACTGAGCCAGCTCCTTGGCTAAAGCTTATATGAACGGACCGCTTGCGTATGTCATATGTATCCGAAGAGATGGATCGGCCCGGAGCAAAAAGGCGTCGACGTCCATTGACGGCACTTGTCGCTTCGAAGCTGTCCATGGCCTGAGCCGGGAGCTGTCGTGCTCCTGTGATAAGAAGGAAGGCACGAGAACGATAGGGCAACAACCTGACATACGAACAGAATGAGAACGTCGGCACTTTCCATATACGAAATGGGTGAGAAGAATGGCGTGCTCGATGCACCATGATCAACGTGCATTGGACAGCGAGCAGGACAGGAAATAAACCAGAAACCCACAAATATGTATGAAAAGCACGGCGTGTGTAACAAACGGCAAGATGTTCCGGCGAATGTCGCCTCCAACCAAGCCCTCGATCCCCGTGCATTCTTCAGATTGTTTTCGGCCGGAGAATGTAACCACATCATAACCTCCTTTAACCCCTTCCTACAACTTTCCACTGTCATCTGCCTCTATCCAATTCTGTATCCACCACAGACATGCAAGACTCTCGCTCTTACTTTGCCATCTAAAACATCGTCTCCCAACATTACATTGGCTTTCTATTTCACAAGTTAACCTCGGACATACCCCCACCTAAGCAATGTCGGCCCGCACGCCAAGTCCGCCTCGGGAGAAGGGGAGGGATAAGTCTCGGATCGACGATGCCAACGCGAGTACAGCTTTTACGGAGGATGTTCGCCCCGGCCTCTGGTCATGGACCAAGCTCGACGATACGACCGCCGTCGGTCCTCGCATCGGCCCAGTCCTACAAAGCGTATTCATCGCCAGCTCCGACAGCAACGACAGCCTTGTTTCCCCAGAACGGCAGCACGAACTTGAAAAAGGAAATGCTATCCAGTACCGCACATGCAGTTGGCAAAAGGTCTGTAGCAGCTCAACCACCGATTGCAATCATCAAGAGTTACCAACTGACCATCAAGCTGAAGACTGCCGCGCTGCTCTTTTCCGAGTACATTTGCTTGGCTATCATGAGCTTTCCGTGGTCATACAGTGTCTTGGGTCTTGTTCCTGGGTGAGTCGAGACCCCGCAACATGGAATCCAACACGAAGAAACGCAGCCGCTCACAGTTCACAGATTAATCTTAACGGTGGTCGTATGTTTGGTCGTGCTCTACACGTAAGCATTATTACAGTTCTCCGTCTTATGTGGCTACATATGCTAATTCGTACATAGCTCATTGGTCTTGTGGGAGTTTTGTCTACGCCATCCCGAAGTCCGGGACGTCTGTGATATCGGCCAAATGCTGTTCTGGAACAAAAATTGGGCTTGGTGGGCCACTGCCATCATGTTTCTGCTCAACAACACAGTAAGCCGGTTACCGATTCACCACACGGACTGCAAACTAACAGGCAACAGTTTATCCAAGGCTTGCATGTCGTCGTGGGCGCCGAATATCTCAACACCATGACCGGCACAGACCCGCGTGTCGCTTGTCGGACTGTCAGCTTCGGCATTATTGTCGCGCTTGTCTGCTGGCTCTGCTCACTCCCACGAACATTCAATACGTTGTCCAAGCTTGGAGTATTTTCTGCTTTCTTTACCTTTATTTCTGTCCTCCTTGCTGCCGCCTTTTCTGGCGCACAGAAACACCCAGCTGGCTATGATCCCCGCCCATCATTCACGTCAGACTCCGGAGTAGCGTCAATCGGAGGCAGCCCCATCGTGACCGCCTTTCCGGTCAAGTCAGCGTCCTACATTGCCTGTTTCAATGCCTTTCTCAACATCTCTTATACTTTCATCGGGCAAATCACACTCCCCAGCTTCATCGCCGAGATGAGAGAGCCAAAGTGAGTGCCGCCGTTTTCCATGGCCCCAATATCTGACTAACGAGCACGCAGGGACTTCCCAAAAGCCTTATGGGCTTGTGCCATTGCCGAGGTCATCCTGTTCAGCGTTGTCGGAGCGGTGATTTACGCGTACACCGGAAACCAGTACATGACTGCACCTGCCTTTGGTTCACTCCAAGAAACGTACAAGAAGGCTGCCTTCTCGTTCATGATTCCGACCATCATTTTCTTGGGCGTCCTGTACGCCTCGGTTTCGGCACGTTTCATCTTCTTTCGCATCTTTAAGAACTCCCAACATAGGACCGAGCACACGGTTACCGGATGGTCAACATGGGCGGCTATTCTTCGTGAGTGACTCCCTTTCTCCCGAGCAATTTCACTCTAATGTCATGCTGACACCAGTCAAAGTGACAACATGGATTGCCGCTTTCGTAATTGCAGAAGTCATTCCATTCTTCTCCTCCCGTGAGTCTCCCAATACCATACCCCGAGCCAAAGTACGACCAACTAACCCCAACACTAGTCCTTTCCCTCATGTCATCACTCTTTGACAGCTTCTTCGGCTTCATCTTCTGGGGCGTTGCCTACTTCCGGATGCGCAAAGCGGACTCGACAGCCGGCATTGCAAGAAAGAGAGGCATCGGCACCATCCTGCTGGGGGTGACCAACCTCATCATCATACTCGTTGGCTTCCTCTTTCTTACCTTTGGGAGCTATGCGAGTGTGTTGGGGATTTTGGAAGCGTATGAAACGGGATCAGTCAGGAGCGTGTTTTCGTGTGCGAGTAACGGTCTTTGATGGGAGTCATGTGTGTTGGGTACGGGCTCCCGCAACTGGAAGGAAGTATACAAAACCTTCCTCGTCAGCCGTTGACCAACACCAAAATGTTTGCCCGAGGGGCATTGTTTATGAAAGTAATACAAACCAGCGATCCTTGGCTATTTCCCGGTATTTTTCCACTTTTTACTTTCGTCGTTCTACTGCCCGTCCACTTCATATCTCGGTATGATGCAGCCTTCGAACAGAATACCTGTCCTGCAACACATCACAAATCTACGATGCCGTTTCCAGCCGATCCTCAACCATCTTCTCACCACGACCGATCGGAAGTGGTTATCTGGAAGGTATTACCGCCAACTGACGGAAGTCGCAACGGAGAGAGGAAACGCGGAAATTAGAAGGAAGAAAGAAATCTCGATTTGGCTGCAACATGCTCTCATCACGACCAAATTCATCTTCTCGTTTTCGACAACCAACCGTGGCGATAGCTCAAGAACCGACCAGCGCCGCAAGTACATATGTGCGAGAATCTCGTACTAGATGACATTGCGAGAGACGGATCCCAAATCGGCAAGCAACAACCATCATCGCGACTGCCGCCGCCATTATCATCAACCTACAGAGGAACCCGGAGAACACTATTCCTCGTATTCCACCATGTGCTACAGGTGGCTGCACGCAGAGTACGCTTCAAGAAACTGAAGCGCTGCGAGGAGAAGTACCGGCCTTTCATCATCGAGTGCGAACCTGTAAAGGAAGCCAAACATTATTGTGATGTCAGATTGATAAAAGAGCCAGTCAAAATCACAGTCGAGTGCAGCCGCCACAATCAGGCACGACTGGAGGAGTTCGGAAGACTGTTCAAAGAACACGTCGAAAACTGGGCGAAAG